GCCGACCTAGCACCCGCCATCCTAGCACCCGCCAACCTAGCACCCGCCGACCTAACACCCGCCGACCTAACACCGGCCGACCTAGCACCCACCGACCTAACACCCACCGACCTAGCACCCGCCGACCTAGCACCCGCCGACCTAGCACCCGCCGACCTAGCACCCGCCAACCTAGCACCCGTCGACCTAACACCCGCCGACCTAGCACCCGCCGTCCTAGCACCCGCCGACCTAGCACCCGCCGACCTAGCACCCGCCGACCTAGCACCGGCCGACCTAGCACCCGCCGACCTAGCACCCGCCGACCCAGCACCCGCCGACCTAGCACCCGCCGACCTAGAAACCCGCCGACCTAGGACCCGCCGACCTAGCAACCCGCCGACCTCCAACCCGCCGACCTAACACCCGCCGACCTAGCACCCGCCGACCTAGCACCCGCCATCCTAGCACCCGCCAACCTAGCACCCGCCGACCTAACACCCGCCGACCTAACACCGGCCGACCTAGCACCCACCGACCTAACACCCACCGACCTAGCACCCGCCGACCTAGCACCCGCCGACCTAGCACCCGCCGACCTAGCACCCGCCAACCTAGCACCCGTCGACCTAACACCCGCCGACCTAACACCGGCCGACCTAGCACCCACCGACCTAACACCCACCGACCTAGCACCCGCCGACCTAGCACCCGCCGACCTAGCACCTGCCGACCTAGCAACCCGCCGACCTAGCAACCCGCCGACCTAGCACCCGCCGACCTAGCACCCGCCGACCTAGCATCACCGACCTGGCACCCGCCGACCTGGCACCCACCGACCTAGCACACACCGACCTGGCACCCGCCGACCTAGCAACCCGCCGACCTAGCACCCGCCGACCTAGCACCCGCCGACCTAGCACCCGCCATCCTAGCACCCGCCGACCTAGCACCCGCCGTCCTATCACCCGCCGACCTAGCACCCGCCGTCCTAGAAACGGCCGACCTAGCACCCGCCGACCTAGCACCCGCCGACCTAGCACCCGCCGACCCAGCACCCGCCGACCTAGCACCCGCCGACCTAGCAACCCGCCGACCTAGCACCCGCCGACCTAGCAACCCGCCGACCTCCAACCCGCCGACCTAACACCCGCCGACCTAGCACCCGCCGACCTAGCACCCGCCATCCTAGCACCCGCCAACCTAGCACCCGCCGACCTAACACCCGCCGACCTAACACCGGCCGACCTAGCACCCACCGACCTAACACCCACCGACCTAGCACCCGCCGACCTAGCACCCGCCGACCTAGCACCCGCCGACCTAGCAACCCGCCGACCTAGCAACCCGCCGACCTAGCAACCCGCCGACCTAGCACCCGCCGACCTAGCATCACCGACCTGGCACCCGCCGACCTGGCACCCACCGACCTAGCACACACCGACCTGGCACCCGCCGACCTAGCAACCCGCCGACCTAGCACCCGCCGACCTAGCACCCGCCGACCTGGCACCCGCCGACCTAGCAACCCGCCGACCTAGCACCCGCCGTCCTAGCACCCGCCGACCTAGCACCCGCCGACCTAGCACCGGCCGACCTAGCACCCGCCGACCTAGCCACCCGCCGACCTAGCACCCGCCGACCTAGGCACCCGCCGACCTACCAACCCGCCGACCTCCAACCCGCCGACCTTACACCCGCCGACCTAACACCCGCCATCCTAGCACCCGCCGACTCCGACCTAGCAACCCGCCGACCTACAACCCGCCGACCTACAACCCGCCGACCTAGCACCCGCCGACCTAGCACCCGCCGACCTAGCACCCGCCGACCTAGCACCCGCCGACCTAGCAACCCGCCGACCTAGCACCCACCGACCTGGCACCCGCCGACCTGGCACCCACCGACCTAGCACACACCGACCTGGCACCCGCCGACCTAGCAACCCGCCGACCTAGCACCCGCCGACCTAGCACCCGCCGACCTAGCACCCGCCGACCTAGCACCCACCGACCTAACACCCACCGACCTAGCACCCGCCGACCTAGCAACCCGCCGACCTAGCACCCGCCGACCTAGCACCCGCCAACCTAGCACCCGCCGACCTAACACCCGCCGACCTAACACCGGCCGACCTAGCACCCACCGACCTAGGCACCCGCCGACCTACCAACCCGCCGACCTCCAACCCGCCGACCTAACACCCGCCGACCTAACACCCGCCATCCTAGCACCCGCCGACTCCGACCTAGCAACCCGCCGACCTACAACCCGCCGACCTACAACCCGCCGACCTAGCACCCGCCGACCTAGCACCCGCCGACCTAGCACCCGCCGACCTAGCAACCCGCCGACCTAGCACCCACCGACCTGGCACCCGCCGACCTGGCACCCACCGACCTAGCACACACCGACCTGGCACCCGCCGACCTAGCAACCCGCCGACCTAGCACCCGCCGACCTAGCACCCGCCGACCTAGCACCCGCCAACCTAGCACCCGCCGTCCTAGCACCCGCCGACCTAGCAACCCGCCGACCTAGCACCCGCCGACCTAGCACCCGCCATCCTAGCACCCGCCGACCTAGCACCCGCCGTCCTAGCACCCGCCGACCTAGCACCCGCCGTCCTAGCACCGGCCGACCTAGCACCCGCCGACCTAGCACCCGCCGACCTAGCACCCGCCGACCTAGCACCCGCCGACCTAGCAACCCGCCGACCTAGCACCCGCCGACCTAGCAACCCGCCGACCTCCAACCCGCCGACCTAACACCCGCCGACCTAGCACCCGCCGACCTAGCACCCGCCATCCTAGCACCCGCCAACCTAGCACCCGCCGACCTAACACCCGCCGACCTAACACCGGCCGACCTAGCACCCACCGACCTAACACCCACCGACCTAGCACCCGCCGACCTAGCACCCGCCGACCTAGCACCCGCCGACCTAACACCGGCCGACCTAGCACCCACCGACCTAACACCCACCGACCTAGCACCCGCCGACCTAGCACCCGCCGACCTAGCACCCGCCGACCTAGCACCCGCCGACCTAGCAACCCGCCGACCTAGCAACCCGCCGACCTAGCAACCCGCCGACCTAGCACCCGCCGACCTAGCATCACCGACCTGGCACCCGCCGACCTGGCACCCACCGACCTAGCACACACCGACCTGGCACCCGCCGACCTAGCAACCCGCCGACCTAGCACCCGCCGACCTAGCACCCGCCATCCTAGCACCCGCCGACCTAGCACCCGCCGTCCTAGCACCCGCCGACCTAGCACCCGCCGACCTAGCACCCGCCGACCTAGCACCGGCCGACCTAGCACCCGCCGACCTAGCACCCGCCGACCCAGCACCCGCCGACCTAGCACCCGCCGACCTAGAAACCCGCCGACCTAGGACCCGCCGACCTAGCAACCCGCCGACCTCCAACCCGCCGACCTAACACCCGCCGACCAAGCACCCGCCGACCTAACACCCGCCGACCTAGCACCCGCCGACCTAGCACCCGCCATCCTAGCACCCGCCAACCTAGCACCCGCCGACCTAACACCCGCCGACCTAACACCCGCCGACCTAACACCGGCCAACCTAGCACCCGCCGTCCTAGCACCCGCCGACCTAGCAACCCGCCGACCTAGCACCCGCCGACCTAGCACCCGCCATCCTAGCACCCGCCGTCCTAGCACCCGCCGACCTAGCACCCGCCGTCCTAGCACCGGCCGACCTAGCACCCGCCGACCTAGCACCCGCCGACCTAGCACCCGCCGACCTAGCACCCGCCGACCTAGCAACCCGCCGACCTCCAACCCGCCGACCTAACACCCGCCGACCTAGCACCCGCCGACCTAGCACCCGCCGACCTAGCACCCGCCGACCTAGCACCCGCCGACCTAGCACCCGCCGACCTAGCAACCCGCCGACCTAGCACCCGCCGACCTAGCAACCCGCCGACCTCCAACCCGCCGACCTAACACCCGCCGACCTAGCACCCGCCGACCTAGCACCCGCCATCCTAGCACCCGCCAACCTAGCACCCGCCGACCTAACACCCGCCGACCTAACACCGGCCGACCTAGCACCCACCGACCTAACACCCACCGACCTAGCACCCGCCGACCTAGCACCCGCCGACCTAGCACCCGCCGACCTAACACCGGCCGACCTAGCACCCACCGACCTAACACCCACCGACCTAGCACCCGCCGACCTAGCACCCGCCGACCTAGCACCCGCCGACCTAGCAACCCGCCGACCTAGCAACCCGCCGACCTAGCAACCCGCCGACCTAGCACCCGCCGACCTAGCATCACCGACCTGGCACCCGCCGACCTGGCACCCACCGACCTAGCACACACCGACCTGGCACCCGCCGACCTAGCAACCCGCCGACCTAGCACCCGCCGACCTAGCACCCGCCATCCTAGCACCCGCCGACCTAGCACCCGCCGTCCTAGCACCCGCCGACCTAGCACCCGCCGACCTAGCACCCGCCGACCTAGCACTGGCCGACCTAGCACCCGCCGACCTAGCACCCGCCGACCCAGCACCCGCCGACCTAGCACCCGCCGACCTAGAAACCCGCCGACCTAGGACCCGCCGACCTAGCAACCCGCCGACCTCCAACCCGCCGACCTAACACCCGCCGACCTAGCACCCGCCGACCTAACACCCGCCGACCTAGCACCCGCCGACCTAGCACCCGCCATCCTAGCACCCGCCAACCTAGCACCCGCCGACCTAACACCCGCCGACCTAACACCGGCCGACCTAGCACCCACCGACCTAACACCCGCCGACCTAGCACCCGCCGACCTAGCACCCGCCGACCTAGCACCCGCTAACCTAGCACCCGTCGACCTAACACCCGCCGACCTAACACCGGCCGACCTAGCACCCACCGACCTAACACCCACCGACCTAGCACCCGCCGACCTAGCACCCGCCGACCTAGCACCTGCCGACCTAGCAACCCGCCGACCTAGCAACCCGCCGACCTAGCAACCCGCCGACCTAACACCCGCCGACCTAGCATCACCGACCTAGCACCCGCCATCCTAGCACCCGCCGACTCCGACCTACAATGCTGCCTGCCTGGTGTTGCATGCCAACTGATAGGTGCAGCAGCTTGGGAGGAGCACACAGCTGACGCTGGTTGCATTCAATTCAAACCAAACACAGCAGAGCCATGCGTGCGTAGGTCTACTGCTCGAAAGTTTGCCTGCTAGGAGATGACAAGCCAAAGGCACAAAAGTCCGTGCAAGAGGTGGTGTTAAGAAACACCGATTTTTTGTTGTTAGGGGCTGCCAACGACGTCTATGCGCGCTCGCCACGGATGCGGCGGGCCAGCTGGATGTCCTTGGGCATGATGGTCACACGCTTGGCGTGGATGGCGCACAGGTTGGTGTCCTCGAACAGGCCCACCAGGTAGGCCTCAGCAGCCTCCTGCAGCGCCAGCACGGCCTGGCTCTGGAAGCGCAGGTCGGTCTTGAAATCTTGGGCAATCTCACGCACCAAACGCTGGAAGGGTAGCTTACGGATGAGCAGCTCAGTGCTCTTCTGGTATTTTCGGATCTCTCGAAGCGCAACGGTGCCGGGGCGATACCTGAGATAAGGAAGTATCAGAGGTGGAGTCAATGGAAGAGTCCCAAGTACTGGTCATATCGGCCAGCAGGCTGGACGGATAGGTATTAGGTATTATATTTTAAGGAACGTACCGGTGGGGCTTCTTGACACCTCCAGTGGCAGGCGTCTTCCTGGCTGCCTTGGTAGCTAGCTGCTTACGCGGCGCCTTTCCGCCGGTGGACTTGCGAGCGGTCTGCTTGGTGCGAGCCATTTTTGTTTGGGAGTAGGAGTCTGAAGTGAAGAAATTTGTTGATGTAGATTGTCCGCTTTGTGAATAATTTATATGGGCCAGGACTTGTACGGCCCGGCAGGACGAGCGCCGAGACCCCGGCGACCCTGTTGTGTAGTCGGCGAAGACCTGCAATTTCGGGTCGGCTCACCGGGGCTTGTCCTATGCTCGTCCGCACCCTCCGTACACCGATCCATTCTGGAAGCAATAAAACTGTACCGATCTCGATAGAAAATAACAAATTCCAATTGAACTTTTACTCACTAAACATATCCGACAATGTCTGGACGTGGCAAGGGCGGCAAGGGCCTGGGCAAGGGTGGTGCCAAGCGCCATCGTAAGGTGCTGCGCGACAACATTCAGGGCATTACCAAGCCTGCTATCCGCCGTTTGGCTCGCCGTGGTGGTGTCAAGCGTATTAGCGGTCTCATTTATGAGGAGACCCGCACCGTCCTGAAGACTTTCCTGGAGAACGTTATCAGGGACTCTGTGACCTACACCGAGCACGCTCGCCGCAAGACCGTCACCGCCATGGATGTGGTCTACGCGCTGAAGCGTCAGGGCCGCACTCTCTACGGCTTCGGTGGTTAAATATTCACCGAGTAACAATTCACCTACTCAACAAGGCTTTCCAAAAACGGTGTTTCTCAACACCACCTTAAAGTGTGACTTTCACGTTCCTCGCGTGAGTTCGCTACACTGCATACCGCTACCCCACGATCTTCTTGAGTTGGAGATTTTTGACAACACAACTTTGTGCATCCAAAGTAATCCGTTGTAACATTGCTATATCTGTTATGCTCAAAGAAAATGTTCCGTCCTGTTGAGAAACAGCTTAGAGATCCAACCTAATCCAAATGTACTTTTGCATGTCTCATCAATCGTCATTTCAAGGATTTCTTATCTTCGTAAGCAGAAGTAAGGTTAGCCTGTAATGAAATCAACATCCATACAAAAAAGTTCTATGCTCTCCGGCAGGTTTCGGATCCCAGACGGTTCAATCGTTGTACGTTGGTTCGAAGGCAATTCTCGCAACCGGATATCGATAATTCTTCTTCCGTATGCGGGTTGATTGTTTTATCGCATGCAGCCATCAACCCTTTTCACGTACGGCGCCGCAGATGTGAAACGCACGAATCAAGGCATTTGTGTTATAACATGGTTACTTAATACAACTGTTTACCACCTGTCAAGAGCCGTGTGGCAGAGCTCTACCCCAACGTGGTGTCGAAACCTGGAATCCTATCAACGGCAACCTAAATATAACATCCAAATCCCTTGTCTGGGAGTTAAGACTTATTTCACTCCAGATACTTAGGAATGGCTGCGAATACGAAAGGGGCTGAGGGTTCGGCGACGAGCAATCGCAGGTTGCGGAAGGCAGCGCTTTGGCAGGAACTTGTCATCAGCGGTATCAGCGTAGGGGGCGCGACAACATGCACAAATCCGCTGGGTATGCGCGAGACCATTGCGGCCAGATTGAAGTCTAACCATGGCTATCCATGCTGTTGCATGGCCATCACAATGTCGCGCCCTAACCTATCACTGCAAAGGATGCACTTGGCTGGACCTACATGACCCGACAACACATGTCGGCCCCTATGCCTGCTTGGGTAGTGCTTGAGAGTGTCTGCACCCTGCAGACGTCATCAAGACACGCTTGCAGCTGTACACTCGCAAAATGCCTGGGGCTACGAAACCGGGCCTGGTAAGAAGACGCCCCTACTCGCCAACCCACAGTCCCATTTAATATGCCACCAAGCGCAGCCTTGGCTTCCCTTGCAAGGATACCCCATACTCGTCAGGTTGTGGTGACGCTGTACGACATGTAACGTGCAGGTTCGAACCGGCATCAACATCGTTCGCGATGAGGGCGTACTGAGCCTTTGGAACGGCCTGCCACCCGCCATCGCTCGAGGCTTCCTGTACGGAGGTGGGTTGAACTGGCAACAAGCAGCAGTGCTCCTGCTGCTGCCCTAGCAGCTGCTGACGGTGTGGGGTGCTGCCTCTGCTTTTGTACGAGCTTGTGGGTTGGCAGAGAGGGGAAAAAATTAATGGTAAGGAGAGAGGGGGAAATTATACAATAAATGCAAACAACTAGAATCCCAATCCCATAGCCCGACTCATGCAGTGAGAGAGGGGAGAAAAATTATATAAGAAATGCAAACAACTAAAGTCCCAATCCCATATCCCGACTCATGCAGTGAGTGCATTCGGAGACACTATTCGAAAGACACGCATCTCCAAATTACTTACCGAAGCGTTGCTTACCGTAAACTGAGACGACTTGAGGGAGAAGCCGCGTTGCGTGGTACATGGCGGGTGGTACTTATGCGGTAGACATCCACACGCGCGTGCCCAACAATGCATGTTGCCTGAACTGGCCCGCATGTGTAACACAATTCTGCCGCCGTATCATGTACGGTTGCCTCCACCGTACTTGCATGCTGTCTGTCTTTTCCACCCTTTTTATTCTGTACCCACACCCCCGCGCGCGCGAATCATCCACAGGCATGCGACTGGGGCTGTACGGCCCCATCAAAGAAGCCCTCGTAGGCCTTGCGGCTGGGGAGTCCCAAGCATCCGCATCCCTCAGCAGCAGCAGCAGTACGGCAACCGCAACCTCGCTAGCAGCTGCTACAACAGCAACCACAACAGCAGCAGCAGCTAGATCCGCAACCCCAGCAGCTCCCCAGGGTTTCGCGGGCTTCGCGCTGAAGGCTGCTGCGGGCACCCTCAGTGGCGCCATTGCAGCCGGCCTTACCAGCCCCACAGAGCTCGTGAAGACACGGCTGCAGGCCAAGGGGAACCAGGCGCAGAGCACGCTGGGGGTGGTACGACAGGTGGTCCAAGAGTCGGGCGTGGCGGGGCTGTGGCGCGGCGCCGTACCCAGCATGGTAAGAGTTTGCATTGTCGCCGTGTTTTTTCGCCGTGTTGAAACACGAGGTTAGGATTAGAGTTTGGGGAGTGTGGTCACCATTGGAAACAAGTGCTCAAGGTGCACTGCGTCCGTGGCTCTCATGTGGGTCATGTCCGTCCTTCTTCAGGTCCTTCGCTCAGATCCTCCCTACTGTCCTCTCGCCCCCTGCTGTCGCATTGCTTCAGGCCCGAGCGGCGCTGCTCACCTCCTCCCAAGTAGCCACCTACGACAGCGTGAAGCACGAGGTAATGCCCAGCAGGACGGGGAGGCATTCGCAAAACGCAATACTTGCAATGCAACAGGACCACCGCATATTTTTTTACAGCGCAGCAGCGCGCTAAGTGCAGCTCCCGGTAATATTGAGCTGCCGAGCCCTACTTGCTATGTGCACCTCTAGCTACCGCTAACCAGCCCTACCTGCTCCCGACGGCGCGGCCTGTGATGTAGATCATGCACGCCACCGGCTGGGGCGACTGCGCCGGTACCCACCTGGCGGCCAGCAGCTTCACCGGGCTCGTCACAACCACCGTAACCAACCCAGCTGACGTCATCAAAACCAACATGTTTGTGTCGGGTGAGTTGGCGGGTGCGCGGGTGAGGTGTGAGGGTTGGGGGTTGGCTGGGCTTGGCAACTGTGGGGGCTGCTGTCCTAAAAACGCGGTATGGCTTGGTTTTAACCAAACGAGAAACATGTCCTTAAACGGGTGCTGCTGCCACATGGGGTCATTGCGTTTCCGGTTTGCCATGTCACTTGGCAAGGATGCCGTTGCATGCAGCTCCCTTGCATGCTGACGTCTTTCTGTTTGTTGCTGTTCCGCTTCCGCTGCCGCCACTGTTGTGTTGCTGTTAAACATGGCTTCTGACCTGCTGCTGCCCCTGTGCCCTTCCAGGCGGCGGCGTGCGGAAGGGAATCTCGCAAACCGCGGCTGACATTTTCCGTGCTGACGGCGTCGCGGGCTTCTTCAAGGTACGGCACGAACAGCACCAACAGCAAACAGCGCCGTCCCCACTGTATAACCACATCATCACCGCATAGCCTGACAACTCCGCATCATCATTGCAGCTCTAACGGTGATGGATGTGCAGCGCTATTTCTTTGTCCGTGGCTGTTGCAACCCGAGCTCATGTGGCCGCGCCTGCCTTGTTGCCTGCGCCCTTGTACATTGCTAGTAGCAACAACACCAACCCCGATTCCGTCCGTTCTTCCGCCTCCACAGGGCTGGACCGCCAACTACGCTCGGCTTGGGCCGCAGACCGTGATCACGTTCCTCATCTCGGAAGCGTTGCGTAGTGCGCTAGGACTGGAGGGCTTGTAGCAGGGCCAGCATTGTTGCCATGAGAAAGGGCGGAATGACCCCTGGGTCGTTTGGGGTATTTCATTGAGACTCCGAAAGTGAACACGCCTGGTGCTGCATGTGATTACGGTCTGAGCTGCATGACTAAAGTGAACATACGTATTATATTTTATGTTCGTGCGGCGTGAGCGGCATCTGCAGAAAGGATGCCCTCCATGATAAGCCCCATGATGTTGTCACCCGTGTTTATATTCTGGTGTGACAAACTTATCCACATGTGGTGCGTGATTTCGGACTTGCAACAGGCTTGCAACGGTATTCTTATACATAACAAGACGTAGACGTGGAGTACGGACTTCCTAAGTGCATGTGCACAAGGCCCCACAGCCACACCCTTCCATTCAACCATCCCACCCAAGCGACAATCGCATGTAAGCTTAGGCCATCCACCCCAGGTCTGCATCAGCGGTAAGGTTCCCGATCTGATCCGTCCAGCAACGCCACAACAACGCCCCATGCGCCCCATCCAACCACACAACAACGCCCAACCCCTTTCCTTCACGGGCTGAAAAACGTGACCACCGGCAGTCCCTGCCGCTGCTCTCCCTGCTGCCCCAGCTGCTGCTGTGCTAGTGCCCGCGCCTGTGCCGCCTGCTGTTGCTGCTGGAGCATCTGTTGCTGCTGCGCTGCCTGTCGCGCCCGAAGCGTGCGGATAATGGCGAGCTGCAGCTGGGGAATGCCGTCGTGCGTGAGGGAGGAGATGCGGACCGCATGGGTGAGGCGAGCAGCCACCTCCACCGCACTCTCTACCTCCTCCTCCTCGTCCTGCTCTTTCCTATGCTCCTGTCGTGGTCCCTCTTTTACGCCTTCCCCCTTCACCTCCTCCTCCTCTTGCGGCTTGCTGCTGCCACTGCTCCTCATTGCTTCTGTCGTCACCGTCTGCTGCTGCTGCCGGTCTGCCGATGCCAAGGAGGGCTGCATTGGCCATTGACCCGTGGGTCGTTCGTCTGACCCGGTGGCCTGCCGTTTGCGGATGAGCTCATCTGCCGCGGCGAAGACGTCCTGCAGCGGGGAGATCAGGAGAGGGGGCTTGTCAGGGTGCGGACGAGGACGCTTTGCTAACACACCTCAGCGACAGCGCCGCACTTGCGGTGCCGCCGGTACAGTAACCAACATGTGAATCGCCTCTCAGGTGCTCTCCCTCACATGCTCTCTCCTCTTCCTCCTCCCCTCATGCTCCTCTCTCCCTGCTCACCTCAAGCATGTCCGACTTGGACAGCACGTCGATCCAGGGCCGGCCGGGGAAGCGAGACTGCAGCTCCCTGCGTGGTCCGAGGTGGGGGGCAAGTAGGTGCTGGTGGGCAGGTGCACCGGAATGATACGTGTAGGGGCATGGGGATACGGTACCACAGCCAGCATCACTGCTACCGTACCCCTACCGCCTGTTCCTGTTCTTTGCCCTAAGCCCTCCTATCCTCCCTCTCCTTCTCCCTCCCTCCCACCCTCGTCATACACCTCGTCAGCTTCCTCCCTCCCTCCCTCCCTCCCGCCCCTCCGCCCCTCCCTCACCTCCTGATGGCCCACTGGTCCGCCACCCCCGTGCCGCACTCCCCCGTCAGGTCCGCCACGAACACCACCACCGCCGCGTCCAGGCAGCCCAGCGCCGCCAGCGTGAGGCGCTCCATGCGGTTGCGGGCGGCGTCGGGGCGGCGCAGCAGACCGGGGGTGTCGGTGACCTGTGGGTTTGGCGGGGGGAGGGGGGAGCAAGGGGGGTAACAAGGGTAGGTGAAATCTGAAATCCGGACATTTGGGTACATACCGGTACCAGTAACAGTAGTCATTCACCGGAGCGTTCGTTTCCCCCCCCCCTCCCAGGTAAACCTCTCACATTCCTCTCCATCCCAACCACCAGCAGGAATACCTGCCCCCCCACCAGTTGCTGCAGTCCAGTCGCTGCACTCCTCATTTACTTTCACCCCACCTGGTGTTTCTGCGCATCCAGGTAGAAGTGGCCCATCTTGATGGAGCGGGTGGTGAAGGGGTAGTTGCACACCTGCGGCAGGGGGGGGTGGGGGATTTGGGGACGGGGTGGGTTCGCCGCCGGAGACGAGGTTCACAGCTCGTCAGCTGCCTCGTCCGTTTCCTTATTCCTACCCCCCCTCCACCCCCCACCCCAGCAGCAAGCTGCGCCACCTCGGGTGTGCCGCTGGACAGGATGTTGACGAGGCTGCTCTTGCCCACGTTGGGTGCCCCCACCAGCGCCAGAGTGGGCAGCGAGGGGTCCAGGGAGGGCAGCGAGCGCAGCTGCTTGGCAACCTCCTTGAGAGCGTCCACGTGGCTGCGGGGGGGAGAAGGGCGGGGATCAACAGGAAAACATATTCCGCATTTGGGGGAGAGGAGGAGCTCAATGTGTTGTGTGCCCACGTCCTCAACAGTGTCCTAAACACGACTAACCATCAGCACCCCGCCTACCGTGCCCCCGCGCTGAATACGGCCTCCAACGCCGCCACCCCCTCCTCGCTTGCGGCCGTGGCAGCAGCCTTGTTGGGCGCCTGGGCGGCACGACTGGCAGCGCCCTTGCCGACCTCCTGCAAGGGGGTTACCGTAGTACGGAGCGGATGGCGGTGCTGAGGGCTAAGGGCAGGGGCCGGGGGTACCGACGGGGGTACCGACCGGGTCGGTTGGCGCATGCCGTGCCACCTCCGTTCCCCGCTCCACTCCCCGCCTTCAGCTGGACTACCGGTACCCACACCGCTTCGCATATCCACCCCCCCATCCACCAATACCTCGGGTAGTCCCCTTCCCTTTCCGGGCCTCCCCCTGACCTCTTAGCCTCCCCCCCCTCCGGCTCCCACCTGCACAGCCTTCCTCAGCCGCTCCACTCGCTGCAGTGCCCCGCAATACGCCGCCTCACCCACCTGCGCGATCGTACGACACACGTGCATGCAGAGCGAACATGCAAGGAGTGGTAGGCGACCAAGGACAGTAGGTACGCGGTACGATTGCAGAGCTGGTACAGCTACCCTCCTGCATGCAGCAAGGTGCCCCTTCCTCCTCTCACGGTCCAAGTCGGCAGCTCACGCTGAACCTAGTTCAGGCGTTCGAGGCGCAACCCCGCCCTCCATGCCCCCTGCATCTCTTTTTTCTCACATGCAGCGACCCCTTCACTGGGGACACACGCAGCCAGCCCCCTCCCCAACCCACCGTGAGCGCCAGCAGCTCCCTCTCAAAGGGGTGCAGCCGGTCGGGCTGCGGGAAGGCCGCCACATAGCGACCCAGCGGCACTGCCAGAGCCTGCGGGCAGGTTCGCGTGCATGGTTGCGCGCATGGTTGCATGCATGCATGGTGGGGAAAAGATGCATAGTAGGGGAGTTGCTTGGCAGGGGGTGTTATAACACAGGAGATGTGCAAGCGTAAGGTGTCCTAGTGGCGGCATGAGCACGCTAAGAAGGCCGTACCACACGCAGCAGGCATGGGTGGCGGTGTTAACCAGCCAGAGCTAAGCTAAACACCGCTGCCGCCCCTGCGTCATGCGTACCTGCATGAGGGTGTCCAGGCGACGGGCAGCGCGGTTGCGCTCCTTCTCCGCGGCGTTCTTGATGCCTGGTGGCGTGGTGGGCGGCCAGGAGGGAGGCGGTGGCAGGGTGACAGGTGGCATGCGGAGCTGGGGGTGGTCCAGTGGGAGATACGGTAGCTCACTGCCGAACAAACTACCGCCCTCCCATCCCGTCCCTCTGCCCCACACGGTCAGCAGTTAGTTGTTTCCTGCCTTCCCTCTGCTCCCACCTGCCGAGGGCGCCACCTTGGCTGCCCGCTTGCGCGCACTGCCCAGGTGCTCGGCGGCTGACACCACGTGGGGAACACCCTGCAGCTGGCCTGGGGAGGGAGAAGGGAGAGGAGGGGGAAGGGGGGAAGTAAGATTAAACATGGGGTGGAAATATGCAATGAGGAGGCAGGCAGGGGGTTCAGCAAGGCGATGGGTTCAGCACAGAGCATACCGGTATCATAGGATGAAAGCGGAAAACGGGACGCAGTCAGGATCGGTGCGACACAGCGCAGCTAGCCTCCACAACCACCCACAGTCGGCCCGACCCCCGTCCCCAAGTCCTACTCACCCACGAAGCGTCGTCGCCTCTCCACCGCTTGCCGCTCCTCCTGTCCCATCTCCTCCTCCCCTTCCTCCCGCTCCTGCTCCTCCTCCGCCCCATCCCCAAACCCGCCCTCCGTCATCGCCAGCGGCCCTGCAGCTGCCGTACGCGACGCGGCCGCTGCCGCCACTGACGCCGCCCTAGGCCGAGTCCCGAAGTCCTTCTGCCTCGGGGTAACTCCAGGAGCAGCACCAACAGCAGCAACAGTAGCCCCTCTGGATGCTGCTGCACCCTTCACAGTAGAAGCGGCCCCCTTTGCAGGGGCCGCCGCCGCCGCCGCAGCAGCAGCAGCAGCATGGGCCTCCGCCAGAGCGTCATGGGCCGCCGCGGCGGCGCGTTCGAGGGCCGTCATGCGGCGGCGACCGGAGCGGAAGCGTAGCGGCGTTACAGCGGAGGCTGTTGCTGCGGAAGCAGGGGCGACAGGGGCACACGTGGAAGCAGCAGCGGTAGCAGAGGGGATAGCAGTGGAGCCGGAGTGTGAGGTGAAGGCGGCTGAGCAGAGGCTCAGGCGACGATGGTGATGCAGGAGGTAGGGGCTGGAGGAATGGTGGAGAGGTGTGGGAGCAGGAGGGAGGCAGCGGGGGCTGCAGGAGGCCGTCGAGGCGAGGGATGGAGGGCTGGGGTTGTAGATGGCGTTTGAAGGTGGGCATGGGGTTGCGGCTGGGAGGGTAAGGCCCCGTTGTATGAAGTTGAGAGCCTGTTCATGGGCAGGAGAGGGAGGCAGGGTTTGGGGAAGACATTACTCCAGTCGCTCAGGATATGCCGAAGGATGCAACTGGTAATATCACAGTGGATAACTTACCCTCATTGCCGTGGCTAGCGTCGTTTGGACTCCGGCGTGTTGGGGATGTGCAAGCTTGCACCACATGCGCAGCCGCGATGACGCCAACGACAGGTTCTGCCTTCTCCGGGTAAATATAATGAAGCTGGTCCAGCAGATAGTCACAGAGTAGGTGATTGAGCCTTGGATTGGCTGCGCTAACGGCTAGGCCACGAAAGGGCTATGGCGAGAGAGACACCAATTAGGCAATCTGTAGGTATGTCGATACTTATAAGCAAATGTGCAAGTGCCCAATACTTCGTATTCGTAAAGTCTTCTGAATACTTTAGGGGCCGACTTTACCAAGAACGGTCCTGGGGCAAGTGCAAATCTTGATAGGATGCCCGGTACTTAACTTATCCACTTGGGTAGCTCAGGAAGATACAACATGAGCGGGCAAACCGCTTGTGGAGTCTTGGATCCATAGCATGGATCCGGTGCGCGCATTAACCGCCAGTAAACGTCCCAAAACAGTGTCAGAAGAAAGCGTTTGACATCCTCCTTGACGTTATATTTATTCTCATCTACGCCACGGCTAAGGACGAGGTGCTACAGGGCTCAGCGCCGTGACAGCTTACTATCCTCAAGCACCATACAGCTATTATGCCCTTGATGCATAACCTACGCTTTATTATGTAGCATACGTGCATAGTTAGGAGGTCGGAAGTCCGGGTACTAGGAGTCTAGGACTCGGGCCTCCTGAGAGTAGGTCGACCGGCTTCCGCATGAAGCGGTCCTACACAGACGGTGAAAACCCTGTCAACTATAGCAAAGATACGACTGTAAACGGTGGGGGCCCCGAGCCCAAGCTCCGTATAGTCGGCGTGACGCGCCCATGCCATGATGTGCACACCTCGAACGGGCGTGGGAACACCGGTCCGCAAGAGCCAAAGGCCTTCACATCAGATGCGGAGCACCCTGCCAGACAATCCAGCATTTCTTTGCTCCCGGCGCAATCCACATGTCCAGCGCATTCTGGTTGCAATCCCCAACCGCATGGTTTGGATCGTGTAGGCCAGCACTTAGCACATGGTGGTCCTACTACATCTGCTGACCGGCTAGGAATTGGTGCAGTACTGCAGCCATGGCATCAACAGAACCATCAGCAGCCACAGCAGCCGCTTCCTCATGCTCAATGGCAACAGAACGCTCGGACCCAGTCGCAGCCGCTACCTCAGCCTGGCTATGCAACCCACCCCCCACCTCAACACCACCAACCATTGCAACCGACCCAAGTCCAGCGCCCTCAGCCGCCCCCACAGCGGTGGCAGCAACCCTGGCAGCAGCCCTCCACAGCTCCTACTTCCTTGAACCCGCAGTGCCACGCCCACATACCGCCACCGCGGTCCGCTCCGCAAGTAAATTCAGCAGCTCCCCAGTCGTCCACGGCACAGCCTACCCACCCTCTCAACGGTTGCCCACAACAAACGCTGCGGACCCAGGAGCCTGCGCAGGCATCCCTGCAGCGCTCTGGAGACCAAGCGAGCCTGCATTCCAATATAACCCAAGGACGGCCCGAGGCTGTACGGCAGAGGCCGCATATGGAACGGCAGCCGCCGCCATCTGGGTCGGGGCCGCATGCGCCCCTAGCCACTGGCTACGGAGGCTCCCAGCCATGCATCGTGGAGGGCTGTAATGGAGGTCAGCAATGCGGCGGACACAGATCCATGTCACAGCCCGCGGCGGATTCCTCTGCGCAGCCTCGTGCCCAGTACGCTCCCGCCGCCCCAGAGCAAGTTCCCAACCCAGCGTGGAAGCAGCAGCAGCAGCGGCCAAGGCCTCTGTTGCGGCACCATCAGCAGCAGCAACAGCAGGTTCAGCAGCAGGCGCAGCGCACAGCCCAGATGCAGCAGCCCGTCGCTCAGCATCATGGACTGCAGCAGCAGCAGCAACACCATCACTGTCAACAGCCGCTGCACCAGCAACCTCACGCGCAGCACACGTATCTCGGACCGCAGGGCCAACAACAACAGCAGCCGCAGCAGCAACAACAGCAGCCGCAGCAGCAGCTGTATCCGCAACCGCCGCAACATCAGCAACACCCGGCTGTACAACGACAGCCAGCTGTACAGCAGCAACGCCAGCACCAACCCAACCAACCACAGCAGCCACAACCGCTAGCGCAGCAGCCGCAGCAGCCTTGCCACCCACAACTACAACCACAGCAAGAAGAGCCGAGGCAGTTACCCTGCGCGCAACATGCCACAGCAACAGGTGCCGCATCCCTTTCTTCCATCCAGCCCTGTGTACCGTCGGTGGGCCCCGAGGTTGCAGGTGATGGTGTTGACCTCTTTACGGCAAATGGGCTCTTGTCTGCTCCAAAGGCAGCTGGCGCGATTACCGGTAGCACCAACCAGCCTGTGTTGGAGGGGCCGGCGAGCGATCCTCAATCACGAAGCGGCTGCGGCAGCAGGGGTGCGGACGCACCGACCGTTGGGACGCTGAACGTTATGCCTCCTATTGAGAAGCTAAAGGTACGAAGCGACCCAAATTCCCAAAGCCCTTGCGCGCTGAGATGCACTCCGGGCCCGCAAACAATGCATTTACCCCTTGGGAGACCGTACTTCCAGGGTCGCGCAAGCCTGCGCCCTTAGCCTTCGCGCTTGGTTGTCATGCACGCTTCTGCTCCTCGTCGTGTCGCACCACGAGGCACGAGACCGCCCCTTTCCCCTACACCCTCCTTGCCCCCCCGGCTGCAGCGCCCGCTACGCATGAAGCTGTCAGAGTGGATCCCGCATGCCGGCGTAACGGCGGCGTTCGAGGCCAAGGGCGTCACGAAGCTGTATCCATGGTGGGTCGACCGTGAGGCAGGGGCACTGTGAATGCTTGTTGGTTAGGAAGCGCAGCGGCCTTTGGTTGGGAAGCACAGCGGCCGTGATGCATGCCGTGAGGTCCGGTGGGGCGTTGGGGTCTGTATGATAGGGAGTTAGGGACAGGAGGTGCGCCTCCTTACGCCATAGGGACCCCCACATGCAGTCATGTCGAGCAACATGCATATTGTCCCAGGCCTCCGCTTTGCCCTCAGCCACCTCTCCAACGCGCTGTTTGGTTGGTCAAGCCTTGGTCACACGCCGTTGGCGTTTACTATCCCCTTCTTGCTTCCAGGCAGGCAGCAGCGCTGGAGTGCGGTGAAGACGGTCATAACCTGGTCTACTGCGCACCCACATCAGGTAAGCCCTCCTCCACGGGCCCGTTGCGGGGAACATCGAAGGAGCAAACCTTCTAGTCTTTCTTTTACTTACCGGCGGTGAGGTAATTTGGGTCAGGAGGGAAGCAGGGCTTGTCGATCGAACCGTTGACGCGATGAGCTCCTTCTACCCACGCAACAACAACGCGTCCCGCGCGTCACCTTTGGGCCTCCTCGTCTCCTTTCCTCTCGTCTCCTTTCCTCTCCTGACATGGACTTCTTCCCCTCTCCTTTGCCCCTTCCCCTCTCCACGCTCCCCCCAGGCGGCAAGAGTATGGTAGCTGAAATCCTCATGATCCGCCGTCTCGTGGCCGCCTTTGAACGCCAATCACGACAGCCGCGACCCATGGGTCCAGCACAGCAGCACGCCCGACCGCCTCCGCCGCCTCGCGCTCTCCTCGTCCTGCCATACGTCAGCATCGTGTCTGAGAAGGCGGAGCACCTGACGCGCGTGTTGGCGCCCATGCGTGCGAAAGTGCGGGGCTACACTGGGGCCGAGCAGACCGGCTCGCCGCTGTCTGCGCCGGTGAGAGGGACTGGAGCTGGGGGGCCAACGTGAGGGCTCACGGGCCCAGCTTAGGAGACCGTTAGCTCGGAAAAGAAGGCAGCTGGGTTGTATCCGCGTACCCGCGTACATCAATCCGATTATGCACGTCGCCGGAAACCCATGGCACTCACCCGGTACTCACCATCCCACGTCTCACGCTCAGCGTACGCTGCTTGTTACCTCCCTCCTGTCGCCTTCTCCTCCTTCTTCTCCTTCTGCCCAGGACGAGATCGTGGCGGTGGTGACGATGGAGAAGGCCAACAGCACCGTGAACCGGCTGATCGCGGAGGGGCGGCTGGGGGAGCTGTGTTGCGTGGTGGTGGACGAGGCGCACATGGTGGGGGACCCGCACAGGTGCGCTGGGTGGGGGCTGTACCGGTACGTGTAGGCAGGGAGGGATGCGAAGGGGCTGAAGGAAGGAGGGGAAGCCTAGCTGGAGTGTCGTAGTGTTGGTGGCGGAAAAGGGCGACAAGGGGAACCGGCACATGTGGGGACCTGGGTAAGGAGCAGGGTGGAGGGTGGAGGGGGGCTGGAGTGCTGGGGGCTGGTACGGGAGGTCCAGGTAATGACGTGGGTGGGTGGCATGGGGCAACGGAGCGATGTGGGCTGTGGCACAGCATCTTGGGACCAAAGCAAACCCCCATCCAGTGAGACCTGTCGGTCGCCGCCTTGGTGCGCAGTGTGGTACCTGCTTAACCCAATTCCCGCTTCCTTTCCAACTGCTCCCTTCCCCCGACCCAACAGGGGCAGCAGCCTGGAGCTCTGCCTCACAAAGTTGCGCTTCGCCGCTGCTGCGGCCGCTGCCGCCAAGTCCGCAGCAGTGGCCGCAACAGCAGCCGGCAACTCCGAATCAGCGGCGGCTGCCGCGCAAGCCGGGTCGTCCAAGTCAGGCGCTGTTGCAGCCTCAGCAAAGTCCCCTTCATTAGCAACTGCAGCGGCAGCAGCAGCCGAATTCTCTTGCCAGCTGGTGTGCATGTCAGCTACCATGTCAGGCCTGGATGACATGTGCGGCTGGCTGGGCGCTCGCCTCTTCATGACCAACTTCCGGTGAGGGGCTGCATGAAACAGGGAGGGACGGCGGTGGGTTGCAGGAAACTGCACAGTCTGCGCAGCGAGCACAGGGCCGGGCTTGCCCTGCTGTCGCCCATGGAGGCTCATGTCATACTTAACGAACCTGCCGTACATCGCAGACCCGTACCCCTGACCGAGCATGCCGTGTTTAAGGGAAGGGTGTTTCGCAAGCTCTCCCAGCGCGAGATGGAGCAGCAAGCGGCAGCCATGACCCGAAAGGATCAACAGCAGCAGCAACAACAACAGCAAGCTGCGATTGGGACAGGTAATGAGGGCAGACTTTGGTCGATCCTGTTACGCGGGGACACTTCGCCCTCATGTCCCAACCTATGTTGCCTTTCCACGCCCCATATTTGCATTCCCGTTTTGGCCTCCCTATGTATGTTTCATGCCACTGGGACGCACCTATTGACCTTGACCCGTCCCACTGGTATCTCCTTGCCCGCCTCTCTCAACACAGACACCAACACCGGCTTCAAGCCCGCCAGCGCCGTTGCCGCCGCCGCTGCTACAGCCACAAGCATCAAAGCGTCTTCCTCCGGGGCAACCACCACAACCGGAAACGGCAGTAGCAGCAGCAACAACAACGCATCCGGTTTCACCACCGCAACGGCGGCTGCAAGCGGAGGCGGAGCGGTTTCGGAGCCCTTAGTTGAGGAGCGAGAGCTGCCGGAGAGCAGTCCCAAGGACCCAGATCGGTTGGTACCCCTGGTGGCGGAGGTGGCGCGGGAGGGGCACTCCACGCTGGTCTTTTGCGCCTCACGCAACGCATGCCAGGGCTGCGCAGGTAGGAAAGAGAGGGTGAGAGCAGCAGCAGCGGTAGCAGCTGCAGTCCTAGGGTTGCCGTGCGGTGGGCGTAGGGGTTGCGGGTCAAGAGGGGCGGAAGGGCGAACCTTTTTGTGGGTCGGCTTCCAGGTTGGCTGTGGATTGCGGTGCCCGGGCAGCTGTTGCCAGAGACTCCGGTGTATGCCTGGTTGCCTGCCCGTTAACCCTTGCCGCTTTGCGCGGTTTCACAGCCCCAAAGCTGCGTTCGAGTCCAGCTGGTCCCTGTTGCCTTCCGCACTGTGCGCAGGGTTGCTGGCAGAGCTGCTTCCTCAGCAGCTAGGGCCTGCGAGCGCTGAGACGATAAGCGCCCGTAAGGCCCTTCTGACGGACTTGCAGGTGCGGATATAGCATATAGTGCCACTCTATCAGTACGAGGCCTGCCGTGTGGGACTTTCAGTTGGAATCCCAGGCATTAGTGCGTAGTTGAATGCTTTCAGTTTTTGTTCATAGTCCCCAATCACTCCAAATTGTTGTTCACGTTGCATTGCAGGATGCGAGCGGCGGGTACCTGAGCCCCGAACTTGGGAAGCTTATAAGTAAGGCAGCCTGCAAATAGATGTCACAAGCTGACCCATGGGTCTTTGCCCACACTATGACACTCCAGGCTTTGTATAAGAGCAATGCTAGCCAAACCTTGCCTTAGACGTAGATATGCTCCCATCTAGCTGGCCTCGGGACCTGCCTTTGCGGCTGTCCCCATACGGTGCACCCTACCCTATCCACTTCCCTTCACCCTGCTGCTGCCCGCCGCTGCTGCAGTGGCGGGTGTGGCCTACCACCACGCGGGCCTCACCTCGCAGGAGCGCGGGGCCGTGGAGCGGGGCTTCCGCGGCGGCCTCATCCACACCCTCACCGCCACCTCCACCCTGGCAGCAGGCATCAACCTGCCGGCACGGCGGGTCATCCTGAGGTGCGTTACCGGTACCAGGATACGAGAGGAGGGCCGCCCCATGTTCATTACAAGGCGAACCCGCATAGGCGTAAAAGCAAAACCGGGTGCCCTGATCCAGCAGTGCGTCTACCACGCGCAAGCGCCATAGGAGTTGCTGTTAGGCCCATGGAGGTCGGCCCATGGGTCACATGCAATGGAAATATAACGATATCTCCCTTCTCCTTTAGGCCATAAATCTAACCCACATGCGTCCTCGCGCACGCAGGTCGCTGTGGCAGGGTATCGGCCCCGTAAGCCGAGCGCAATACCTCCAAATGATCGGACGCGCTGGACGAGCCGGTGAGTCCATCCCTGGGTAACGCCCCTGCATGACCTCACAGCGCTCCCAACCCCTGTCCTGATTTGCTTGCCCCTTACCAACCGTATCTCCCGGGATTTACGCCTCCCGTACCCCCGCAACCCCCCCCCCGCAGGCCAGAGCCCCATTGGTGAGGCCTTCCTCATCGGCAAGGGCGCTCCCCACAGGCTGCAGGGCGAGTGGCGCGACGTGTGCCGCCTCATGACAGCCCGCCTGCCGCCCCTGCGCTGCTGCCTGCTGGACGCAGTGGCAGCCGCAGACGCGCCGGAGGGCACCGGTGCAGGCGGCAGAGCCAAGGCTGCGGCAGCTGGCAAGCCGGCTGCAGCCTCAGGGCTGCCTGGGGCTTCGGCCGCGGCGGGTGTGGGGACGGCAGCAGCAGCGGCGGCAGCGGTTCCGGCGGGAGGGAAGGCTAAGGCGGCTGCAGAAGGCAGTGGCGAGACCCACTTGCAGCGGATGCTACTTGAGGTGTGGCATTGGGTGGCGTCAACGGTCGTCTCCAAGACTCGCATTTATCTGTCGTGTCCAGCTTGTGTTGGGTTGTGGACAATTGACGCCACCGGTTTGAGAGTAAGCGGTGGCTAAGACGAGCCTTGCTTTCCTTTCATTGGCAACAGGGCATTGCCAACGGCTCCGTCTCAACAGGAGCCACGGTGGAGGCACTCATAAAGTAGGTTGCTGTGGAAGGCGGAGTCTGGGCTCCGGAAAAGATGTCGTGGGGCGTGGGAAGGGTTCATTCAGTTGGGACTATGGGAGTGCATGGGCCTCTGGACTTCGGGTCATCATACGGGAATGCCGACTCGAAGATCAAGGGCGCGCCAAACGGTCCAAGGACACAAGCCTGGACAGGCCTGGTACCGTGCTAGGGCGCTTGACTTACCCAGTCACCCTCGCCCATGGCCCTCATGTCCGGTCCTCACAGGAGCACACTGCTGTTCCAGCAGGCTGGCTACGACCAGATCGCAGCAGCCACCCACAGCGCCCTCACCTCCCTACGACAGCGCCGACTGGTAACCTTCAGCCAGCACTCACCACAGCGCCAGGCAGGAGGGGGACCGGGGTCCGCAGCCGCTGCGGGACCGGGGTCCGGCAAGGTCCCCCAGCGTTCGGCCGCGGGCAAGGGAACGGCTGTTGCAGCCGGGTTGCGTGTTACCCAGGGTGCTGGTGGTGCGGGGGGCGGCGCCAGCGTAGCGGCCGGGGCCCTATGGCAGCCCACGCAAGTGGGTCGGGCCATTTACGAGAGCTCGCTGCCGACTGGGATAGGACAGGAACTATACGGAAGGTGTGAGGGCGAGGAGGGAATAATGTGGGATAGGCCACATGGATTGGGGTGGCCGGAGTTGCGGTTGGGTTTAAGGAGTGCATGCGGTACGGTAATCAAGTTGGTGCGTGTGTGAAGTAGCGGTAGCACAGCAGCATAAGCCCATGTTTGCATGTGCCCGAAATACCGCACCGGTGGCATCCTTCCCCCGTCCCTCCATCCCTTCCTCACTCGCGCACGTGTCAGGCTGCTGCGAGCGCTGGAGGGTCTTGCGCTGGAGGGCGGTCTGCAGCTGTTGTACCTGCTGCAGTCGGAGCCGCTGCCGGTGGAGATTGCGAACTGGGAGGTGTGGGCCGCCATGCTGGAGGGGCTGCCGCGGGAGCCGCACAGGTGTGTAGTTGAGCGGAAACAAAAGCAAGCAGTTCGGATAGGTTCGCATGTCCGCACAGGTGTGTGTGTGAGCGGCGCTGGCAGTGTGCTGCTGCTGCTGCCGCTGCTAAAGGGGAGGACGTTGCTAGTAGCAGTTGCTAGTAGCTGTTACTGCTTCTGAGGGTGTTGGTGCTGCACTTTGAATGGCCTATCCCCTTGATTGTCACGCGCACATAACCTTCCCTCTGCCGCAGGCGTGTGGCGGAAGTGTTGGGTGTGACACCGGGCTACGCTCAGCGGCTGGCCACCGGGCGGCGCGGCAGCCCCGAGGAGAGCGGCCGGCACAACCGCTTTGCGAGCGCTTGCCTGCTGCACGACGTCATGTGCGAGGGAGACCTGCGGGACCTGGAGCAGAGCTGGGGAGCGGCTGGAGGGCTCACCAAGAACGGTACGGTGCAGTGCGGGGATGCTGATGCTGTTGCTGATGCTGATGACTGGCACGGCGTACGGGTAGCAGCAGCCTCACTATGCGACGAGGCGACAAAGCCGGTCATTGCATGTCCTCTCCGTGTTTGGGGTGCTCCTTTCCCTCCTTCTTTTGGTGATGGTGCTGCATTGCTGGCGTGTTCGCCCCTCACAAGGCTCCCTGCCGCCCCCCCTGCCTTGTGCAGGTATCAGTCGTGGCCAGCTGCAGAAGCTGCAGGCGGACTTGTCGCAGTGGGCCGGCATGGCCGCAGTCATGGCGGGGTCGTGCGGCTGGTGGTCGTTGCAGGTGTGTCGTGTGTGCAAGCGTCGCAAATTACCCATCGAAGGGCTGCATGCAGGGCTGACTTTTACAGTACTTGCCTTTTCAAAGAATAAAACACAGGTGGTGGACCCAACCGACCCCAAACTGCAAGGAACGGGGAAACATAGAGGCTACTCTACGTGACCACGAGGGATGGGTATACACCCATGGCGTCTTCCAACGCCGATCCGTCACCTCACCCCAACCCGCCTCAACCCCCCGCAGGCGCTGCTGGAGGGCATCTCCTACCAGGCGGCTGCCGGCGCGCGGCCGGAGCTGCTGCCGCTGATGGCACTGCCCAACATGACGGGAGCCCGGGCTCGAGGGCTGTACGCGGCCGGCATCACCAAGCCGGCGCTGCTAGCGGTGGCAGACGAGGAGGTCGTGAAGAAGGTGGGATGACGGATGAGATGTGGGGCGTGCGGGAGGGCTAGCGGTGCGTTTGTGGAGGGGGGCTCAGGTCACATCACAACCGATTGCTGTGTTTGTACGGTATTTCGCTATATTCCTCATGGATTGTGTGTTTGCGGCTGCAGGCTCTGGCATCAAGTCTGCCTCGGGTGTTGCGGCAGCCGAAGCCCGGCAAGGGCGCCACCAAGTGAGTAGCCACCAGGCATTCCTCCTCAGGATGTTGACTTTATGAGATACCGGTACACTGTAAACCCAGCTAGAGAGCGATCTGCCGGCAGCTTAGACTTAACTTGGCCGCGTATGCCCGTGCCTCGACGCCTCCTTCCCTCTGAACCGCCTTTCTGCATGCTGCATCCCGCCATGCCACTGTCTTCGTTAAGCTGCAGTGTCTTACGTATGTTGCACGCCGCCAGCAGGGAGTCAGCCGCGCTAGCAGCCGCCGCTGCGTCCAGCGGCAACGCGGTCATTGCGCGCGGCGCGCGGGCGCTGGTGGAGTCCGCTCGACAGTACGTGGCGGACCTGGCGGCGCAGGTGGCGGCTGCGGAGGAGGAGGTTCTGGCGGCGGAGGGCAGGGCGGGCGGCGGAGGGGATGAGGTGGGTGGGTGGGTGGGTGGGTGTGGTTGCGGAGAGAGTAGGGTCGAGTCCAGGGGTGCATGCGTGCCTGCATGCATGCAAGGGCTGTGCAAACATCACTTGCCCAAGTGTCCGACCAGGAGCCACCTCCCACCTCGCCGCCTGCCCCCATTGTCCGGTGCTCTATGTCGCATGTTGCGCATGTGCGCTACCCCTCAGGCCGAGCGGGCTGCTGCCATGCGGGCTGCACAGGAGGCGGAGATCCGTCTGGCCGCTCAGCTACAGGCGGCCCGCAGCAGCGGTGCAGCGGGGGCCGCCGCGGGGGGTGCAGGAGGGGGCGTGAAGGGCCCTGCGCTGCGGGGCAGTGCGAGGATCACGGAGCTCAGCGATGCGAGTGATCCGCAGATGCTGGCGGCGTTCATGCAGGTACGTGGAAAGTGAGGGTTGGAGGGTGGAAGTTTACGTGTGGCACCGTAACGTGGAGGTGCGGTTGGAAAGGCGGGAAAGGGAGGCAGCGTTGGTGGGGTCGGCTGAGGGTTGTGACGGTCAATCGATGGGTAGGGAATGCATGGAGCGACACCGCTGGGTCGTAGCACGTCTCCTACTACTATCCAGTTTAAGCCTTAGCAAGCGCTGGTGCTGCATGCGCACCTCCCTTCCGCAACCCAACAGGCATGGCGTGCCCAGCCCAGCTTTGCTGTAGCCGTCATCTCCTCACGACCACTCGCCCTGGAGCCCGAGTTACGGCAACAGCAGCAACAGCAGCTGGGCATGGCGACCGCTGGGACTACCGGCGGGGGCCTGGCTTCCTCCGCTGTTGGGCGTGTCGCAGCCCCTGATGGCTCCCGTTCCTCCGCTGTGGACGCATGTCTGACGGTGCCTGGGCCGCCCTGCGCCGCAGTCCTGCAACAGCACAACCCGCATGCAGCTGCATGGGGCAATGCCGGCGCCAGTCCGGGTACTGATGGGGTTAGGGAAGCGCCCGCGGAGCTGAAAGGGGGTCAGGGACAGAGACAGCAGCAGCGGCGGCGGCAGCACGGGTCTGCGGCGCAGGTAGCTGAAGTTGATGGTCTGGTGGTGACATGGAGCCACACAGAGGCTGTGGTCCTGACGTTTACCGGTAGCGCACACAGCGAGTCGACGGAGGGCGACAGCAGTGCGGGTGATGAGGCGGCTGGCGTGGGGGGCAAGCGAAAGGCCGCGGCGCAGTTGCCGCGGCCAGCCAAGACCGGTGGCAAGCCACCGGCAGCGGCCGCTCGTGCAGGCGCTGGTAGCGAGGAGGATGCCGGGCGTGGTGAGGTGCCACATGCCGACAAGGCTTCAGGCGGGGCCACCTCGGGGAATGCTCGTACAGCATCCGCACTGTGGCGTGCCGCTTGTGAGGTGCTGGGTGCAGCTGCGTCATGTAAGGTCTGCTGGCACGCGGAGGCGCAGCTGGCAGCGCTGATGGCGGCGGGGTGTGACCCGGCGGGTCAGTGGGACGACCCGCAGGTGATGGCATGGATGGCGCAAGGCACGGCAGGGCCGCAGGTGAGCTGAAGAACGTGGGCCGCCGTCGCAGTCAGGGTTCGGGCTAGCACTCCTTTAGCCACCTTGCCGACCACCGAGCTGCACCAACCCCCCCCCCATCCCAACACCTTACCAAACGCTACTCCAAGCTCCCAGCTCTCCTCCCCTCGCTAGTCTCATTCTCAACCCATCTCCTCCGCCCTCGTCGCCGCCTCTCCGCTCCCCCGCCGCCCCTCCCCCAGGAGTTCACCCTGCCGGAGCTCCAGCGCTCCGTGCTGCCCGCCTACGCGGTGCGGGTTCCGCTGCAGCACCGAGCCGCCGCCACCGCTGCTTGCCGTACGGCATTGGGGGCCTGGGCGCTGGCACCGCCGCTGAGGGCCATGATGGCGGCGGAGGGAGCCGCAACGCACTACAGGTGGGGCGGGTTGTGCCTCCGTACGCGCACTGCTGCTTGTCACTTATAACTAGCTGTTGCTAGCCGTCCGGGTTCCTTCCTCAGTTCGCGAATATTCCGCATACCGTAACTCACGAACATAGCAATCAGTGCCCTTTCGTATCGCTCTCCTACGAAGGCTGGTCGAGGCGCCCCTCACGCTGGAGCTCGCCCGCAGTCGCCTACACCTGCTCGGGCGCCACCAAACCGCCCAGCCTGCACCCGCGTCACCCCCGCAACAACCGCCGCCGCCGTATGTGTCTTCAGCCGCTGGAAACCCAGCCGCCTCAACTGCAGCAGCCTTGGCAGCAGCAGCCGGACGCCAAGAGGTTGACCCACAAGCCAGTAGCACCAGCCACCGTGCCAGCTCTGGAACCGCCGGCATGCAAGCAACGAACGCCGGGGTCTCCCCACTCCCAAAGTTCGCCTGCGGAGGACTGACGCTCAATGAAGCCGCTTGCCGCTCGGAGCTATCGCGAATGACTGCCAGTCAGGATGCATGCGAGCGCCTTGTATCTCACATCCTTGGCCAGCCTGTGGACCTATCCCAGCCAGCAACATTGGAGGCCTTATGCGCACGTGAGTACCTCCATCGCCGGCCGGGAGTGCTACCACCGGACTTGCAGGTCCAGTGTCCCATGGGTCGGCGGCAGCCGCGCTTCCAGGCGTTTTACGCCAGGGCGGGCCTGCCGCCACGCGAGCGCGCACGGGCCGAGGCACTGTCGGCGTTGCTGACTCGACACGCAGCGGCGACGGAGATGGCGGCTGCGTTGCGAGCCCTGCTTGCGGCCTCTGAGGAGGCTGAGGCGGCAGCGCCGGCAGCAGCAGCGGCGAAGGAGGGATGCCGTGACCCAGCGGCAAGGACTGCCGGCGGTTCGGACCGGGAGCTCAGCCCTGAGCCAGGGCGCAATGGAGTAGAGGCGGCGGTTTATCCTGCGGGCGGTAGCGGAGCCGTAGCAGCAGCGGTTCCGGAAAGTGGATGCGGCGGTGCAGCCCGCTTCGCGCTGCATCGAGCCGGAGTGCATGGGCGTTTGGGATTTGTGTTCTGCCAGGATGCAGGCAATGCCGCTGGTCCTGCGGCGGCCACTGCATCTGCATCGGACGCTGCTGACGCCGCCGCTGCTGCTGATGGGTTGGTGGTGGTCGGGGAGCTGAGCAGTGCTCCCGTGCCGGCGCCCTCACTGCAGCAGCAGTACTGCAGCAGCGCGGAGGGAGAGCGGTACCTTCAGGTGACCTGCAGACGTAGCCTGCTGAGGATGTCTCTCATTAGGATGTGCTTCGGAAGTAGAGGCCAAAATTCGGAAGCGGTAGTGGAAAAGGCCAAACGTCAGGTTAGCGGATTCAGACTCTGCTATCCGAACCACCTGACCAAGTGGCTGTGGCAACATTGGATTAGTTGGATATAGCACACTGCTTGCCTGCTTGCAGCCATGCATCACGTATGATATCAACCACCTCCTGTTTCTTGCACCTTGCACGTGGAATAACACAGCATCTCACTGCATGCTGTGACCCAACCCAGGCCCAACTCACCCCTGCCCACTGGTACCCTTCCCCATACACCCTGCAGGGCCAGCTGCCCCTACCAGTCCTTTTCCTGGACTCCCCCCTGCCGCCGGACCCGCATCCCGGCCAGCATCCGCCCCACCCACCGCCCGGTCCTGCAGCGGGCCAGCAGCAGCTGCGGCCCGGGCTGCTGCTGGAGGTGCAGGGGCCGGAGCCCCGAGTGGCACTGCATTTCGGAGGCGAGCAGGCAGGAGAGCGGGTCGTGGACGGCAGGTAGGGGTGGGTTGGGGTGCTTGCATGTCAGGCATCCGCATACGGTTCGATGCATTTGCTACCACCCAATCCGCCTTCCGTTCCGACATCGAATCCATGCCCATGACTCTTTTCTTCCGCACTACGTCCACCCGTCCACATCTCCACAACCCCACTCTCTGCCGCCATGCAGGTCCCACGTGGCAGTAGTGGCCACCCTGGAGCCGCTCAGCCGCCAGCCGCTGCACCTGGCGCTTCCCGCCAGCGCCGTGTGGTGCGCGGGCAGCTGCTGCGGGGCCGACCAGTGTCTAGCAGCGGCGCAGGCGGGGCAGCTGCTGCACATGGCCCGGCCGCAGGTACTGCGCTGCCCCGCTGAGGAGCTGCTGCTGCCGCCGGCTGGGTGCTGCTTAGTGACGGTGACGTACCCCTACCTGCAGCTGACGCTGGGGGCGCACTGCTCGGGAGACGAAGGGTGAGGCTGGAAGGAGGAGGAGAAGGAGATGGATGTTCTGCGAGAGGGGCAAGGAAGGAGCAGCCGTATACACAGCAGGACAAGGGCAGGGACGGAGCCAGCCATCCATACAATAAGCCCCTACAGCAAACCGACGTTACCTGCACTTCCATGTTCCACCCTGTCTTTCTATGCGTCTAACATATCTCGTCCCCTCGCAGGCTCGTGGAAGCGCTGTACCAACCCCAGCCCTGGGCAGCCGTGGCCGCTGCATGGGAGGCAAGGTGAGCCTTATCTTTCATGCGTGTGTTGGCGTGGCGCATGCCGTTCCGCTCCTGCCGCGTCCTACGTCCTTGGACCTTACAGCCTGGTCACCCGCCTATCCCTCTAATTCGTGAACCGCTTTCCCCACAGCCAAGCCGACCAGCTACGTCGCCTGCTTCCTCAGCTCCGCCTCAGTTCCTCTGGCGCCCCCACCAACCCATGGGTCACCAGCTCAGCCGGCTTATGCACGCCTCCTCCCCTGGAGCTGGCAGCCCGGCAGGTGTTGTGTCTGGCAGTGATCAGCGGTTGCAGTCACAAGGAACTCGCCTCGGCACTGGGGCTGCCCGGCGGTGGGGGGCAGGCGGGTAAGGCAGCGGCGGCGGCGCTGGTGACGTCATTCCTGGAGGCGTTTCCGGGACTGGCAAAGTACCGAGAGGAGCTAGCGGTGGGTGCGGGGTGTGGGTGCCGTAGGGCCGCGGGGGGGTGTAAATAGCAAAAGAGGTTATGGAGGCAATATAGCTTCCTGCATTGTCGTGGGAGTTGGGTGCATTGCTGTTGTCGTAATGCACGGTGGCCGTCTCTTGGTTGAGGCCAAGATCGGTTTGTTAAGCTTATACGCACCCGCTGGTTTGCATGCACCCGCTGGTTTGCATGCACTCGCTGGTTTGCATGCACTCGCTGGTTTGCATGCACGAGCGCCGCATGCACTGAGTTGTTGCCTTGACGGTTTCGCTTACCTTTTTCCCTGTCCCCCACCGCATGGGGTCCCATGCACCCAACTTACGCGCCGTCCGATCCCGTCCAGACCAAGGCCAAGAAGGACGGGTAAGCCCCGCTTGCCTCCTCGTCGGCATGCAGCTATGAGCAAGGCACATGAACTGCACCATCACAGGTGCACATGTTCCCAAGCGGCGTAGGGCTGCCGAAAGCAGCGACTAACATAGATATCGTACATTCCGTGCATGTTAGTGCCCGCGCTGTGGCCTATCATGTGAACCCACACTCCCTTCCTCCCTCTCCCATGCATGGTTCTTCTTCTTTTCCCTGCCTCCCTCTCGCAGCTTCGTGAGCACCCCTGCCGGCCACCGCATCCGCCCCGCCGCGCGGCAGCTCACCGCGGGAGGTGTGGCTGCTGCCGCCAAGCTGCAGCGGCTGCTGACGCGACTACAGCTGGCCTCCGCTGCGGCCGAGCTGCTGCGCACGTCGGCAGCGCTCACGCTGCAACGACTGGAGCAGGAGCTTTCATTGCCTTTGGAGCCTTCGCAACAACAACAACAACCTCAACCGCAACAACAGCCCTCCCTAACCGCTTCTTCTTCACCCAATCTAGGACAAGAAGTTAGGGTCAGCGCCGGTAGCATTTCAGCCATTCCATCCCCTTCGTCCAAGCACCACACGAGCTCCCACCACCACCGAGCCTCGCTGGTCTGGTGCGGCGAGGCGCATGCCGCCTTCTGTGTGCCCCAGCAGCGGCTGGTGAGGCTGCTGGGGGCGGCCAAGGACGCGGCGAGTGGCGGGGTTATGCGGCACCTGGGGCTGCGGGTTCCGTTGCATGTGAGTGTGTATTACGGAGAGAGGCTGGGGCTGCTGCATTGCAGGCAGTTCGTGCCGGGGGAGGAGGGAGAGGGGTGAGCGAGGAGGGAGGCGGGGAAGGAGGGTTTGGGGGATGGTGCGGAGTGGGAACACAGTGAGGGGCGTGACGGTTGGACGACAGGTACTCTGGTTTATGTGCACATTGGCTGGTTAAGCGATGTGCTGGATGCGCGCATGCGGTGTGGTGACCGATGTCTCAAACTTAGAAGGGGTTGTGGGCTGATCCAAGGGCCCTCTGCAACCGTAAGGGGCTTGCTCGTGTTGGCTTAATGAGCCGTACGACACTGCCGCATAAGCGCGCGCGTCTGTGATTGTGCTGTGATCATGCACAGTATTTGCTGTGGAGGGACGACGACTACCTGTGATGTGGGGGCGCGGCTTTCTTTTGGGTAACGCATCGGCGATATCTGCCCCTAGGACGTGATACCTCGGACACTCTGCACCGATATGCGTAATTGCAGCGATTCTCATCGCGATAATGTGACCAGTATGCATGCAACGCGTAGGGCAGAGGCTTGTGTTTCGTACCTGTCACTTCCCATGCTAGCATTCAGGCGTTACGCCGTGGAAGGGCCGTTAATGGAGGAATGACGACAAAACCACCCAAAGCATCGCAAACAAGTAGTACCATTATAAAGGCTCCTTATACTGTTAACCATGCAATGCTAACGGGGAGTAACAGGCTTAACGCTAGAAGCGTCTGGACTCCGTAGCTGCAAGCGACTCACCCGCACAGGCACGATCCCAGCTCCTAGCTCCTCAATCTTGGCTTGTATTACACGGCTTGTATGAGGCTCCGTAGGCGAGCAATTTTTCGCGGAGGTCCAACCAGACGGACCCAAACGACCCATGGGTCGGCCTCCCCGCTTATCCTGCTCCTCGCTACCGGCATCTTCGCTGCGGCCTCGAGCGTATTACTGGTCTGGACCGCTTGCCGTGCAAGTAACTGCCACGTTCGTGGCGCGCTGGAGTTTGCTTCAGAGCTGCGGCTAGCAGCCACCTCACCAAGCACCCTTCCGCATATTGCAACAGCAGCTACCCACAACAGCAACGACAGCGGACCTTCAGTCCTAGCGACGTCACCAGCGACGGCAGCTTCTTCTTCAGCGTCAGCAGCCCTTACCCTGCGCAACCGCCATGACACGTTGGCCTCTGCAGCTCTTGAAGAGGGGACGAAGCACGGTCGCCGCCATGGGGGCACTGACACCAGTAACAGCAACAGCAGCAGCAGCAGCACAAGCGCAGCCAATAGCCAACAAGCACAAGCAGCAGCAGCGGCAGCGAAGCTTCCAAAGGTTGCTCTGTTGTTCATGGTTGGCCAGGGGGATAACCTGCTCGCCAATGAGGCACTGTGGGCAGCCTTCTTAGCACAGGCAGACGCCATGCCGCTGCCGTACGTCCTGCCATCAGCGGCCGCCGTACAATCAGCCGTACATGTGGATCTCGAGGGCCTTGTGGGTGGACCGTTGAAGCCGCCGCTACGTCAGTACGACGAAATGGCGTACCAGGTGGAGGGCAGGGTGTGTGGGATGTGTGGGTTGTGACTGCAGGCAGAAATTCTAACCCATGCAAGAGCCGCCTTGACCCTGAGCTGCAGCTTTACTTCACACGCCTGGGCTTGCATGCTTGATGTCTCATGTCCTGAACCACATCTCCGCACACACCCAAGCGCACCTCGCTGCTTCTTCTCATTGCCGCACTTCACCGCCACCACCCGTACCTACCAGGGTTACTCGCAACAGCATCTCATGCCCCAGCAAGCGGAAGCGCTTGAGCCACAATCGGAACTGGATCAGCTACCTTGCATCCGCAACTCCCGCCTTTTGGGTGTTCGCCGCGCCATGACAAGGCCCATCGGGCCTGCGGGGTCACATGGAGATCAGGTAGACACGAGATCTGAGTCCGGTGATGGCCAGGGCCCGGAAGGCTTCAGCTATGTTGAGGAAGATGAGGTCGCAATGGCGGCGGCGGTGCTCGCTGCCATCAAACGTTTAGCATTGGAGCTGTACCCTGCGCTCTCATCACCACCCAGATGTGTCCAAGCGTCCACAAACGGTAACAGCGGTAACAGCAGTAACAGCAGTAGCAGCAGTAGCTGCAGCAGAGGTGAAGGCAGCGGTTGTGGTGGTCATGTGGAGACGTGGAGCAACGGCGTCAGCAGTGTCCGTAGAGGCGATGCAGCAGCAGCTGATACGGTGGAAGAGGTGGCAGCGGAAGAGGCAGCGGCATCAGCGTATAGCTCAGCTGCCGTACAAGCTGAGGCTGCTGTGCTGCGGATGCTGTTGGAGGAGCTTGGGAGGATGGGGGTGGTGCGGCGCGTTGGAAAGGGAGATAGCAGCAATATCGGTAGCAGCAGCAGTAGCAGTGATAGCAGTAATAGCGGTGGCAGTGGCAGTGCGGATCGTCACCTGCTGCCCTTCTGGCAGTGTCTGGGGTGGCTGCCAACACAAAGTGTCGGCGGCAGCGGCAGTGGCAGCGGCAGTAGCAGTGGCAGAGACAGCAGTAGCAAGAAGGGCCTTGGGAGGGCTATGATAGTGAGGATACTAGAGAGGTTGGGGCTTGTGAAAACCACCGCAAGGCAGCAGCAGCAGCCTAGGGGCTTGCAAGCTATTGTTGGCTTGGCGGAGGAGGCCGTACGGAAGCGACTGACATTGAAGAGTACGAGAGTTGAGGCAAGGAGTTCCGGCAATCCTGGAACTTCGTGGTCCTGGATTTTGGGACTGCAACAGAGCTTGCAGACACATGCAACCCAACATGACCGGTTTGAGCAGGAAGCTCCAGAAAAGGCAACGAAGGATGCAATAGAGAAGATGGCGGAGGCAGAGGATCGGCGTCTTGCAGCTGCCTGGCAGCATTTTAGTTGCAGCAAAGGCTCTTCATTTGCTGGTAGCGGCAGCAGCAGAAGCAGCGGAGGCGGCTGGCAGCGGTATTTCCGGTTGTACGTGCACCTGCGTGACCCCTCCGCACGACCTCATCCGGGAAGTGTGCTGAGCAATGCAGTGGTGGTGTGCGGAGCCAACACCAGCCACGGATACGCGCAACACGTGCTGGTGCGGGTAGGTGCGTGGAAGAGGGTTTAGGGAAACATCGGGCCGAAGTTAGAATTGCAGGTATGTCCCACGTCGGGAATGAGGATGCATGAGAGGACCCCAGATGGACGCGTCCCGGTGTCGGGGTTCACAAAGCACTTCCCTCACAGTGGTCAGTAATGCCACCACCTCTTGCCTCCTGCCACCCATGGCCAGGCATGCGGAGCCATGCATGTGAACCGGACACCTGCCCGCTGCCTCCCTTCCTTCCTGCCTTCTGGCTGCCTCCCAGGCTGAGCTGGCGCTGCTGGCTGCAGCGCTGTCGGACCCCCTGACAGTCCGAATGGTGCTCCTCAGCGAGACCTCCATACCCGTGCGGGTGGGTGGGCCAGGGTGGTTCTTTGCACGGGCGCCTGGGGGATGAGGAGGCCAGGGGGCGGACGGCAGTTCCTGAGGTCAGAACGAAGTACGGTACCTCCAGTTCGGCAACCTGCCTAGAAGCCCTGGCCTAATGTCTGTCTTGACTTTGTCTCCATCGTTACAGCGCCATACACAACCTGCCGGCTCCGTCCTTACACCTACCACGTGCCCGCCCAGTTGGTTTCATCCTGGGGCCCTATCCTCCATCGCCCCCTTCCTTATACTCAACCTCATTCCAATCCTCCCACTGCCCTGATCCCCTGCCGTACACCCCTGCTGCTGCCAGCCCGCGCCGCTGGTGTGGGCGCAGCTCATGTGGGAGCAGCGCAGCCGGGTGGACGCCTGTCGGGACATAAACATGGACGTACAAAGGTGGGTGAACACGACACTTGATGGGTATGTATGAACGTGGACCCTGCCTACGCACGGTGGGCGTCGTCAAGTCGTTTGGTGATGAGCGCCTGGCGAGAGCTTGATCGAGATAGACTCGCGGGGATTTGGGGTAGCTAGGTTGCTTAACTACCAATGCCGCATGTGTAAGTGGCGAAGGGGTTGTGAGCGACATGCTCACGTCCGTTGTATGTGCAGTCCGCCCCTGAAAGCAGCGCGCATTTGGTGTATCAACACACCGCACGGTATCGGTCCGCTCATTTGCTCATCGCTGCTGCTGTATGTGGCCATGCGGCTAGCAGGTGGCATCCCGCCATGACCACACCACACCTCACGCGGGATCACTGGCGCAAGAGCTCGCAGGTGGGGGTTTATGGGTGGGAGATTGCATGATGGCCGACAACAGATGTTGGGTGCAGGTTACCTTTCTTTCGCTGATACAGCTCTGCGTGGCATGGACATGGACGCCCTAGCTTATCCTCCCATTTACATGTTAGTAACTAACTTATGTAAGGTACCGGTATTTAGAGGCCTGCCTCTGTGCTTCGTTACCATGTCTGACCTCCATCCGTCCGTCCGTCACCTTTAACCCCTTCCTCCCACAATGCTTGGTCTCATGGTACGCCCCTCATGCACTTCATGCCTTCGGAACCCCAACCAACCACCTTGCCAACCAACCAACCACCCTGCTAACCAACAACGGCAACACGAACGCAGTGGTTCGTGCTCACTCGCCAGCACGCAGCCCTAGCGGTGTCCGACCGTCACGTGTCGGAGGTCTTTCACCGCTTCTGCTTCACACGTCACCACAGCCTGCCAACTGCGGCCGGCCCATCGCTGCCGTCGCTGCAGCGGATAACGACGAGCCGGAATTCAAAGCCGCGTTCTCAAACACTAGCCACTGCAGCGTCGTGCTCGAGCAGGTCAACGGTGAACGGGACAACGATGAAGCAGGTTCGTGGGGCTTATGGTGCAGCTGCAGCCAGCAACCGATCCGGCAGTGTTGGTCGTGTCATCAGCAAGAGCAGCTGTGGCAACAGCAGCAGAGGTGACCCATGGGTCATGCACAAGGTGTTGACTGCGGGTTCTCAGCCTTGCGTAAGCGACGAGCACTACCTGCCGACCCTGCTGGCTTCGTACGGCCTGGATTACCAGGTGCTCCGGGACGTGCGTGCGTGCGTGTGTGTATGTGTTGAAACTGCCGGTAGTGTGCATGTGTGCAATTGTACGTGTGTGTGTGAGTGCACAAAACTGGCTGTAAGCGTGTATCTTGTATGTTTAGCGTTTGGGCTGGTTTATCTTAGTGGCCAGCGTGACGCTCACACTGCTAGCAGGTGCGGGGACACCGCTTTGGGTTCCCGTTTCGCAACCCTTCCCTCCCACGAACCTTTGCATCCACTGACTCCCTGCCGTCCACACCCACCCCTCCAAAGGATTCGTCCCTATAAAGCACCTACAAAGGCGCATCGTCCTCCAGCTGTTGCCCCTCCCCCGCTTCCCTCCTCCCTGCAGACGGACTGCCTGGGTGAAGCGCACTACGCGGATTGGTCCTGGGGCGGCGGCTGGCACCCCCGCACCTTCATGCCGCCTGACCTCACACCCATGGCTGCTGCTGCAAACCCGTCCGCAGCACGCCACGCAAACAAGCAGCTGCAGCAGCGGCAGCAGCGCAATGTTAGCAGCGGTGGCGGCAGCAATGACAGTGACAGCGACAGGATTACCGATAGTAGTGGTGATGATGCCCGTAAAGCGCCCTTTGCTGCTGGCGAGTTGCGGTGGTGGGGCCTGCTGGGAGGCGGCGGAGGTGCGGCTGCTGCCCTCAGCAGACGTGTGCTGCCACCGCAGCGGCCGCCGCCACCGGCGCCAGGCGGGGTCCGCATGTGGGGCCCGGACGAGGGATGCTGGGGTGCTGAAGGCGGCGGCGGATCAGCCGCGGATATGTCGCTAGGGCAGGTGTTCCCATCGGGGCGGCTTGGCACCTTTGGTGAGCGTGTTGTTGTTGACGGGAACGGTGGGCGGGGCGAAGACAGCAAGGAGGGAGCTGTAAACGCGTCAGGACCGGGACTAGGGGCAAGGCACGTTGCGGCTGCTGCTGAGGTGACAGAGGCGGTGAATGCAGCAGGGTCGGTGGAGGCGGCTGCTGTTGCTGCAGGAAACGCACCAACGCTACGAGAATGGCTGCAGCTGCTTGGTTATGTGCCGTTGGGTAAGGATGGTGACGGGTGGAAGGATGGGGGGGCGCTTCCGTGCACGTGTGGAAGCGTGCTGTTGGGATGTAGGTACGAAGCGGGAGGGCGGAGGGAGGGTGATCACTGAAGGCGGTTCCCTTGTGCCAGCATGTCTGAGCTACCGGTGCCTCAGCTTCCAGGGATGAGGATTCCTCACCGCTTTATGCTGCTGCATTTGCCCTGCTCGGTAGCGCTCTTACTGCCCCCGGAGCGCCGGTCTTTCACGCTATGCCCTGCCCTGCTGGTGGGAAAACACTTGCCCTGGCTGCAGTAGCACCCCCTGATCCCGGTCCCAGCCTAGCAGTCACCCCAGCCGCCAGGGGCACAGCGTTTTGGGATGTTTACACATCGATACTGGTACACTGCTATGAAGTTGTACTGCACCAGGATCACGTATCGGTACCCCTTATCCCAATTCCCTACCCCCGTCACCCTTCCCCCAGGCTACCGGTGCCACCTGTTTGCTCGCAAGTTCCCCTCGTTGACCGCTCGCCGTACGTTTGACTTTGCGCTATCATGCCCTCCTCGAGGTCTTGGACTAGCGGCCTGGTGCCGAGGAGAAGGACCTAGGTCTGCGGGAAGGGGCGGGGGAACTGCCATGCGCCTTTGCCGTACATGCACTGTGCTTCATGGAGAGGATGAAGGCCCGGGAATTGCAGAACGTTGCGCCTATTGAAGATGATGAGTTGTGTATGGTAAGGTTTCATGGCCACAGTAGCGCTTGGCAGCGAGCCAGAGGAGAACATGGAGCGAACATATGAACATAGGAGGAGGACTGACTGGTATGGACTTTGCAGCCCTGGCTACTTCCAACCAACGGCCACAAAATTGCATGTTCATTGGGGCAGCGGCAGTTGGAGCAGTTGGCGGTGTTTTGGTGGTACCTCACGTGCCCCCCGAATGCATGCTTGCCAACGGCGTTGCGCCCTTCACGACCATGCGGGAGAGACCCTTAGCAACAGGGTTATCACAATGCGGACGGTTGCTTAGTAACGCAAAAACAACTTAGGTTTCCGGCCGGGAAGGATGGAACATTTACATGTTACATATCTGAGGCGGTGATCGGGCGCATCTACTCGCCCGTATTAGCACGTTATATAGCTAAACCCCAACCATGTGAAAATACTTGCCAGGAAACCGTTTCGACCTGTGCCGACAACCAGGGTCTATACGGCTACCAGCAGCAGCATTGCAACTATGAAAGGGGGCGCAACACTTAAACCCCGCCAGGACAAGGCAATGCAACAAATACTTCATCACGCTTTTGAGGACTTCCAATCCCCAAAAGCACCCGTTCGTGCATTCAGAAAGGATCAATGCAGGACTGCCGCCCTACCCGCTCCAGTCCACAGCATGCAAGCATATTAAAAATGTACCGTGGGACAAGAAGTCATGTATCTCGCCAAATACTTCAAACAAAGCAACCAACCAAAGGAGTGGAAGCGTGAAACCCATGCATGCGTACCCGGACTACCCCGGTAAGTCTCCCAAGGCGTAGAGACAGTCCCGCACACTGTGAGAATAAGCAATTAGGAAAGGCTGCAGGCTAGTCCACACAGCATATTAACATGACACCGAAAAAAGAAACCGTATTAAGAACGCCTTACTTCATGACCACCTTGGTACTCGGGCGGTGTAGCCCAGCCAAGTGTAGCGAAAGACGCGTATATTTGTATGGACCTAAAAAAGGTTTAGAATTCATACTTGCCACAGAACTTTGACTTTCCAACAGCCGAAGTGCCTAACAAAGGCCATTTCACATAACCTAACAACATAATTGAAGATACCGAAAAGGCGGGCTCGATACCGACGAGGCAAGGAAGCATTCCGCGAAACGCATGGTGTCCCGCGAAGCAACACGGCAGGACGACCATCAACGCTTCCGGTGTGCGCAACAAGGGTACTACAAGAAACAGCAGCACGAGGACATTAACACAAGAAACCGGCCAACATCTGACGCCCTCAGCACAGCAGGCGCGCATTTGCGTGACCAGTGAGCCCCGGACAGCTCACAGGGTGGCCCGAACACATGAGCATGCGCATTGGAATCCTCAACACAGCACGCAGTGTAATGCCATGTGTCACGTGGCTAATCGTCCATCCGTGTGTTCAGCTAAACCTCCACCGGCCAACCTTCGAGCGAAAGTCACTCGCATGTCTCATCCCATCCAAATACCATGTAACCATAAAAAAGCGCTGCCACCAGGTCCGCCGCTCAACCGACCATCAGGCCTGCCCTGCAGTCTCATTCTTAAGGGGGTTCACGCTGCTTGCGCCTTTTAGCACATATAACAGCTAGCAACATGTAAGGGTGGGGCGACCGCACGGCTAAAACGGCAAACTAGCAATCCTCGCGAACAGAGCCAGGGTGATCCAACGCCCAACAAGTCAGACCTGTCCACGTACGTACTGAACTTATGTACGTAAGCGTGTCGTGGGAAACTAGGAAGTTCCACCGGAAGCAAACCGGAAGTCACCACTCATCTACCGTCTAGGACATGAATTAAGCAAATTTTAAACAATGCATCCAAGCTGCAGAGCGCCTGGCAGAGTGCTTGCTACAGGTACCCGCGTCGTAGCAAAGTCGACTGCTCAATAATAGGGGAGCACGTAACCCTTTTTCCATCGGCAAGACGCCTTCTTTAAAAAAGACATTTCAGTGTCAGGGAAATTCGTGTGTGGAGTTCCTGCCCCAAATGACCCTTCCAACCTCTTTTCTTGAACGGCATCGCATGTTGTTTTCCATGTTGACTGTCTTACCCGGTCGGCTATATCATGGCTGGGTCCAGTCGACCGGCAAGCAGTCAAGAGAACTCGAGACCCAACAGCAGCAATCATAACCTGTTCCGAATTCAACGTTCACCATAAAAACCACAGACGCTGTTCCGAGTCGCTTCGCATACCATGCGTTGTAAACAACACAGAAGTAGAACAAGAAAAACCGTTGCTGCATAAAACGAAGCTTCGATTCTGCAAGGCTACACGTCGATCACTATATAGGGTTGTACCCCATGCAGCAGGCATCAACACACAACCATTCCATCGCCTGAATCTCCGAGTTCAGAATATCTGAAGAGAAATTTAAACCAACAACAGAGGCAGTTCACGGCATTTACTTTCCGATCCGTCATGCCTCGGTCGTCACGAACATGAAGAGGCTTTCTTGGCATCCCATGTTTGTTTCCTGTGCCTCTCTCCCCACCCACAGAAAACATCACGCGAAAAAACGGTCGTTAGGACAGCCGCACGAGTTTTGTGCCTCAGTCTATCGCAAGATAAAACCTAATCCGCAAACTAAAACCAATTCTGAAACGCAAAACGGTGCCACCCACGTTCACACCCGTGTACCTCTAAACAGCCACACCCATACCGCATGGCTCAGCCTGGCACTGTAGCAACGACCCCTCCCTACATTGATCACTGTGTAGCAGCTGCATGCTGCACGCAGCTGCACATTCTCTCCCCATATCGATACGGTAGGTGATCAAACTAACCCTTGCGATCCTCAAAACACCTCCATGTAACCATACGCCTCCTAGGCATGCGTTAGCAAGCTGCATGGCACATGGTAAGCAGTGAATGCACTGCTGCCGCGTGTACAAACTTTGCTCCACTCGTGGCGTTTCGGTAAGGACCTCATTTTCCGGCAATCGCAGTATGTTCCGATTTGCGGTCAATAATAGTTATCATGCGCAAAACCTTACTTCTTTTCTGACAAGCGTTTTCCTCTGGAAACATGCGCGCGCCGTACTTGCTTCCCTCCGTTCCGTGCCATGTTCGGGCACCAACATTCCCACGCAACAACATACCGGTATGCAAGGCTTGCTTATGCGAAGGAAACCTAAAGAGTTCCATCAACGACTAGCCACAAACCACCAGCATCATAACCAGCGATTCTACATGCATCTGTCAACAGCAATGCCGAAATTCGCTTGCAGCTACACATTTAACCTGATCTTCATTCATACATCGGCCGAAGGCGGTGCAGACAGTCAGAATCACGCTCAGAAGCGATAAGCCAGCAAGCCTATCGTCTCATGATGAGCCATAGTAATCCCCAGCATCCCAGTATTCGCATACTGTAACTCCTCGACAATCACCCATGCCATCTTACATCATCGACCGCCACCACCGCCGCACGCACAACGCCACAACAACGCGCAACAGCGCATCCAAATATACTCCTCCGAACCTTTTATACATCCTTCGGACGCCTCACAGCTGATCGCGCGTCATGTTCATGTCCTACGGGATTCGAAGGTGACGCTCCGACACGACATGACGTAATGCAGCTTGGGCCGCCGGCTGTTGTGGCGGTGGGCTCCCGAGCGGTTCTGACCCATGGGTCGCTACGGCCCATGTACGGTGCCAGTGCGGCTGTTGCTGCGGTGTGAAGCTTCGAGTTGGCGTCAGGGGCCCGCTGGCGTGGAAGCCAGTGGCGGCGGCGGCGTCGAAGGGCCCGACTGTGACGGCCCCGTACTCGGCTTCGCCAGCCGAAGTAGCGGTAACGGGAGCGGCGCCGCCAGCACTGCCCCTTTGTACGACAAGACCACCACCAGCACCAGAAGCTGCGACCTCGTACTGCAAGGGGTGTTGCGGCATGTACGGCATGCCGTAACCGCCAGCGGACCTTCCCGCTAACGGCATTGACGGATTCCTGGCCAACCGCCGACCACCGGCCGACTGTGGTGACGGCGACTGTAGCGACGACGACTCGGTACGCACCGCCATCGCCACCAAGGGACCCTGTTGCTGTTGCTGCGGCGACGGCGCTGGCGGGCTGAAAGAAGACCACTGTCTGTCGTACGGAGCGCTGTCGCGCGCCGTCAGCGGCGGCGGCACTGCCTCCTCACAAGGCCCCGCGGACGACCCATGGGCTGAATTGGGTCCGCCGCTAGCCGTGCTTTGCAGCACGACAGCCTGAACGGCCGCTGCCGCCGCCTCCGCCGCCGTCGCAGCTGCCAATTCCGCCGCAGCACACGCATTAGCCGCCATGTGTTGCGCAGTCACCGCAGATCCCCTCACTGCTAATCTTCCGGTCGGTGACTCGTCGGCGACGACGGCGCCATAGCCCCGCGGCACCGTCAGTGGCGGCGGCTGCCAACGCATCATTGAAAGCTGCGGCGGCGCACGGTATCCCGCGCGGGCTGCTGCCGCCGCCGCAGCCGCCACTTGTTGGCCGGTTGGGTCTTTCGACGGCATTCCCTGAGTCGGTACGGCTACGGCTGATCTGGGTTGTGGTACGGCGTAATGGAACGGCGGCGGAGGGTGATGACGGTACGGCGGGTACGGAGCGTAAGGTGGGAAGGCGGGGTAGTACGAACCAGAGTACGGGTGATGCGGCCAGCCGCGGGGACTTGAGAACGTACGGCGTACGGGACCAGAGCTTACGCCGCCGGCGGAGGCTGATTGCTGTACGGCAGCAGCGGACGCGGCGGGATGTGGCATCGACGCGGTGGGATCTGCGGACGCTGCTGCCGTCGCGGGTGCCTCCGGAACCGCGTAACCAGGTAAGGGGCCATCCCTGTCTGCGGATGACCAGGGCGAAGGAACGCTGCTCCCGAAGCTAACAGGGCCGCCGCTGCTAGGACCGCCGCCGTTGCTTGCATGTACGGCAGCACAGGATGACGCCGGCCCCGAGTAACCTGCATGGTGGTTCGGCATTTGCGACGGGTGCCTTCCGACCATGGAGCCGAAGGCCATCAAGAATGGCGACGGATGCGGATGCTGCGAAGGATGGAGTGTCGGCCTCCGGTCCGGCCCAGGGACCGTACTGGACTCAGTAGAGGAAGGCCCGCCGTAAGAGGCTGGCTGACTGGCCCATGGGGCCGCGCCCTCAGCCGCCCCGAAACCACCAGCACCACTACCACCGGGCTCAAACTGCCCAGCCGTCGGAACGTAATCCCGCAACCTCACGCATGCTGCTTGCCGAGACCGAAGTGCCGCACAGCGATCGTACTCATCCAGGACGGAACCTTGCACCCCAGGTGCCATGGGCGCCATGCAGCCCCCGGGCTGGAGCGGGTAGCTGCTACTGCTCGACCCTAGAGGCCCGTCAACGCCGCCTCTGCAGCCGCCCATGCCCATACCAAACCCAACACTGATGCCTCCAGCACTGGCCATTCCGCCGCATGCCCCAAACGTAGAGTTGCCTTGCATCGCAAACATTTCCCCTGCCGTCGCCGGCCCCCCTCCCCCGGAGGACGGTTGAACCCCTGGCTGCTGATGTTGCTGCTGCGAATGCGGGTGCGAGTTGTGCGGTGCGGGAAGCTGTACGGCGGACGGCGCCACAGCCGAGCCCGCAACATTGCAGCTGCCGCCATTCGCTGGCAGGAAGGAATGATCTGCGGAAGAGAGCATGGTTCCCGAGCTCCGATGTGCTAGGCTGTGGTGGTGCTGCTGCTGTTGTTGCTGAAGAAGGTCCTGGCTTCGAGCCGAGTTGAAGGCGGCAAAGGGGCGTTGGGCCGCCGGGGGCCCTGAGATGGACCATTCCGCAATGCGGTTGAGATCTCCGGAATCCAGATCCCATTGTGCAGTCATGGACTGGAAGGGCCGGGGCAGCAGAGGGCGATTGCTGCCGGACGTTGGCATGCTTGCCGCTTGCTGCTGCATCTGCACCTGCTGCTGTTGCTGCTGCGACGGCCAAGGCTGTTGTGGCATATGCGGAAAGCCGCAGGAAGCTGCCCGTTGTTGAACCATGATGAAAGGTGTAGCCGGGAAACTGCTGCCATCCGCCGACACCGCCGCTGAAGCGACAGCAGCGACTGGATGTGCGCCGGCTTGACCCATGGGTCCTGAGACTGCGGGAGCGTTAGACCACGCATGCGACCACGGAACCCCGCCGGAGCCGCCTACGCCGCTTGTAGCGTAGCCCGTGCTGTTGGGAGCATTAAACTCCACAAGCGGTTCCGGGTTGACCGTTAGGGCCTTTGGGGCCACTGCAACAGCCGACGGTGCCAGTGTAGGCACGCCGTCAACCATCTCCAACGGCGCGCCCATCGCAAGCGAAAAGGCGGCAGCGGCGTCGGCGACTCCGGTGATCTCAAGGGCCTCAAAGTCCGGCTGAACCACGGGTCCGTCGCGGAAAAGTTCCCACATCGCCTTGGCTGCATTGTCGCAACCGCTTATACCACCGCTGCGCAGCACGTCCATGTCGTCTTCACCTCCTCCCCCGCCGCCGTCCATTGCCCTTCCCTCCTCCTCATCATCTTCGTCCCAAACCGAGCAGTCCTGCCATCCCAAGACGTCACTGCAAGCGCCACTGACGTCTGCCGTACCTACGGGTGCTGACATGGGCGCCGAGGCGCGGGTTGCTCCGCAGGCGGCGACTGTGGCGGCGGCGGGGGCGGCCACCGCAGACTCCCTCGCCGTCGCTGCACTGTGCAATTTGTGCCCTCCGCTGGAGGCGCCCCGCAGCGTTCGGTTTCGTGAAACACCGGCACGGACAAGTTTGCTGACGGAAGCGGCACCGCCGCCAAGCTGCCGTACATTCGGCAGCTCTGAAGCCTCATCGTCGTCGCTGACGGCGCCGCCGCCGCCGCCGCGTCGGCTCCGGCAGCGTCGACCTGACGGAGGAGAGCGAAGCGTCCAAGCAGAGTCCTCACCTCCAGACGCATCGCTTCCGCCGTCGGCGTCACCGTTGTCGTCGCACCCCGCTTCCGCCGCGTCGTCGTCAGCCGTCTCCTTTGCGTTCGCCGCTCGCTTCCGGCTTACACGGTGCTTGCCCTTCAGTACGGGAAGACCGTGTCGCAACAACCACTCTCCCAACGGCTCCAAGCTGCCGTCGTCGTGTATGACGCGTATAGACCTGCATGTGTACGAGCAGTAGAGCACCGGTAAGATCACGGTTAAACAGTACGGCCAGAAGCAGGTGCGTGAAAGGCACGTGCGTTAATTATCCAGGAATCCACGCCGCTTGTCCACGATACGGGTCCCCTGTTCCTGTGACGTCCCACGAACGGTGTGTTTTTTTGTATAACACATGGTGCTTTTCCATAAAACAGTATTACAGGAGCAGGATGGCCTATTGCTGTACTCACCGATACCACTTGGCCATACTCGAGTTGCCCAACTGCCGTACATGGATGTCGGGAGAGGGTGCCATGCATTGGGAAAGCCGTACATAGGTTTCACGTGTCCAAAGTTAGGACCGAAGACACATGCACAGGGAAGGCTAGATAAGGAACAGAGGAGAAACGAAAAGCAAACATGGGGAACCCGCTGAATTCAAAGCACGGCACGGCATGCCATCTTGACGCCATGCCTCTTGGGTGTCATATAATCACAACAAGCACCCCAGACCTACCCGCTCGAATTTACTCCGGCCGACACGCTTCCCCTTGTACATTATGCAATCTTGCTGTGAGAGGTACAAGTCTGGGTGGAAGGTTCCCCGCACTTGGCCCGCCACGAACCGCTCCCGGCCCCGCCTACGTCCTTGCGGGGTAGCCTCCTGTCCATCGTCATCTTCTTCTGCTTCGTCCGGCGCACGTACAGCTACCGTCACGGAAACAGAGTCCGGTACCTTACGTGTCGTGCCTGCTCGGCCGAGACTGCAGCAGGCCGCCGCATCACGGACAGGTCCTTCAGTTAATGTCTCCTTGCCGAGGTCCATGAAAGATAAATAATAGGACTAAGAGGTCCAATGGGCTCCAGCTTTCTTAGGGCCTCCGAGTCGCGGAGTACGTCCAAGCGAGACGTATTTCAAGCAATCCCTGCAGATGCTGACCACGACGCTGAACGCGTCTCCTTTACTCTGTGCCTCCAGCTATTGTTCCAGAGCGTTGACCACTCGACCCGCGCTGCGCGACTTGGCTTAAAGCCCCCCAAACAGCTGAAGCTGTTTGATAATCATTGTCGAGTAGTTAATTTTCCCTTTCGTGGTAGGCACCTGGGAAAGCGCAAATAAAAGGGAATTTTGTTGTTTTTAGTTTTTATTAAGAGGCTAAGGCCTCACGAGGTGTTCCTCTCCAGGTATTTCTAGAAGTAATAGAACGCTCACACAGTGAAAGCCAAGCCGAGACACACGGAGTACTTCACAGCATACGTAGGTTGCAGTATACCAGTACTGCCCCTCAAGAGGGAGGACAAGGCCAACCAGTGCCAGAAAACAGCTAATGTAACTTACTTGGAACTCCGTATCTACAGCTGCAAAAGATGTTCCACACTCCCGTTGTACCTAGAGCATGAGACGTGTGTCGTGGGTCCAGCCGGAAGACGGCTCGCTGTCAACGTTTGCAGTCAAAAGCGACTAACTTCCAACATGCTAAGCAGCTCATAATAGAGCATGAAAACCGATTGCGCAAACGAAAGTTGATAAGGTTTTCGGTAAGAGGTGCCCCTAGCATTTAATGGCCACTGTAAGCTGAAGCTAATCACTAAAGGTAATCTTGTGGGCATGAGGGCTGCGGCGCGCGCTCGCCTCTATTAATATTAACCGGCAATCCGGCATGGGTGTCTGGGAAATGACACATACGTCAATGTACTGCTGGTTAGAAGACCTTGCATTGCTAGCTAACTACAAATTCAACAAGAAAAGGTATTTCCTACAGATTTTCTTGGATGTTTGGCACCGGTACAGTCTGCCTGCCCGACAGTATGGCTTGTCCGGGATTATCATATTTCTTTATCCTGAAAAACCGTTTCCTTGTAATGGAATGACAATGGATGTTGCTATCCCTGATAGTCTTATGGTCTGTTTGCCGCGGCCATGATGGGGCTTGGATCCAAGCTCATTACACGCAGCAGCGCAGACACTTCCTGTCCTGTCAACACCCTCTATAGGAGTTTGGTGTTTGAGCAAATAGAAAAGAGGCGTTGCCAGGACAGGACCGCGCCAGGTGAAGGGGTCCTTCACCAATTTAGGGCACAACCCCAGGGATTCCTGAGCTATCCTCGGTTGGCTATCCGGTCCCAACTAAGCCGACAACCTTGTTACACGGTCGGTATGGCTAGTCATTTACCGGCAGCTGTTGCTATCACGCCCTGTCATAGCCCCACGGTTCGGGGCGCTGCTTGTGCGTCACTTAACTGCACGACTGCACAAGACAGCCGCACAGGCGATGCCTATAGGCGCCCCTGTGTGTATTCCTAGTAGTCACGTGCTTCAAATGGTACCGGGACCCTGCCAAAAGAAGAGCCCGGGCGTTGCACCTAACCCGATGGGATGAACGATGCGCCAAAGCAGTTGCGCCTACAGGTACTGCTGAAATGCAAATTGCCCTGTACCTAACTATACCGCCACTGGAATTCGGCACGCCCCGCCAGTGCTCGTTAACACTGTCTCGTCCGACAGCAAGCAACAAGGGGCACTCTATGATCCTATGATAACATGAGTTGCGTGAAGCCGCTCAGTTCGGAGCCAGACGGGAGGCGCACACCAATCAATAGCGACATCACCCATGGAGCGCATAATGCCATGCTCATTGACTGCAAGGACTTGAAACCAGTTGTTAGCTTCGGCAACAGCTTCTCCGGTGATTGAGATCCCCGTCGTCTCTCCTTCCCTCCCCCGTCTTATTATACACAAGTCGCAGCTCGTTAGGGCGTCAAGAGCGTCTTTCTCGGAATTTCAACTTCCAACTTGTCTGCATCCATGCTACCGTTCTCCTTACACGCTCCCGCTAGCTGCGAGCAACCACGAGCAACCCCATGAGTGTTAGCCCACTCCCCTTCCCAGCCTGTTATCTACTTTGCCACGCTGGAGTGCGGGTGCAGGGAGCTGAGACCTCCGTCCACCGCCAACACCTGGGGGAGGGCGAGGAGGAGGAGGCGGCGAGAGGAGGGGTTCGACGGGGAGGTAATAAAGAGGAAGGAACCGACGAGGTGTATGATGAAGTTTCACCAGGGGAGGAGAGGGGGGAAGTTTTTCACCACCATAGGTGTCCGGTGGGGAAACACGGAAGAGGTAGGCGAGGGGGTAATACGTGTCACACAATCGGTACGCGAGGGAAGAGGGACTCTTTAACTGGAATACGCCAGATATAAACAAAGGGCTTCGCTCCTGGCCAGTCTTCCCCTTCCACGCACACCTCTACTTCCCTCGCTACCCACCTGTCCGTTCACAAAGCTGCTAGCCGGAGACAGGAAGAAGGCCAGGGCCGCCGCCACGTCAGCAGGAGCGGCGAAGCGCTTGGCAGGCACCATCTCGCGAGACGCCTCTCGTACAGCCTCCGAGCGCTGCACGAGGGGGGCGTGCATGAGGGGCGGTGGACATGCATGTAGAATTGTAGACACATGGGGATGGGGCGGTCATGGGTGGCAAGATGGGCTAAGCAAGCCCACGATGGGCGGCCAGTTTTCTTAACACACAGAACGAGCAGTTTTTACTGCTGCTACTAATTCAGTGAAGCTGCGACGTCCCTCATGTACATAGTCCATTACCCCTTCCTCTTCTTCCCCCAACCCCGCTCACCACCTACCTCTGTGAACTGGGTGGTCTGCCCGGTGCGTGTGAGGCCGGGGGCCACACAGTTGACTCGGATGCCCCGGGCGGCGTAGGTGGCGGCGGCGGAGCGGGCCAGACCTGTGCCAAAGAGAAATGTTAGGAATGACGAGGCGGATGGATGCATGGAGCATCGTCGGTGTTTTTAGCAGGGGAGGATAGGCACGGCAAGAACAGCAACTGCCGTTAAACCCCCAACACGCTGCTTAATGCCGGTGACGCGTTCCTTTCATCAGACCAAGTAGAACCATGGGTCGTTCCCAGTGTTTCTATCTTCCCTCCAGGGCGATCGTGGAACCCCACGATAAGTGACGTTTTAGGCCCAATTTTTTCGACAGCCCTCACGTTCGACCCCTGAAATTTTTCGTGTACGATCCGGGGCCTCCCAAGGGCCTATTTTTTCGAAAACCGTTTTCGAAAAGGGGCTGCTAGATTTTCGTGCCTTGACCAGCCGTAGTACAGCAGCCTAATGGAAGGGCCCAATTCACGACGTGCCCGTACCCTAAAGTGTAGCGCAGCGCTTCTGCTAGATAGCCTTAACCCTTTTGCTCTCTAGGGGGAAGGGTCTCCCCCCCGACCTACTCACGCGCCCACGGTGGTTACTTGTGCGGTGGTAGTGTGCCTCCAGCCACTAGAAGTGGAAAGACCTTCCCCCTCATCACCCCACTTACCTTGGCCGTGACGGATCCCGGCTGCTGCTAGCTAACCCCAACGGTAATTGCAACCCGCACCACCACGGTTATCATGCTAAGGTCCGCCACCGCTTTTCCTTACAAGGCAGCCTGGCAGCAGGGGCGACAGCCGATTGTTGTAAGCATTGCATGCTTTTACACTTGGCGCGGCGTCGATTAAGACACGCGTTCTGGGCGTCGTTGTAACGCTCACAGCATTCAGCGCTTGCCCACCTGAAAGACGCATACATCCACATTTCAGCCCAGCCTTTATACGCACGGAGCTTCTTAAACATTGCTTGTTTGCTTCGGAATTCCAAGTCGCAAGCAAATCGCTTAACATAAATGTTCCCGCCAAACCACAAGTAAGGCGAGTCTGTGCTCGCAGTTGCAAAATAATGTTGTAATGAACAAGCTTATTACATAAGGTTGAACACAAAAGCTAATAGGCATTGCCGTCGTGTAAGTCATGGTCGCAGTTCTTGCATGTACGACGCCCTTGGTAACTATGCCAGCCAAGACTAGTAGAGGTATTCCCCCAAGAACCAGGTTGGTCTTGGCCTCTGCGGTGCTCGACAACGAAGCAAGGGAAGCCATATCAATGCAGCCCTTTGCACCACTGCACTGTCTGCGCCTTAGAAGACCCCTGGGACCATTCTGCTCCCAGGGGTCCTCCAGCATGCAGGACTGCCATGTACGCGTGTTGACACGTGTCCCCCTACCTCTTCATCACTTCACAGCTTTGGTTTGGAAGGAACAATAAGCAAAGGTGTAGGCAGCAGTATACGTGCATTGGCCATGTGTGGCGTGGAACTTCCATGTAGCCAACCAGCTTGCATAATCAGCTTGCATGGGAGGTCAGGGGTCCAGCAAGTTAGTATCGAGTTGCCTTGCTTGTTTTCCCGTAGTTGGGTGTTATGCAATGTTCCCGATACTTGTACGGTGTATGTGCCCAAACCCTGCCATGCACAAGCTACTCCACCTAACATTTAGCATGGTTGGCTCAGCTAGGTTCCTGTTTTCCTGTTATGCCGCTCTATGTCGTTCCAGCCATAACCCGACAACAAAAGACTGAGGTCGAGCCCACAAAACCAGGTAACTGTGCCATTGGAGCCTGGGGAAAAAGTGAATTGGGCAGGCTCGGTGCGTGCCTACGGCTCCGGGTTTGGGACCACGAGGCAAAAATGTGAGCGTCGATCCCACGATCTTAAGCACGTTTGACAATGTTTCATCGTGGGGCTCCACGATCACCAACCCTAGAAAGTCTCAAAGATCGTTGACGATTTTGGTCATTTTCCGCCTTAAGAAATGTGCCATTTTCAGAAATTTTTCGAAAAAACGAAGTAAGATAGAAACGCTGGTCGTTCCTCACCTTCTACTCCCGCCTTGGCCGCTGACATGGCCTCAAAGTGAGGCACGCCCGTCTCCGCCACCGCGGCCGACACCAGCACCAGCGAACCGCCGGAGGAACCCTGCTGGCTCAGAAAGCCCTGGAGAGGGCGGGGCAGGGCAGCAGCGGAACATGTAGGGCGTGAAGTAGGCTTGGGTGGCTAAAGAAGGTTAAGACTCGAGAAGAAGAGGGCACGGTCGGCACTCAACTCGCATCCGCACCCCCCGCACCATTGTTTTTCACATTCTTGTCCCACCCCCCTCCTCCCCTCCATTCCAACTCTTGCACGCCCCACCTACCTTGACCGCCGCCTGGGTGACGTTGAAGGCGGTGACCAGGTTGATGTCCAGCGTCTTCAGGGGTGCGGGGAAAGGGGCAGGAGGGGCCGGAGGCTGTCATGCCCGATTACTGGCAATTGCCCGATTGCCGTCACAGGGTGTTTCGGCAGTTGGTGGTTGCGGACTAGGGTTTGGATTGCTTGGGTCACGTGGGTCATTCCGTTCTGGGAGATCTTCTGAGTAGCATTTGGATGCCTAGATCTATAGGATGGTTGTTATGATGTGGCTTTGGCATGATTATTCTTGGTGGGAGATGCCCTGGAGGCTTCCGTAGCTCCAGGGATGGTCTGTGCTAGTGCATTTAGGTGTTGCTCGGCCCCAGTTCGGAGCCTGGCGACACGAGCGGAATGCTGCTCGCGTCGGTGAGCTATTGCAGAATGTAGGACTTCTCTTACATGTAACATGCGAGCGACGAGCAGTCTTTGCTGCCTCCGACTGTTCCTTCACAAGCCCGCACAGCGGCAGCCCCACGTAATCGGCAGCCGTCACTAGTGTTGCAGCTAGGAGGTTGTCCCAATGGGAGCTAGGCAGCTTGTCAGCGACAGCCATGCAGGCGTTGCGGCGCAGCCGCGGGCGCGCCATTGTGCTCGTCCATCTTCGTCTTCCCCACGCTTCCTCCTACGTGCCCCTCTTTCCCATCCTTCCATCCATTTATCCATCCCTCATCCATTTGCGCGATGGATAGTCGCGTCCAGGATAGCCAGCAAGCCGGTAACATGGCATGACAAGGCAGGAGTCTTGTTTCGCCACAACGTCGACTAACACCCAATCCTAATCCGACTAAACCACCGCACCTGGCAGCCACAACCTGCTACTGCCCCTGCTGCTCGTACATACCTTTTTGAAATCCTGCAGGGATGTCGTACTGGCGGACCCGGTCACCACATTGCCCACGCAGCTGGCCACGCCATCCAGTCGCCCGTGCTGGGACAGCACGCGGGAGACTACGGATTCCACCTGGAGGGGTGAGTGTAGGGGTAAAATATAAATGACAAGGGGGTTCAGCTTCCTCAAAGCTGGAAAAGGGCGGAGCCCCTCCTCTTCAGTACAGGAACGTATTATTACCACTGGAATGAATGCGATTATTACAGGGGAGTGGAACGACTCGAGTGCGACGCACAACCCTATGGGCCTTATGGACCTGGAATGCGCTCCTGTGACTCCACGGCACCAGTTGACCTAACACACCTTGTTATACGGACACTGAACCCCCTTGTTTACTGTAGTTTTAGTGCTCGTTGCATGGCTAGACGGGCTCAGAGCCATTTGTCCAGCCGAGGCCGGCCGCCTTGTTCACCCATGGCGTATGGTACATGGTGTCCTCACTCATTGCACACATTGTTAGGTTACGCCTGTTCAATCGTGTACTTAGTAACGTCTTATCATGCTTGATAACACCTACGCATTAGGCTACAGAACCCAAATCGACGGCGTAACTGCCACATGGGAGTGCTTTCAGGGCACCGCAGGTCGTTAGGGTTTCACCTACATTACTAACATGATGAGGAGGTCAGGCTCGGCAATCTCGGCATCGTGCTCAGAAGGACTTCAGCCATTGCGCCATCACATGGCATGTTAGCTTATAGGCGAGGTACCCCGTACCCGTTTGCGTTCCAGTTCATACACACAAACCAATAGCAAAGGCTGGCAACATCGTCACAAAGGATTGTGTGGGCTCTGAGTAGCACAGTAGATGCGAGCATGCTCCCGCCGGCTTTCAAAAGTAGCCCTTTACCGGCACGCCGCTGTTACCAGTTCACTAAATACTGTTTACGGTACCAGGACACACCAAAGAGGAGCGCTAATCGGTGTTGCCGAGGTGGTCCTTTTCGATGGCTGGTCAATATATTGTTTATTGCGAAATCATGTTTGTTTGGCTTCCAGTTATTTTTACTGAATACAGATAACAAATATCTATTAGGTGCAATTAATAGTTTTGTCTAGTTTATATGTTTTGACGTTACGGACACACGGACACACGGACGGACACACGGACAGGGGCAATCCTGGGGGGCTCGCCCCCCCGAAGCCGCTTCGCGGCGGGGGCTCCGCCCAAAAATGAAGCAACGGAGAGGGTGATAAGGGTAAAAGGGTGATCGGGGTACGTAAAGCACAGTAGGAGGAGACAGATGATGGGAGACCGGCTAAAAGCCAGCGACGGGAGGGGGTGAGGAGGGTCCCCGCTTTGCGCCATCATGCACACCCAACACCGCACAGCGCCCTTGTCTTGTCGTACCTGCTGTGGATTCAGAGCATCGCAAGGAAGGACATCGCCACCGCCGCCAGCAGCAGCGCCGGTTCTCTCCGCAGTCGCCGCCAGGTTGCCTTCGTCGCGACCCGCCAGGACCACAGTGGCGCCGCCGTCGCCACCGTCGCCGCCGGACCCAAGTGACCCACGGGTCAGTTGTTCGACGAGCGCTGATCCGATACCACCGCTGGCGCCAAAGACCAGGTACACTGCGTTGAATAACATACGTGTTTTTTGTAAACCAAACAAGAAGGAAGAACGAAAGTTGAGCATCAGTGATGCATGAGGAACGTGAGAACCGTCGGACGCCAAGCGACCCACCGGGTCGGTTTGACCCGCCCGCGCCGCCGGCTGCTGCTGCAGTGCCCGCTGCTGCTGTGGTACTGAAAGAACCCACGCTGCCAAGGCTTGGACTAATAACGGAGGAGGACAAGACGGAAACAGGCCGCAGTGTTGCCCCAGCTGCTGCGGCGGCGGATTTCAGCAGTGCCAGACTGCTGGGGGCCGCGCTATGAAGAGCCCGCAAGGCCATGATTTAATTGCTACCGCGAAAGCGAAGTAAGGATATTAAGGTAGCGCTGGGTGGGAGGCTGAGTTACTGCCGGCGATGAGCAAAGCGGTATGTGCAGTAGCAACAACAGAGAGGGAGCTGCGAAAGTAAGTCAGGTGTGCAAGCCGGCAAACAATTAAATCGACTAGAGCTTTCTATTTTTTATTGCGATTTGAGTATGTGGTGGTCGTGGCTTATTTGTTCGAGCTTCGTTTGGTGACGATGACAAAGATGACCATGATTGCGACCGTCGACGTCATACTGCCGTGCCGCCGTTTATCCGCTATTCCCTCGCAGCAGACGGGCCCCAAACACTGCTCGCATGCGAGAATGCGCATCACTTATTCACCGTGAAACACTGAGAGCCGTGCAAGACACGAGTCAATCATAAACTAGCTGAAAGAAGGGACGCCGGACAAGGAACGCGTCAGCCGGGGGCTGGAGAGTGCTGCTGTCTCCATGCACCTTCTGTGCAATGCAATGTGCATCTCGGAAGGCAGCTCTCCTAACCGGAACGACGCAGGGCATGCATGCATGCACGCGCTGTTGAATGGCCGCGTATAAACTGTGACCCTCATGCATAGTGGTCATGGATCCTATTGGACGGATGCCAGAAGCAACCGTGCGGCACTGACTGCCATCACAACCATCCTTACCACCACCATCATCACCATCCCTGACATTCACACAACCATATCCACCAGGTCAATGCGACACACGACATCAGGGTATCTACCGGTATACCACCATGCTGGAAGGATGCGGCGCGTTCCGCGTTACGTTCCTCCTCCTGCTGCATTGCTCCCCGCCCCTCTTCTCCCACACCACACCGCACCGCAACCTACGTTAACACAGCGCTACCTAATGCGAACGCACGTGGCTCCCATCACCCCCATGTGTGCATGCATGCCGAATGTCCACATGTATGCGCATGTAGGACACGGCCACTGTTTCGACTCGCGGCCACTTACCAAACACACATCCCGCAGTACACACGCCTGTACGGCGGCCCTGCGGGTGGAAGAGACAGGCTCCTCTTCAACCCCCTCTCCTTCCAACCGCCTTTGCTAACTGCCGTATAACCCCCCTGCATCATCCTGTCTCCGACGCGCGCCTGCCGTCCTTCACCGCTGCACGTCAGCTCCTCCTCTCCCATCTTCTCACATCCACACCGCCTGCGCTTCCCACAACCTCATGCCCTGACCCTCCCTCACACAGCCTTGGCCATGGTTCATCATTTCTTCCACTTTGTCTCCCTCCCCATACTTGACCACGGTTCCTTTTCCTCTCCCTTTATTCCTCACACACGGGTCCCTCACACCGCCTTGGCCACCTCTTTGAGCGCCTCCAGGATCTGCGCGAAGCTGGGTCGCGAGTCGGCCGCCTGGGCCCAGCAGCGCTTAACCAGGTCGGAGATCAACTGCGGGGGGAGGGTGGGGGAGGAGGTGGAGGAGGGGGCGCAGGGGCGGAGGTGTGCAGCCAGACTTGCTTCAGGAGTCTGTTGCTGGTGCCAGCGACTCAAGGAGCAGGAAGGAGTACGCACCAGGACTTCCTTCCCCCCCAGTACGACTCAGTATGAAGCAGTACAGCACAGTACGACTCACTACAACTCAGTAAGACTCCATGCAACGACCCGTTAATCCCACTCTCATTCCAGCAACAGAACGGGAACCTTCTCCCTCCTCCTCCTCCTTCCCAGCAACACGCCACCCCGCTTCCACCCGGACGGTTCGGGTTCCTCCCTTTCCCCCTGCTCTCCTCCTGACACCCCGCCCGCTTGCCTTGGGGCAGGACAGCGGCACGTCCGGCCGCTTCCCTTCCAGCACCGCCTCCCGGATGGCCCCCAGCGCCAGCCCCGAGAAGGGCGGCTCCTTGGCAACCAGCTCGTTCAGCATCACTCCGAAGGCGTACACGTCAACCTGCATGCATGGTGGCAGACAGGCAGGGGGTGAGGGGGGCGGAGGTGGGAGGTGCGTCCGGAGGTGGGGACACTCATCCCCTTCCCCAAAGCACGGATGCAACTACCCTTTCTCTCAGAAGAAGCACCCGGAAGCACCCGGAAGCACCCACCCACGTATCCTTCCTGAACCACCCCGCCACGCACACCTTCTCGTTGTAGGGCTTGTTTTCATATAGCTCGGGCGCCATGTACTGCGGAGTGCCTGCACCCGCCTGGGCCTTGCTGTTGGAGGCCAGACCAAAGTCACACACCTGGGGATAGGGGGGGGGATGCATGGGAGGGTGTATGGGAGGTAAAACGAAGAGGAATCACGCGGGGGATGTGACATGCAAAGATGTGGCATGAGGGGACGTCCGTTCCTAACCCGCAGCTGCCCCTTGCGGCAGCGCCCTCGCCCCCGGCCCCAGCTGGGCTGCACACCATGGGTCCCCCCCCCTGCCCCGCTCCACCCTACCCCCCTGCCCCCCCGCCCTTGTCGCCCCACCTTGACCTTCCACGCCCGGTCCACCAGGAAGTTAGCGGGCTTGATGTCTCGGTGCACCACCGCGGGGCGCCGGGAGTGCAGGTACACGAATGCCCTGGGAGGTGGTGGCGGGGGGGAGGAAAGGGGGAGGGATGCGGAGGGGTGGATGGATGGGGAGGGCGGGTGGTGGAAGAGGTTCGGCAGGAGAGCCCGGGCTTCCCTCGTCCAACCCACATCAGCCCATGCCTCTTCTCACCACCCTCCCAGCCCCCTCCCCACCACCTTCCCAGCCCCTCTCCCAAACCTCGCACCCCCCCCTCCGCACCTTGCAATGTCCTGCGCCAGCCCCACGATCTTCTTGCGATCCAGATCCACCCCCGCGCCGTACAGAACATGGTGCAGGCTGAAGGGCATGTGCTCCGTCACCATGGCCAGGTGCGGCGGGCGCATGCAGGCGCCCAGGAACTGCAGCACGTTGGGGTGGCGCAGCTCGGCCAGCGTCATGACCTCCTCCCTGGAGCAGGTGGAGGAGGGGGAGGAGGAGGAGGAGGAGGAGATAAGGCAGCGGGAAGAGCGGTGGGAGGGGGATGAACAAGGTATGTAAGGGGGAAGGGCATGGGAGGTGGGCGCAGGGCAGGGGGCGCCGTAGTAGGTAGGGAGACAGAGGGGCGGCAGCAGGTTGGGATAGGGAAGCAGACAAGGGGGTATGGAAGGGGGACTCGTTGGGGACGTCTTAGGGGTCGGTAAAGGTTGGCGGGAAGCACAACCCAGCCTTGGGGGAGGCCTGCACCCGCACCTTCCCTGCACCTCCTTTGCATCACCCCCACGGCTCAAGTCCCCTCCCTCCTCCCTCCCTGAGCCCCCCCTCGTCAGCTTGTTTGCTAGCATTAATAAACACCTTGGGATTCTTCTTTTCCCCACCTGAACTCCTGCACCATCTGCTCCGACTGGTTGGGGTCGAACCACTTCTTGATGGCCACCGGCGTGCCCTTCCAGAAGCCGCGGTAGACGAGGGAGAAGCCGCCACCGCCGATTTGGTCTTGCACCTCCAGGTCCTCGTAGGGGATCTGGTAAGAAGAGCTGTGGGCGCAAGGAAAGGAAGGGGAAAGGAGGAGGAGGAGGAGGAGAAGCGGGGAGAAGACGAAAGGGCGTGAAGAAGAGGAAGGAGAGTAGAGCGGGGTTGCTATGCTGGCTGCGCGAAGGCAGGGCAAGCGGAGGGAGCAGGGAGAGGAAAAGGCTGTCCCAAGGGAATCCTAAGGGGACGCGGACATACAGCGCAGCCCTATAGCCCTCAAGACGCACGGAGATGAGAGGTACGTGTCGTGGTATGCTTACGGGCTCGTATTGTTCGTGGGCCTTGGCATACGCCATGTACATGCGTGCCTACTTTGACCTCACGAAAGTGAGATTTGGCGCAGGCCCAGTGTGGATGCCATGCCATAGTTCATGAATGCATCCTTTGCACCCTTTTTACGCGTCCGGATACCTGCCTGGCGCCGCCTCCTGCGATCTGTCGTTTCAGCTCATTGTTCTCCTTTACCAAACGTTCGATCTCCTCCGGGTCCTTTATCTGAATAGTTCATGATCACAAAGAGCTCAGTCATCATGCGGCTGTAACGAGCCAGCAAGCGGACATGTCGCATGCCGTAATGTCTCTTCCGCTCACCCGCATCGAGCCCATCTGAGAAGCTAGGGACATGGTTATAGAGAGCTAAAGTGCAGCAGACACAGTAAAAGGCGGAGATTATGCACCGTCAACGCAGTCTGTGAGTTGAAAGTCTCGGCAGTTAACTCAATGTGCAGGGATAACAAGTGTATGTGCTGCAGCAAGAATGATCATACAACACCCGTTACAAAGGGCACGTTAGGAGCGCAGGGCTTAAAATTGTCACTCCGTCCGAACGTAGGCCGTACACACGCTAAGGCAATGGCCACCAGCAACACCTGGTTGTGGACTGATAGGCATGTAATAGTTAGCAATGCTTTGAACTCAGAAAGGGCGGTATTGGTTGAAGAATGCAGAAGCCCGCAGCTCCTCAGCAGAGGGCAGTTGGGGTGCTGCAGGGTGAAGACCCTACACCGACGTACAATAACTTCATCAGAAATACTTTAGGCAAGGGCGAGGTGAGACCGCTGAACGACCCTTCGCCTCCTGCAAGCAATTAACACCTTCACCTCTTGTCGTGCTGCACAGAGTGCCAACTATATTGATCACATTCAAGGACTCGGTAAGCTGAATTGACGGCTAGCTGTTGCTGGTCAGCTGCTTAGCGATCGGGTCGAGCCTTTTCACCATATCCGTCAACTCACCTTTCGCTCCACCCTTTACCACCCTACCAACAGCGGCGTTAAAGGCATATGATGAGAAACAAAGCGATCTGGTGCTGCGACAGCTGTCCAGGCTCCTGCAATATGGTCATCTCAACATGGAAGGCGTGCAGCTGGCGCTGCAGGCGCTACAAATTGACATCAGCCGCGATGACAAGTCGCTCAGTCGACTTGTTCGCTACCTGGTGGTGCTGGGGCTGGGAGACGGCTCCGCAGGCACCCCGCTACCAGTGCCTCCACAAGCAGGTGGGGTAGCAGCAGGAGCAGGAAACCACTCCGCTCCTTTCCTTCCCATCCCCATCCCCCTCTTTCCCTACCCTCTGTCCCCTGCCGCCTCCCTGTCCCCACCCCCTGCTGCCCCCCATCCACCCCACCCGTCCCCTCCATCTGCCCCCAGGCTCCACGCTGCTTGCCAAGGCGGTGGACGGGCTAGGTCTGGAGGTGCTGGTGGCCGGCTGGGCGGATCTGGGTCAGGAGCGGGCGGCCTTCGGGCGCAAGCAGGCGGCGCTGCGGGCGCTGGCGGCCATCACGCGGGCGTCGCTGACCAGCAGGCCGGGTAGGAGGAGGGAGCCGGGTAGTAGGAGCCGGGTGGCAGGAGCCGGGAAGGGGCATTACCCGGTTAACTGCCCGCCTATCGAGGTGGCAGGGGTCTTAAGACTGAGGGCGGGAGGGCGGGCTTCCACGGCAGGGGTATGGAGGTATGGAGGCACCGTCCTTACCTTCCCCCCTACCTCCCTTCCCTCCTCTCCCCTCCCTCCTCCCTCCCTCTCCCCCTCCAGATGACGTCACCTACGTGCAGGGCCTGTACGAGACGCTGCGCGGGCTGCTTGACAAGGTGGACTCGCTGCGGGCCAGCCGGCGGGGGCTGGCGGCGGTGGTCAGCCAGGCCACCAACAGGAAGAAGAACCTCATGGCGGACATGAGGTGAGGGGGGGGGCGGGGATGGAGGGGATGGAGATGGGGGGAGAGAGAGGGAAAGAAGAATACCCAATGCATGGAGAGGGGGAAGGGGAGGGGAGGGCAGCTTGTGTGGTTAGCCAGGCAGCAAGGGAACCTCATGACGGCCATGAGGTGAGGGGGCCGGGGGCAGGCGGGGATGGAGGGGGAGGGGGCAGGGTGGAGGAGGGTGCATGTGACCGCACACAGCCCTCTGGCGCGTCCAGGCGTCCTACGCCACACCACACCTCACATGACAATCCGCCCGCTCCTCGTGCCTCTCATTCCCTTCCCCCCTCCTCCTACCACCGCCTCCGCCCCTCTCTCCGCCCCCTCCCCCCCCAGGCAGCTGGCTGAGATGTGGGGTCTGCTGCGCTGCGCCTTCAGCGCCGCCCGCCTGGCGCTGCCGCGGAGTGGGCTGTACAAGGTGGCGCAGCGCAGCCTGGCGGGTGGGGGACTGGGGGGGAGTGGGCCTGGGAAGGGTTAAGGAGGCGTGTTAACAGCACCCATCCTGCTTGGTCCCTTGGATGATAACCAGGCGCCCAACGCCCCCGCCAACCACCTCCCTTCTCCTTCTCCTTCCCCTTCCCCCCCCCTCTCCTTCCCTTCCCTTCCCTCCCTTCCCCCTCCTCCATGCAGCTCTGGGCTCCTCCGACCCCGTGTGTGCCCGCCACGCCCTGGCCCTGGCCTCCCTAGTGGCCCGCGACCCGGGGGGCGCCGGCTCCTTCATCGCGGCGGTGGAGCCGCTGCTGAGGAGGAACGTGGAGGCGGGCAGGAGGACAGGTGGGGGGCGGGGGAGCTGGGGGGGCAGGATTAGGATAAACTGAGCCGCGGAAACACTGACCCTGACCGTAGTAGGATGTAGCTGAACTGTTAGAGCAGGATGTAGCTTAACTGTTACCATGTGTTGTTCTTTCTACCTGTTCAATTGTTTATTGGAAGGTAGTGGTAAGCCGTGGGAAGGGAGGAGAAAGGGCGAGGGGAGGAAGCGAGAGGGGGGACTCTCCTCGTGGCTCTGCATGCCATCGCCCCTTCTTGAACCTACCCTGCCACGCCCTCCCTCACTCCCCTCCCTCCCTCAGGCGCCCTGCACCTGGGTCTGCTGCCCGCCAAGCGCCCCGGCTCCTCCCTGCTCTCCTCCTCCTCCTCCTCCGACCCCACCTCCTCCTCCGCTGCCGCTGCTGCTGGCGACTCCTCCGATAGTCCCCTCACACTGCGAGACACTTGGGCGCGAGTATACCTGGCGCGGGCGTGTGCGGCGGCCATCCAGTCGGGCCACATCGCAGGTGGGGTTAGGGTTAGGGTAGACTACCGAGTCGCGGAAACACACTGACCCAGGTGGATTGCGAGGTAGGGTAGCTGCATGCATGCCGCTACTGTGGAGTCTGCTAGGGCAGCAGAGGCGTGGCAGGGCCCCCCCTCCGCTGCTGCTGCTGCTGCTAACGCCTTCCTTATCCCTATCCCTCTCCCATCTTAAGGTCACGGTCAGTATACAATGCGGCTCAGTGTTATCTCATCCTCCTCGCCTCCTCCTCCTCCTCACCTCCTCACCTTTCCCTCGCCTCGCCTCCCTCGCCCCCCCAGGTGACGTCGCGGGCCGCGGCTCCACCTTCTGGCAGGCGCTGGTGCTGCTGGCGGTGGCCGACCCCTGCGAGCGGGTGGCGCTGGAGGCGGTGAGGGCCATGTTCGGGGCGCCCTACCCGCGAGCAGCCTCGGCAGCAGCCATGCGCCAGCCGGGGGCGGGAGGCAGGTGAGGAGGGGTGAGGGGTGAGGCCCGTGAGGGTAGGGGTTGGGTAAAGGGGGTAAAGAGGAGGAAACAAGCAACTAACCGGGGTGATAAGGGGTGTGGGGTGGGGACGGACGAGCGGCGAGGATCCCCGGATCATCATCAACCCCTCAACGTGCATCACACCCCTCAGCATGCGTCCCCCAGTCCCCCTGAAGAGCGCATCACCCCACAGACAACCTACAAAGCACAAAGCACCCCCACGCCCACCCTCGCGGCTGCCTGCAGGCTGCCCGCGCCCTCCTCCCCCGCGGAGGTCGAGGCGGAGGCCGCTCAATCCAAGATCCTGGGTGCCTCCTGGCACCTTATCATGACGCAAGCACTCGAACTGCCGCCCCTGCCCGACCCAGCCTTTGAGGGCCCGATCCCCACCGCAGCAGTAGGACAGCAGCAGCAACAAGCGGCCCCCTCGGGTGCAGCCAAGTCCAATCCGGATGAGATCGGGTTGTTCGCTCGCATCATGCGTCGGCTGTTGCGCGGGCTGCAGAGCCGGTCTCACTCCCTGGTGTGTGGCGCGGCGCGTGCGGCTGCGGTGGTGGCGGAGGCGCGCGCCTGGTTCCATGCGCTGAGTGGGGGGCATGGGCACGAGGCGGAGCCGGAGGGGGTGCGGCGGTGGATGCGGGTGCTTGCGGGGGTGCTGGGGGGCGTGGCGGCGGATGATGGGATGAGCGGGTGTGAGAGGGCGGCGGCGCTGGAGGTAAGGAGGGAAGGGGAGGGGAGGAGGAAGGGAAGAGGGATGGGTGCAGGCTTGGGGTTGAGCGGGGTGAACATCACCTTGCCTGGGCCTGGGCCCTGTCCCACTGGCTTAGACAGCATGCGTCTGTGCCGCCCCGCTCACCACCTCACCCCCTCCTCCACCCCCTCTAAGCCCCTCCCTGTCTCTCCCCTCAACCCCCCACCCTCCTGCATGACCCCAGGCGCTCATCTGGTGCCAGGGTATCGACCAGCCGCCCTCGCTGTCGCCTGGACTGCTGCTGAGGGCGGCGGGACACGGTGAGGAAGGGAGGGAGGGGCGCAACAAGGACACAGAAGGCAACAACCACTGGCTACACCCAGATACCATGCTGAGTTCCTCCTCCCAACTTCTCCCTTCCCCCTAACCCCCGCCCCCCTTCCTTCCCACCCCTCCTCCTACCAGGCGGCTTCACTGCTCCGCCCATCGCCCGCTACACCTTCGCCGACCCCTGGCCTGCCTGCCTGCTGGCCGAGGTGTTGGGGGTGCTGGCCCGCCGACTGCGCTGCTGCGTGGGGCTGCCGCCCGAGGCGGTGTTGGAGCTGGCAGGGGGGCTGGTGGCGGGGGCGCCGGGGGCGGGGGTGAAGGAGGCGCTGCAGGCGCTGTGGGACCTGGCGCCGGGGTGAGGAGGAGAAGTGAGGGGGGGTGTCAAAGACCATATCGAACCATAAGAAGAAGGGAGGGAGAAGGAGAAAGGAGGGGGGAGGCCGTGTGTGCATGGGTGTGTATGGGTGCATGTAGTGTGTATGGCACGCGGACGGTCGTATCCCATGACGCCATGAGTCAAAACCTCCCTAGCGCCAGCGCGACCCATGGGTCACCGGACATGCCCCCTCATGTACTCCTCATGTCCACCACCACCTGCCTTCCTCACTCCCTTCCTGCTCCTCCCCCTTCCTCGGCCTCCCATCATCAGTCCGCTGTCCGCTCGCTCCGCGCTGGCGCTGCTGTCGGCCCCGCTGCCGCCGCTGTGCCACCCGCCCGCGGCGGCCGCAGTGGAGGTGAAGGCGCTAGCCTGCCAGGCGGAGGCGGGCTTCCACGGACTGCAGGTAGGGAGGTGTGTGTGACCCATGGGTCGAGATCGGCTTCCATAGGCTGAAGGCTAGTGCTGCAGTTGGGGGCCAAAACGGCGTTGACCTCCCTTCCAGTTCCACTCCTCCGTGCCCCACACCCTGCCTCCTAAACCTCCAGTACCAGCTCTGATGCCTCCCCGCACCACCCGCCTCCCACCAAAGGCCATGTCCGCTTGCTGGCTAGGCGAGCACATCAACAGCATAGCGGGTGAGTATGCCTGGAAGCCGCGGGAGGTGCGGGAGCAGCAGCAGCAGCAGAACGGGGAAGACGAGGAGGCGGGTAACCAGCAGCAACAGCAGAGCCTTAGCTCGTACAACAGCGAAGGCAACGGCAACGCGCAGCAGTACGGCAGCAGCACCAGCAGCAACAACAACGGTGGCTACTCTGGTGCCAACGGAAACGCGAATGGATTGCCGTCGGCCGTACGACAGGCCCCAGCTCTCTCAACAGCTGCTGCTGGTGCTGCTGGTGCGGGTGCTGGCGGCGCCTCCACCTCCTCCTGCTCTTCAGCGTCCGCGCTATCTCGTCTAGCAGTGAGCTCTGTAGCACACAACCCGCTGCTTGCCATGACGATCACGCAGCTGCATAGGGCCCTGTTGACAGGTGAGGGACGTGAGGCGGAGGAGGGCGGGCATGGAGGAGAGCGTGAGAAGAGGGAGAAATACAGCTGGGGCGCCTTGCTATTATATACTCCTGTCGACTATCGCCTGCCACACCACCCCTCTCACTTTCCCAGCCTTCCGTCCTACCTCCACAATCATCACTGAACACATATCTCTTCTTCTCTCCCCCCTCACCACCCCTGCAGGCCCCTCTGTCGTTCGAGTCTCATGCGCCCAGGCGCTCGCAAAGATTGCCGTACGATCAGGCGAACCCTACCGCATCCAGTGCTACAGCCTGCTAGCATCGCTGCTGGGTCGAGCAGGCGGCTCCGCTGCTGCCGCCCCTTCCCCGCCTGCTGCCTCCTGCTGCTGCCCCTCTCCTGCTGCCCTGTTTGACCCGCTTGGAGTGGCTCCGGTGGCGGCTCCAGCGCTTGAGGTGCTAGATGCCATGTACGCGGGTGAGCAGGAGGTCGGGGCGGAGGGGGGGGGTCTGCATGCATGGATGGGGTAAAGAGGAAACGGCTAACGAACCGTGTGATAAGGCGGCATCATGGATGGGGGGGCTGCATGCATGTATGTGGTTTGGTACCGGTATATTACTTGATCCCTCCCATACCAACGTCGCCCCCATGTCACACTGTCGTTTCAGGCGAGGTGGTGCTGGAGCGGCACATCGGCCAGCACGGCCCCCGCGCCCGCGACTGGCCCGCCCCCGCGCTGGCCTCCCTGCGACGGCGGCACGAGTGGCTGCTGGGGGTCATCGCATGTGCCGTGTGTGCGGTGCCCCGGGAGCTGTTCCTGCCGCTGGGGCCGCGTAGCAAGAGGCTGCTGTTCCCAGGTGGGCTGTGAGGGGGGGGGCCGGGGGCGGGGTTGAGGGGCTGTGGGGTGGCCGCAGGAATAGGCTGCAAAAGAACTTGCTACTGTGTTTACTTACATGCCCTCGCTTGCATGCGGCATGCCTACCCTAAACCCCGCAGACGAGAAGGAGGAGGCGGAGGAGGAGGCGCGTGCAGCAGCAGCAGCCGCAGCCGCATCCGACCAGCAGCAGCAGCAGCTAGCTCCCGGCGAGTACGACAACCAACAGCAGCAACAGCAGTACTACGACGAGTACGGGCAACCGTACCAGTACGACTACAGTACGGCAGAGCAGTACGATTATGGGGATTACTACGGGCAGGAGGGGCAGCGCGGGCAGGAGCAGGGGGGGCAGCAACTGGTGGATCAGCAAGACAGGTACGAAGAGAGGAGTAGTAAGAGTAGAGGGAGGTAAAGGATGGTAGAGGTGTCATCTGTCATGGTGTCAGCGTTTGAATGGGGCTTATAGGCTGGCGTAAGCACTTGTCTGGATTAACATATCAAACACGAAAGGTTCCAAAACCCTCAACTGTCGTCCCATTCCCCTTTCCCTGTACGGCAGGTACGATTTCTCCGGCTCCAAGGCCTCCGCCGCCGCCGCCGCGGTGGAGCTGCAGTGGGGCGGGGAGCAGGCGGGCGGGTACGATAACACGGATGCCACGTCGGATGCGTCAGCGGGTGAGTGAGCGGTCTGCGGGGATGGTGGTGGGGTTGGGCTGGTGGTGGTGGTGGTGGGGTAGAAATAAGGAAAACTGACGAACTGGATGACGAGGGGTGGGTGGGATGCGGGTCGAAAGCGCCCGAGAAGGGAAGGTCAGGGTAGGGGGGAAAATTATAAATAAATGCAACAACGCAATCCCAATCCCGAATCCCGACTCATGCAGTGAGCGCATTCGGGTAGGGGGGGTTGCGAGGAGGAATTGAACATGTATGGGAGGGGGCCCTTGGGGACGGATTCCGGGTTCCGCATTCCTGTTAATTCCAGTAACCAGTAATAACACTAATCCTCCCTGCTGGCTATGCTCGCAGTGGCTGATGCGAGGCCGGGAGTGGTGCTGTACTCCTTTACCGCGGAGTTGGAGGAGGAGGTGCGTGGGGGGTCAAAGAGGCACCAGCCTGTCTTTTAGGAAACCGCATGTGCCTGGGGGGTGCGGGCGGGTAGTTGGGTTTGGTATGGTGTGCTACGGACCAGCCTGGTTTGGTTAGGAGGTACGGTAGGACAATGGGCTCGAGGTGCACCTCCTATATCCTTCACTTCTTCCCTCCTCCACATTCCACCCCTCCTTCCTCACCTCGCCTCTTTACCTGCCTTACCCCCTCCCTCCCACACCATGCTTGTCGTCTTGTTTGCCATTTGTATTCAACACATTGGGTCTTCTTCTTCCCACCCCCCCCCACAACCATCACCATGCAGGTCTCCGTTACCGCCGGCGACTCCGTTCGTGTGCTCCACGACCTGGGCGAGTGGTTCCAAGTTGCAGCGCCCGGCGGGCAGTCGGGGCTGGTGCCTGCCTCCTACGTGCAGCTGCTGGACGAGGGGGGAGGCAGGGAGCGGGACACAGCGGCCTCGGGGGCGGGAACTGGGGTTGGGGATGGGGCGGGATCCGCAGGAGGCGCTGGGGCAGGAGCGGGTGTTGGGGGCAGCGGTGGCAGCAGCATGGGCCGGCCGTCGGGGCCGGGCGTGCTGCAGCCCGCGTACAGTTATGCGGAAAGCCAGCAGAGCGCCGGGACGGTTGCGGGAGCGGCGGGAGGAGGAGGAGCGACGTCGGAGTACTATACGTATCAGTACGACAATGCAGAGTATGACGTGGCAGGAAGTAGCGCTGGCGGCGGCGGCGGTGGCGGCGGAGGAGGGGAGTATGAGTCATACTATGGGGAGTACGGCACGTCAGGGTACGGAGGTGGGGATCAGTACGGAGGCGGGGCGTACGGCAGTTCCGCGTACGGCGGAGGCGGCGGGATGTACGGCGGTGGCGGTGGAGATTACGGCGGCGGCTCATCAAGCGCTGCTGCTGCTGCCGGCACGGGGCGCGGGGGTGGCAAGAAGGGCGGCTTTGGAGGTAACGACCGTGGAGCGCTTGTTTGCGTACTTGCAAGCTGAGGATAACCGCTGAGGATAACCGTGTTTAAAGCTGAGATAAAAGGATAAGGCGCGCTAACAAGAGGTGCCTGTGTGCTAATCTCCGCTATTGTGCACCATGTGTTAAGACGTAGGTCCCTTTCCTCATTCCTCCGCCCCGTTTCCAACCCTTCTTTGCTCCCCCTGCGACGTCATCCCCAATGCTCGTCCGCCCACAACAGGTTTCGACGACTTTGGTTCCGTGCTTGCGGAAGCAAAGACCGCCGCCGCCGTCGCTCGGCAGCAGCTGCAGCAACAAACGACGGCGCTGCTGGAACCCGCAACGAGGAGCACCAGCAACGCCGCCGCTGCCGCCGTTGACGGTACGGCGACGACGTCGCCAATGCCGCCGCCGCCGACGGCGGCGGACCTAACCGCCGTAACCGTGGCGGCTGAACCGCCTCAATCCTATCCCGATGGCGACACGGCTACTGCCGCCGCGGCGGCGGTTAATGACGTCACTGGCAGCGGCGACGGCGGACGGGCTGTAGCGATGTACGAGTTTGCTGCGGAAATGGAGGGGGAGTTGTCTGTGGCGGCCGGGGAGGAGTTAGAGCTGGTTGGGGGCGAGGTGGACGGCTGGTTTAGCGCTCGGGTGGTTGGGGACCCGACCCGGCAGGGCCTCATCCCCACATCCTATGTTCAAATGGCGTAGCAGGGACATAAGAGCCGATCGAGGGTGTTCAAAAGGGCCACCAACAGGGGGCATGCAGAGGGCGTGCAGCTTGCTGATGCATGAGGGGGGAGAGGAAGTAGGGTTAGTGCTGCATGGGAGGCGGATGGAGGCGGTTCGTGTATGCAACGCGCAGTAGCGCAGGAAAGCACGGAGGTGATCTGATGTCGAGTCTAGGAGGGTGTCTGAGAAGTCTCAGAAGAGAAGTGAGGGTTGGGATCGCGGGGCTGAGCCGGCTAGACGAAAGGTGCTGTATCGGAGGCTGCGGTTGGCTGGGGCCTGCTGCTGCTAGGCGGAGCTCCCCGCTTCGGGATCTCTGCGAGAAGGGCAGGGTGTTAGGAGCTAAGGACTGCTGTTGGTACGTCTGCTGCCGCCGCTGGGTGCTACGGCTGCACGTAGCCGTGCAGCCGCTGCAGAAGGTTCGTCTGAACGCATTCTTCAGCTACCGGTACATGTGCTGCGGCGGTATTGCCACGGTTGGCAGGGGCTGACCAAGAAAGAGCGCTCGGTATCACATTCGCAGCTGCATTGTCATGCGCCCAGTGCGGTGCGGCGGCCTGCTATCCCGTGTGCCGATGTTGATGGCTCTCAGGGTTTTGTGGCTTAAGTGAGCACAGGTTGTTCCTTTCTTACAACATAGCCCTGCCATCCAAGGGGCAATAAAGGGATGCCGCCAGGCGAGAGAAGAGCCCGTTGAAGCCGAGACTGTCAACAGCCGTTTCGCGTCTTCTTCATGAGAGAGCGCCCACACGGTCGTCCCTTCACTTCCACATCACACAACCTTTCAAGGCCTTATGGCCGCAGCAGAAGGGCCGGACGCTGCAGGGGCAGTTACCGCAAAACAAAGCTGATGCTGGTGTATCCCGAATGCCACCGTTATCCCGCCGCTGCCTTGTAGGCGCCACCGCAGCGTTGTTTGCTCACATGTCTACAAGGATGGTGGGCGAACGTTGGGAAGGCGGATCACCCCATGTAAGGACGCAAAAGGGCAAGCACGGGGTCAGTACCGGCACCTATTTACCGTGATAGCGATGCGGCTGCCTATAGAATGCAACCACTTAGGCAACCTAGTACACAGTGCATGCGACTATTAGGAAGCGAGCAGGCACCCATTTCGCTGTCGGCCGCAGCTGCACGACTTTCCTTCCGCAGACAAGCCCCTGCGTACCGCACGGCACATCCGTGCATGCAGCCCAGCTCCCCCTCCCATCACGGTCCTCACCCCTCACCACATCTCCCACCTGGCATGAAGTGCCCTCCCGGGCCGCCCATGTGATGATGCCCGTGCCCATGTCCGTGTCCATGTCCATGCGGACCCATGGGTCCAGGTCCATGCGGCCCGCCGCCCAGCCCTCCAAGCGGGCCTCCCATGCCCACCCCCACGCCGCCCATCATGGCCGGCAGCAGCCCAGCCAGCGGCCCCGCAGCCGCAGCCGCCATGGCGGCCCCCAGGAACCCCCCGGCAGGGTGCTGGTGGGGAACCGTGATACCCTGCATGGGACCCATGCCGGGACCATGCATGGGCGGCATGCCCAGCGGCGGCGCGCCGCCCGCCATCTCCGGCGGCAGCGGCGGCCCTCCGAAGCCGCCGCCGCCTCGGTCGCCACCTCGGTCACCGCCACGGCCTCCTCGCCCGCCGCGACCGCCGCGTCCGCTGCGGCCGCCGAAGCGGCCACCGCCACCGCCGTCACCCATTGAGTTGGATGCGTTGGGGTTGCTGGGGCCGCCGGCGGGGGCGGAGGAGCGGTTGGAGGGGCCGGCCTTGCCGCTGGCGCCGCTGCTGCCGCTGCCCGCGAACGTGACGACGCAGCTCCGGCCATTGATGGGTGTCCTGTTGCATGGGATTGGGATGGATGGGGTGGGATTGGGTAAACTGAGCATGGGGTGGGACAGGATGGGGTAACAGAGTACAGATTGGATCAAAGACATGGTATGCTGCAGCAACATACCCCCGTCATCCGCCTACAACCCCAATGCCACCCCAGCCCCTCAGAACCTCGTGTTTCCTAATCCCCAAACTGCGCAGCAACACAGCCTTACCCCGAGAGTTCCTCTTTACACCTCGCTGCTGCCTCAGGATCCACAAATTCCACCAGTACGACACCCTTTGACCGGCCTGTGGCTCGGTCCTCTGTAAACTGCAGCCCGTTGATGGGGCCGAAGTTCGAGCAGATGGCTTCCACATCCATGTCGGTCGTCCACCAAGTCATATTGGCAATGTAAACCTGTCCGCCTGCTTCCCGCGCTTCCCGTAGTGCTTGAGCGCTGGGGGCTGGGGGCTGCTGTGGTTGCTGCTGTTGCTGGTGCTGAGGTGGGGGTCTAGGTGGGGGTTGCGGCAACGCCTGCGGCTGTTCAAGCTTTATATGGAAGGGCTGCCCAACATCCATGGGGCCGCCTTGTGGCTGAGCCCCAAAGTCGTGATTCCCTGCGGGGTTGCATCCTACGCGTTAAAAGTGGTGAATGGAGGGATGGGGATGGCTATTACGGCAGAGTACCAACCTGGTCCGCGCGGATCAACCTGCAGCGGCAGCATGTTCCGATCTGGGGGCATCCCGTCCGCTTGTGGCAATCCTGCATGGTATAGTGCACCGACCGGTGACATCGTCGTCCATCCACTCCAGCTGGTCGGTACACGCATGTGCCATCCATTATAGCTATATATTTCGCTTAAGGATTACCATCAAAGTGTTCCTCAAAGTCAAACTCCATGCTGCCGACGGCTCAGATGGGACCGCCAATGTTCTTCCTATTAATTAACAAACTGCCCTTTTATATAGTATCAAGGTACATGAAGCTTATTGTAGTTACAGTTCGCTTCTGTTCGCAGCGTTATCCTCAGCACACTGTGGGATAAAGCGCAAAGGTTTCGCGACGCCGAGACATGCACACGCTTTTTCAGTAGGTGCAGGGTTTGCTAAAACACCAAACGATTAGAGAAGAGCGTGTAACTGAAACCCGGCGACGGGTACGGCATCCCTGGTGACCCGCGGGCAATTTCATATGCCCAGTAGTACCATGGCCTCTTTTACGGCTGTTCCCTGGGCTCACGGCGGAGGCAATGAACGCAACCACACGCAGCTGTTTGGCTTGCAAGGCAGGAGATGAACTGATGAAGTGATACCGGCGGCTTCTGGGTGGTTAAAAGGGAGGACGTCGCTCCTACTCTCCTACCACTACCGTCTGCCTGAACCACCTTACAAGTCTGTTGTTACTCGTGTCATCAGGCTGTCGTACGCAACGCACAACGCATGCCGTACCGCAGCCCCATCCAAAGGCCTCAAACGCCTACACATGCATGCAAGCAGCAGCACCACATGCGCCCCCAGCCAGCAGCAGCAGCACTACAGGCTGCAGGGCCCTCCTAGCAGGCGCATGTGCCTCTCGTCCATCAACCCCCCATCCCACAAACCACTGTCGCCCCTTATCGCACGTCTGAAAGGAATCCTTACATACCAAGCAGCGACTGACGGCGTGAAACCCACCGCCAGCCACAGACACACTCAAACACTATCAAAATAGCCGTGTTGGAGAAACCACAAGGCCGCTGCGCACGCATCCTCCCTCCCCCGCTCGCTGTCATTCAACGCATAGCTTCTTTCTCTTTTTCCCCCGTTACGCTGACCGCTTCCGAACCCACTTGTCCGCCGCTCTGCTACACCGCCGGTCTCAACCATGCAATAACCCCCGCCCTCGCCGGGGGCGCGACGCCGGTCGCCGGATCTTCCGCTAAGATGCTGCCTGCCATCCCTGCACATGCACCTCTTCTCCCGTCTACTCGGGCGCCTACAGGCGTCTGAATACACGTGCTAGAGCGCTATCGCAGCCGCAGCTCCGAGGCCCTGCCACAGGAGGCTTCTCAGCTATTCCCATTCTCCGCATGCAAGCTCTTATCACACGAGGCTTAGATCTTCTCCTTGTACCCCTTCCCCACATGATTCCTACGCCTCCTCGGTCGCATTTGCTGCCAGCACTCCCAAAGGTTGCCTACCCCAAAAGGTTTGGCTAAACCCTTGACAGCCCGCAGCAGGCCACTCCTCCATGGCTACACTCCTGGCATCCCGGCTCCCTCCGTCTCCGTCCGCGACTCCGGATTCAAGCACGTGACCCCACACAACCAGTGATCCAGCAGCTCCCACAGCTGAATTACTTGGCGGGCGACTTGGTGGTCAGCGAGATGCCGTGCCACTGCTTGAGCTCCTCCGCGAGCACCCGGTGAACCAGCTGGTGCTGCTTCACGATGGGCTGGTCCCTGGGAGTAGGCGGAAGGGGGACAGGGAGGGGAGAGCGAGGGGTTGGGAGGGAGGGGGAGAAAAATTATATAAGAAATGCAAACAACTAAAGTCCCAATCCCATATCCCGACTCATGCAGTGGAGGGGGAGAGGTCGGGAAGGCGGACGGTAGGAGGGTTAAGAGGGAGCTAGAGGATGGCTGCTTGTGAGGATGGGTGTGGTAGTTAAGGGGTACTGGTGGTTCGCAGTGGATCAGGCAGGGATCAAGGGGGCTGTGGATAAGATTACTGGCGCCGAGGGAGAGGCTCCTAACCCGCTTTTCCTGGCCGTCTTATTCTTTTTCGTCCTCCGCCGCAGCTAACGTCACCCACTTGAAGTCCTCAGCGGTGATGGCGATACGGTACATGGCGCCGCATCCGCCGCTCGTGTCCTGGACCTCTATGTGCTGCACGCCTTTGATGGATTCCTTCAGCTTAGCAGCAATGGCCTTCTCGGCATCGGAACTCGCTAACATGCAAAAGCTCCTTATTTGAGAGGCAAGCTTGAGCGGTGAAAGGCGAAGCATTGTGAAGAGCTTGTCGGTCAGGTTATATTTCAACCGCGTTGCTTCAAGACGAAGATCAGAACCAAGAGGAAAAGCGGCGCTGTTTAGCGCTCTGTAAAACAAGGATCTAATGAAGCAGGCGATCTGCGTTAGCCTTCGAAGACTGCCACGCGGTCGCATGAGCCGTCCGTACAGTTGTGGACACCTGCGGCTTCTGTAAACACTAAGGCATTTACCGAATGTTAATCTTATAACCCTTCGGTTTACTGGCACTTAAGCCTTGCTAGCTGCGCTTATCGCTGTCCTTACCGCAACACTACACTTCTGCCACATTTTTTTAACGAGCGCTCGCATAGAGCACGATGGCACAAGTATCTCCAGGCACCGCTTCGTCTGCGACACCGCTTACGCGTATAGAAATGCCGTCCTCAGTTGGTGGAGACGAAAGTTTTGGCGGCACCAGGTCTATTCACAGCGCCTATGTCTTTAGCGTTGATAAGCAAATTGGCGAGGGCACCTACGGGCAGGTGTTTATGGGGCATGACCGGGTAACGAACGATAAAGTGGCGTTGAAGAAGATCCGGATGGACACGGAGAAGGAAGGGTTCCCAATCACAGCAATCCGCGAAATTAAAATCTTGAGCTCCTTATCACATCCGAACGTTGTCAACTTGCGAGAAATCGTTCGCTCAGAAAGTAAGGCTGCTGCAGCAGTTTCCTGGGGCTCCAGAGGGACTGGAAGCCTTACCAGCAACCGATGCTTGCAGTTCACAAAAACAACAACTTCAAGGGGTCCATCTACATGGTCTTTGACTACGCGGAGTACGACCTGACTGGCCTAATGGAGTCGACCAAATACGTCTTCACGGAGCCGCAGGTGCGGTCTAGCCCTTGTAACGCTGTGCGCAACCGTTGGTTGCTGGTCCCTGGCACACGCTGGCGTTCATCGGCTGGGCCGCGTGCGGTTCGCCGCCGCGCAGGTCAAGTGCATCCTGAAGCAATTGCTTAAGGGCCTGGCGTACTGCCACAACAACGGGGTGCTGCATCGCGACCTCAAAGCGTCCAACATCCTCATCGACACGAAGGGAACGGTGAAGCTCGCGGATTTCGGTTTGGCACGGCCGTACGGCGGCACCGATGCGGGCTTCACAAACCGGGTGATTACGTTGTGGTACCGGTAAGTAAGCAGGCGAGTCGGCTACCCCGTGACCCCACGCTAGCTCACCCGCGGCATGCATGGTCGGTAGTGACAGTTGCATGCAGTCCTTGGGGTCACGTCTTTTAGCCCAACCATAGCCTCCCCTCCCCTCCCTTGTTCTCATCACCCCCTCCTCTCACGCTCTGGTTTGTGTATGTCCTCCCCCCCTTGGGTTGCTTGCCGTACGCCGCACACCGCCAGGCCTCCCGAGCTGCTGCTGGGTGCGGTCAAGTACGGCGGCGAGGTGGACATGTGGAGCGTGGGCTGCATCTTTGCGGAGCTGCTGACGGGGAAGCCGCTCTTCCCAGGTGGGCTTGCGGAGGACAGGGGGGAGGGGTGCTTTGGTTGGGGAGCGGCTCTGCCCAGATGGAGCTAAAAGAGGAAGCAGCAGCAAGGTCCCAGCTGTGTCTAGGGGCTGTAGAGGTTTCCTTCTCCAAAAATCGTCATGCGCACCTTGTCTCCTCTCTCCCCCCCCACAGGCAAGGATGAGATGGACCAGATGGATAAGATCTTCCAGATCATGGGAGCGCCCACCGAGCAGGCCTGGCCGGGCGTCACCAGCCTCAACCTCAAACTGTGAGCGGAGGCGTTAAGGCTATAGCACTAACGCAGCGAGGGACTACCGACTGTCCCGGGGGAGGTGTTAAAGGAGACACCTGCGATGACCTGGCAAACCAACCTGCCGAACTCTCCCGGAAACCACCGCCTAGCCCCTCCTAGGCGGTGCTTCCCTAGACGGCGAAACTTGTCGGGGGCTAGAGGAGGAGGAAGAGAACAATGTTCACGTGCTCGCATTCATGGCTCTCGCTTTGCCACAGCTCTGCCCCCCACTCACGCCCCCCCCCGCATGCATGCATGCATGCAGCTACAAGAACGTGCCCCTGGACAAGTACCCCCGGCAGCACCGGCTGCGTGAGACGCTGCGCAGCAAGGGCGTGGGGCGGCACATCAGCGAGGAGGCCATCCGGCTGCTGGAGCGCATGCTGTGCCTGGACCCCAGCAGGAGGATCACGGCAGCGGATGCAGTCATGGTGGGCTGGGGGGGAGTGGGTCGGCTGGAAACAGAGTTAGGGGTTGGAGTTGGTGAGAGAGGGGCAGAGGTGTGGTGGGTGGGTGGCATGGAAGGACCCAATGCGGTAGAAGCATGGCGACGGCGGCGGCGTATCCTCACCGGGATTCATCCCACCCTCCCTCCCTTTCGCTCTCCCTATCCTCGCCGCGCCCCCTCCAGGACCCCTACATGTGGGCTGACCCCATGCCCTGCGAGCCCCAGCAGCTGCCCTGCCGCGGCAGTGGCCACGAGTTCACGATGAAGAAGCGCCGCAACGACCAGCACCGGGAGCAGCAGGCGGGCCCGCCGCTGCCCATGCCGGGGGTGCCGGGACCAGGATACGGGGCGGGGCCGGCGGCGGCGCATGGAGGTTACGGGCAGGGACCAGACGCCAAACGGCCGAGGTGAGAGGGCGTGTGTATCGGGGTAGTTTAGGCGAGGGTTAGCGGTGGTGACGCGCAAGGCAGGTGCAGGTTTCGCAATCGCGCGGCGCAGCACCGTCCTCCCACCCCCACCCCCAACCTCTCCTTCCCAGGTACGGTGTTCCTCCCGGTGGCCCCGGGCCGCAGCCCTACCCCGGCGGCATGGGGGGCCACCAGCGGTCCATGCAGCAGGGGGCCTACCAGGCAGGCGGGCAGGGAGGCGGTGCGTACGGCAGCCACGGACAGGGCGGGGCCGCAGCGGGCGGCGGTGGCGGGTACGGCAGGCAAGCGGGCATGGGAGGTGGCGGCGGGGGAGGAGCGTACGGCATGCCGCCTCAGCAGCAGCAGCAGGGGGGCCAGCAGCAGGGGTACGGACAGCGTCAGGACGGTCGAGGCGGGCAGCCGGGAGGGTACGGTGGCGGCGGTGGTGGTGGTGGTGGTGTACCCATGGGTCCGCCGCACCACCCGCACCCGCACCAGGGGATGCAGGGGATGGGGTCTCAGGGGTATGGGTCACACCAGATGGGGGGAGGTGCGGGTGGGGGGCCGGCGGGGTACCGCAGCGGGCCGGGGGCTGGCGGGCAGCAGGGCGGGTATGGGTCCGCGGGGTCGCGAGGAGCGCTGCCACCGCCGGGGGGGCAGCAGGGCTGGCAGCAGCAGAAGCGGTAATGGGGGGTGTAGTAGGAAGGTGTAGGTTATAGGATGGAGAGAGAGGTGAGGCACTGCACCGGAGGTGGGGAGCATGTACGTGCAATGTGTGGGTGGTTATGGTAGGTAGTTAGGAACTTAAGAGGATGCGGCGGTGCAGGACAGGAAGGTTTGCAGCTGATGGGGGCTGCATTACGTCCCAGACATCGCAGTCAGGCGAGGAGCGTTGTGTCCCGCTGATTTGGGTCGGGAGTGTTTTGCAGACTGGCAGGGGTTTCCAGGGGTGCCCTTGAGAGAGGGGCGGGTAGCAAGGCGCATAATGCCATGGTCACTTGTGTCTGTAGCCGTACGGTGGGGTAGATAGCAACTAGGGACCAAAGTGACGCGTCTTGTAATTTGTATTTGTACGAACGTGGAGCACGAGCGATGGGGGAAGAGGAGTGGGGATGTGGTGGGCTACCCGGCCTAGGACTTAGGGAAGGCGGTTGCTTGACGAGGACAGCTGGGGTTGCTTCCTCAACGTAATGTGAGCGGGCGCCTTCCCCAATTGGACCTTGCAGCGGCACAGCACGTTACCGACATTGTGCCTTTGAAGGACATGCATTGTGGCCGTCTTGGATCTTCCCTTTCAGTGATGGCTTGGACTTGTGCTTTGGGGTCCCGGTGCGCTGGTGCTTGCGCTCAAGTGTCGTTTTACATGCAACATCAGTTACAAAAAAACTCTCATGTGCGGTGCTGCTGCTCTATCAGTTGACCCATCCACGCGGCTAGCAACAGCTGCCAAGCCTTAGCAGCAAGGGGAGCTGTCGGTTGGTTGTAGTACCGAATAGGAAGCGGAAGTTACACTGGAGGACAGTAGCTGAGACCATCGTCAGACGAACCGGCGACCGTTGCAATTGTTAACGTCACAGTAGCGTCTGAACTAGTTGCGTAGAACCTTTGTCCGAAAGCAGCATGTGACACCTCCTCCGATTGGCTTTCTTACAAACACGGTCAGTTGAGCGGCCGTCAGCACTGCAATGTACGCAAACTGATTACAAAGCTCAGACGTTGTTCATACAGAGGCAACAATCTAACCTTACCTCACCTAAGCGGCCGCACATTTTACATCACCTTTCTAACCAAAGCGTCTGTCAAGAGTGTTGCAATGCCAACCTAGGCTAGCGGATGCGCAGCCATCACCTTTCCCTTAGCCTGCGTTCTTCAGCATACAGCTAATATAAACCGGGTGATTGGAGAACGCAAATGTCGCGTGGGAATGGGCAGAGGAAGCGGAGACATGGTACGCGCTTTGGTACCTAGAAGCTCAGACTAACTTTGAAATTTACAGTAAAGCACGGCTGCCTATGTCTTGCAGGGGATGACGTTCATGGTGCTTTGGAGGCTCATGTTCGTGACTTCCTGCAAGTCGCGTCGCTTAGGAGTCAGGACAAGAAGCTGTTGGCATGGTCTCTGGGAGAACTGGCATGGTTTTGCTACAACTGTGCTGTCGAGCAGCTCGGCGCAGGGATGCCCGCAGTGAAGAAAGCCCTCCAAGAGGTTGACTTTTACCAAGCAGCAAGGCACATCGCTTTGGAGCGGGACATCCTAGATCAAATCCCCGAAGACGCGCTGCGTCGCGTGAGTTCCAAGATGGCAGCTCGATTCTGGGAGTCCCGTCTTTCGGAAGCCATCGTATCCTTTATCGCGCTCGGCGCAGCAGGTGCAGAGGGCTATCACGAGTTCAACGTCAGTGCTGCGATGCGGTATCAGCCTGCGGCCCGCACCAACACACCCTCTGCAGCGCCTGCGTATCAGCCCACGACAGCTGGAGCAGCATCCGCTCCCAGACGCCAATCTGCTCCACCAGCACCCTCAGCAGCTGCAGCTGCTTCCATCCCAGGCACCGGGTCTGCAGAAGCAGCCGCAGGCCCCAGCGAGCCCCCAGCCCGGCGAGCCGTCCGCAGCCACGGCACCCAGACCTGGGCACCTCCCAGCCCGCCCCGCGGCTACCCCAGGCCGCCGCAACCGGCAGCAGCTGCTGCTGCTGCTGCTGCCCCCATTAAGCAGGAACCTCCGCCTGGCTCCGCTCCCGGCCCCATAGCCCCTCCAGCTAGCGCCCAGGCGGGTCCCTCTTCCCGTCCACCAGCTGCCGCTGCGGGCCCGACGAGGGCTGCTGCGGGCCCGGCGGCGGCGGCCCACAACAGTGTTTCCGTTGCCGCTGCTGCTGCTCCCGCACCTCACCCCAGGGTAGATGGAGGCGAGCAGCGGGCAGGAGGACGGCCCCGGCCTCCCCCTCCCGGCGGCGGCTGGGTGCCGGTACGGGACCGCAACCTACCACCACCGCCGCCACCGCCACCGCAGCAGCAGCCGGTGCATGCTGCAGCCCCGGTGAAGGAGGAACAGCAGCAGCAGGAGCAGGAAGACGAGGAGCCGGTGCATGCTACGCAGCAGTCGGCGCCCACGTACGACAGACAACAGCTGCGTCAGCAACTGCTGCTGCGCGCCCCGGCGCCGATGGCAACGGGAGCAGCAGCGGCAGGAGCAGCAGCGGCAGGAGCAGCAGCGGCAGGGGCGTCATCACAGCTACCACCCCCACCACAGCCGCAGCCGCAATCCCATGACCATCACGACCCTCCTCGCAATGACAACGACGACGACAACAGCGGCGCCCAGACGGTCAGCATGGCGTGCCAAACCACGCCCGCTAGCAAGGCTGCTGCTGCAGCTGCCGCAGCCGCCGATAGAGCTGGCTACAGCCGTTTCTATGAGCCCGGCAACAGGCAGTCAAGCGTACCCTTTCCCCGCTTGCACGAGCAGCAGGAGCGGGAGCAGGCGCAGCGGCGACAGAGCTATCCAGCAGCACATCAGCAGGGACGCCACCACCGGCACGAGCAAGGACCACAGGCGCCACAGCCCGCACACCACCACAGACAGCAGCAGCCAGCAGCCCCTGTCGCAGCGGAGCAGGCAGCAGCCGGGCCCTCCGGATCCCGACATCCCAACCCAGATCGCACGCAGCCTCATTCCTCCCAGGGCCCCAGCAGCCACCACCAGCACCGCGACCGCGACCGCCGTGAGTCCCATGCAGGCAGCCAACACGCCCCGGCGTCTAACCGCTCCACGGCGCCTCGCCCACCTCCCCCGCCGCCACCTGCTGCCCCCGCTGCCGCTGCTGCTTCAGCGGCTGCCTCCCTGCTGCCCCCACACCTCCGCCCCGCAGCAGCAGCAACCCAGGCAGCAGCAGGCGCCCAGACGTCCGGTCAACAGGGCGGCCGCCAACCGCAGCAGCAACAGCACCACAATTACCAACAACCGCCTCTACCGTCCCAGCAGCAGCAACAACAGCAGCCTCAAGACCGGACCGGACCCCCAACAAACACCCACCAGCCCCAGCAGCAACGACAACACCCGCACCAAGAGCAACACCCACAACCACGCATGGGCGGGCTTCGCGGCGTCCCACTAGCCCATCGCTCCTCCCCCGCCGCTGCGGCCTTCCTCTCGCCTCCTGTTGACTCTTCCAGCCCCGACCCCGCCTCCACCATCGGAGTTACGGTCGCTAGCACAGGCGTCAGCAGCGGCACCGGGACAGCAGCAGCGCGACGCGTCATCGCCGCCACCACCACCGCTGCTGACGACCCACATGCGGACGCGTCCATGGCGGCCGCGATGGCTGCGGCGGTGGCTATGGCTGGGAGAGGTGCGGGTGCGGGTGCGGGCCCTAGTCGTCCGGGGGCTGCTGCTGCTGCTGGGGCCGCGGCTGCGGCGGCAGGCGGCAGCGCGGGAGGAGGAGCTGCAGCAGCAGCAGCAACGGATGGCGGCGAGCCGTCCTTTCAGGCGCTGCGAGGCGAGTTCAACCGGCGACGCAACAAGGGCGCACTGGAGAGCAAGCTGCGGAAGCACCTGCAGAAAATGGTGGGAAGGCTGGGAAGGTTGGTGTCGGACCGCTTGGGTTGGGTTGGGTTGGGGGAGAGTTCGTCTGGCGGGACGGGCTCGGTAGGACCTGGGATGGGCGGGATGATGGAACCAACGCTGCTCCCTGCACACCCCTCCTCCCACCCAACTCCCTGCACACCCCTCTTTCGACCCCACGCCAGTTGCCTCGTCAGTGTCTCATTATTTTTTACCCCACGCCTACCGGCCCCTCCAACGCCACTTCTCCCCCCACCCCCAGGGCAACAGTATGATCAAGAAGTACTGCCTGCATGACGGCCTGCCCTGGACGCTGCTGGACCTGGCTTGCTACGGGGTGGCCCTGCAGAAGCTGGTGAGGGCCGCAGCCCGGAGCCCCGGGGGGAGGGGTGTAGGTTTAGCATGGGGGAGTGCAGGGGGGTGTGAGCGGGCAACTGAGTGTAGGGATTACAAGGCGCATGCCGCGGGGGGGCGCGCATGCCACAGGCCGAGCCGCGGCAGGAGATGAAAACCGGGAGCCGTCACGGAGGCAGGAGCTGTTAGGGTACACTACCTTCTATACAGCTGCGGCAAACCTTGACGGCTGGAGGAAAAAGGAAACGGTGTACGGATCTGCATCACACCTCTTCCCTTTTTTCCCTCCCGCACAGGCTCCCACAGCTCCCCTGGACTACAACGCAGCTGTCCGCTTCCTCGCTCACGCCAACGGCTGGCAGCCTGGCGCCGCCGCCGCGGGGCATCATCATGCGGGGGGTGGCAGCGCTGCCGCCTCCCCCCAGCTCCCCTCAGCTGCCCTGGTGGATAAGGTGTCCGGGGTGATGCGGACGGCTGCAGCCAAGTACGATCTGGGTCGCTTCATTGAGAAACAGAGGAGCAAGAAAGGCGGGGGCGCAGCCGGCGCCGGCAACCAGGGGGTGGGATCTGGAGCGGCGGCGGGTGCGCCGGCAGGGGCTTCCGCTGCGCCGCATCAGCTGCCGTACAACCCACAAGAGCAACAAGGCCAGCATGTACAGGCCATGTTGGTGGGCGGCGCGGCAGCGCATGGTGCAGATCCAGCAGCAGCAGCTGCTGCTCCATCGCATCATCAACATCATCACCACCAGCAGCAGCAGCAGCCCCATCCCTCTCACCACCAAGTCCACGCCGGCGGTAGTGCCGCTGCCGCCATGCAGCCCTCAGCTGACCCACGGGTCACCTCCCAGCACCGAGAACGGCAGAAGAGGGACATCCTGGGCATACAGCGCAGGTCGGGGAGCGGTGCGGACATGAGCGGTCTGGAGGGGCGGCTGCGCGCGCACCTGGCTCGGTTGGGCAACAGCAAGCTGCGGCGTCGCAACGTGCGGGAGGGGCTGGGGTGGAGCCTGCTGGAGCTGGTGGTGTTGGACCGGGACGTGAGGCTGCAGCAGGTGGGATGGGGGGTGGGGGCGGCGGGAGGAGGATGAGGATGGGGGGGAGAAGGGGGGCAGGGAGGCTGCAGCTGGGGCCTGAGGGGAGCTGGAGAAGGGAGGCTGCAACGCCGTTGCTTTGCCCCTTGCATCCTGCTCGCCGATCCCGCCCCCAACGTCAAACGCCCCCCGCCCCCAACCCCACTCCTCGCAGGGCTGTGACGCGCTGCAGGAGGGAGAGGTGGCTCGACGGCTGGCTCAGTCCAAGCTGCCGGCGGGGCAAGAACTGCCCGCGTCCACCCTGGCCTCGGTGCGTTGTGGTCCTTGTGGTTCGTGGCGGGGGGCAGTTGTTGAGTCTAGGCTGAAGAGATGCGGCCTCCCCCTCTCCTTGCACCATGCCTCACCCTTGCTGCTCTTCTTCCCTTGACCCTCCTACCACTTCTTCCCTCCTGCGCCCCCCCACCCCACCCCATGCGCAGGTGTCTGCTGCCATGCGAGAAGCTCATGCCAAGTACCAGCTGGGCCCGTTTGTGGCGGCAGAGGTGGAGAAGCGGCGCAAACGGAGGAGGGGGAGCGGGGCAGCAGCAGCGGGAGGGGGGGCAGCGGCTGCAGGATCAGCAGCAGCAGCAGGCCAGGTCTGAAGGCCAGAGTAGCCACCACCACCACCCCCTGTGGCAGCCGAGATGGAGAAGAGGCAGCGCAAGCAGGGGGGAGTTCGTACGTCCCTGAGGACGAGAAGCGTGCGGCGCGGTGCGGTGCTGCGAACGCTGCGGGTGCGCAGATAGACCGGCGCTTTTCTATTTTGTTAACTTATGGTGACTGCTGCAAGTGCGGCCCCTGGTACATAGCAACAGACATGACCTGGCCTCGCCTGGACGCAAATCCGGGTTGCAGCTGTTATAGTAGACCCGTTGTTTGGTGGGTTAGGGCAGCTGGCTAGCGACTGGCGGGCAGCGGAGCGGTGGGGGGCTCGGAGGAGAGGTGGTAGGGTCGCATGCATGCCGGGGCGCGCTACCGGACCATGTTAGGGCCGCTATTTCCTCCGATTCCTCGGGTCCACGTCAGCCTGCGAGCTGAGCCCGGCAGCGAAGAGGCTGATGGGCAGGCGTTGCATGACTGGCTGAGAAACGTAGAAGAAGCATTTGTAAATAAAGCGTCAGGTGTCACCGGTTACGTCCCGTATACATCCTGGTTTTTGCGCGCTGGGAAGGCTTGAAGAGAAAGGAACTGGAGGAATGGGACGACAGCATGCAGGGGCGCGCTTGCATTATTTGGTGTAGGGGCTACAAGGGGGGAGCTCTAGGCGAGTGCGAAATCCGCGGAAGTATCATGGGCCACTGTCGTCGCTGAGCCGTGTGACGTGTGCAAGTGGACGACGTTTAAAATGTGCGGCGCAGGGCGCAGGTGCTTTTGTCGCGACACCACGGCTGTGTTAATCAGTTGTTGGGGCTGTGGCGCGTGTACCTTGTGTGTAGAGGAGGTGCTATGCGTTAGTGCTTCTGCCGTTCGTGTCTTTGCGTGGCCTTCAAACCTTATCAGCAGCTTGTCTCACAGTCTCAATGCAGCATACGTAACACGGGCCGCGATGCATGTTGTTGTGTGCTACTGCCGTACGGGTGTAGGAGCCACACGTGTCGTTAGCGCAACCTCACACCACAGCTCACAGCTCAGCCACAGTGCTTGACGGCAGCACTGGTAGCGACGGCAGCGGCTCCACGGGTTAATGTTTTTATTACCGGTATGGACGACGATGGGTATATCAGTTTCCACAGAGCTGTAAAAACAGCCGTAGCCCCTGCTTAGGACAGGACCGCGTGACGAGAACTGCACTGACGAGGCATGTGTACGACGACAACCCTTGTATGGACGGAGGACCCCTTGCTCGCGAAGGGGTGAGCCCACATGGCTTGGCTACGATAGGCAAAGGCTCCTCTGAGGGGTTGTGAGAAGGGATCGGGCCGCATGGCCTGGCGAGCAAACCGCTTGGCATCACCGTTACTCGGCCAAACGGCTTGGCTAACTGCCGTACAGCAATCGTTGAGGCGGACTGACTTTGCTTCCGTTCTCGGCCTTTATTTTTAGTATTATTTCGTTTCAGCAGCAATTTCGGTCCCAACCTCTTTATCCGTGGTCCTTCGCTGCGAGACCCTTGCCCAATCCTCAAACCCACATAACACAAAACGAGTTGTGATACATTACGACATTTGTATAAGCATACCGGCAGGAACAGGCAGGAATGTGCGATATTGTCGTAATCGTTATCATGGGCGTCAGCGGTTCCGGCAAGAGCACAGTGGGTGCGTTGCTCGCTCGGCGGCTGGGCTGCGACTTCCTGGAAGGCGACTCCTTGCACCCGCCCGCTAACATTGCCAAGATGAGATCGGGGCGCCCGCTGGGGGACGAAGACCGGCGGCCCTGGCTGCTAGCCATACATGAACACATACGGCAGGTTCGTGGAGGGAGGTGTGGGAGCTAGGGGCAGGGGCTGGGACGCGGCTGGTGTGGGAGAGGGGAGTGATTCGGGACACGGCGTTGGGGTTTGGAGAGCACGGCATGTGGACGGTGGCGACGAGGCAGAGGTGCTAGGCGGGTAGGTCGCTTGGGCTGCTCTGTGGTGGAGTTGGAGAAGGGTCAGCTGGGATGGAGTGCCCTTGGCCCTCATAATGCGAGCGGGTGGGCGGACCTGAAGGAGCATGCGAGAGCTGCCCAGCGGCTGCCCTTGCATGCTCGGGCGGCGTGTATGCATGCACGGCTGGGGGCTGGGTTAAGAGGGACGAGCATACACACACACGCGTGCCTTACGCATGCGTGCACAAGGTCGTCCCCAGGCATGGGTGACCAAGAGGTGCCGCGAGGGCGCGCCACAAGGCGTGCTGTTCGTATGTTTAGTTTTGCCGAAAAAGGTTGACATCCGGCGAGTCAGGAAGAGATTTGAGCTCCGCGCGCTGTCGCACTGCAACTTTGCACTTGTGTGACCCATGGGTCGCTGTGATTTGAGCTTTACGACGCCCAATGCAACCCGCCCTCCCCGCCTCTCCCCCTGCAGCACCTAGCCACCGGACAGCGACTGGTGGTGTCCTGCTCCGCCCTCAAGCCCGAGTACCGCTCCCTCCTAGTGTACGGCGACAGTGGTGATGCGAAGGAGGAACCGGGGGACGGGACAGCAGCTGCCTCCCCCTTGACTGGCAGGGAGGAGACGGGCTCCGCTAGGCTGCAAGAGCAGCAGCAGCAACAGGGGCAGCCTTTTACCTCGTCGTCAGCCTACACTGACAAGCCGCATGGGGTCACCAACACCACCAACAGCTGGAAACCCACTGCCATCTCCTGCTCGTCCTCAGCCGCCCATCCTGCCTCCACCGCGGCCGGGTTCACCTCCTCGCGTGTCGCCTTTGTGTTGCTGCAGCCGCCAGTTTCCGAACTGCGTCGCCGACTTGAGTTACGAGCTGCTGCTGCCAGTGCTGTTCCTGCTGCTATCGGGGAGGTCACTGCTACTGCTGCTACTTCTCCTGTAAAGCCTATTGCGCATGGTACAGATCCCGCCGCCGCAGCACAAGAAGCAGCAGCAAGAGCTGCTGCCGTTACTGATGCGGTTAACGTCAGTCACGACACCGCCGGTGCTGCCGACGTTGCTAGCGGGGGGTTCTTCCCACCTGCGCTGTTAGATTCTCAGCTGGCTGCTTTGAGGGTAGGCGAGGGGGAGCGGTTGTTCGCAACATTCGGCGGGACAGCTGCTGCTGCTGTTGGTCCAGGTGGAATCGAAAGAGGCAGTAGTAGTGGTGGTCATGAGGGTGATGCTGCTGGTGGTGGTGGTTGTGACGGTGGCGCCGGCGGAGGGTTGTTCCCCAGTCCTGAGGTCATAGTGGATCAGCTGGCTAGGCGACTGGAGGGGAGGAAGCCACCGCCGCCGCCCCCGCAGCAGCAGTTACACGGGTAGTTGCACGGAGCAGTTGCAACGGTAGAGAGGAGTACACCGTGACATCAACAAGTCAACAGCAGGAGCACCCGGCAGCACTGCTGCGAGCTGTGCACACCATGTGTGGAGTACCATAATATGTGCTGAGCGGTGCTGAGCACAGGGGTGATGTGTCGGGAGGGCCCCATGTCACAACACACCTGCTTGATCATGCGTTGTTGTTGCTGTTTCCTTAAGTACAACAACACACCCCTCTTGCTGATGCCGTCTCGCTCTCCTACCTACCCAACCGAGTACCAACCAACCCTCTGTCGCGGTCAGTCCTGCCAGAGTCGTTGGCACAAGCACCCCGCCCGTGCGCAAAACACATGTGGGCAACAGCTCAAACACGTACGGCACATGTGTCGTACATACACAAGCCGGGTGAGATCACACAAAGAGCCCCACCACCGCCACCACCACCAGCACACACCAATCCAACCAGGCGCCAAGCCCGTTGAAGACAAACACAGTACCTGTACTAAACAGCCACCATTCGATACACCCCTCAAGTCCTCATGCAATGCACTGCAGCCCCAGCTACCGACACATATCCGTCCATCAGCAAACCGTCAAACCCCGCAGTGAATCAATCCCCTCTATTCGGTCCCGTCCACCAGTCTACTTAATCTACATGCAGAGCGGCCTTCTCCTGCTCTTCAATCAGTTACCGTTACTAGGTCCATGTTCACGGGTTAGGTTTCATCACATACCAATACACCTCCACACGGGCTTCCAACGCGCCCCCCTTCACTCCGTCCTCATATCACAAATTGACAACAGTCCCTCCTCCCTCTCCTCTCTTCCACCCCCCTTCCAACTCCAGCTCCCTCACAGCAGCTCCTCCTCCCCTCCTCCCTCCCCGTCCTCCTCCTCCTCGGGATCCGGATCCACCATCAAACGGTTCAACTTCCGAGCCATGCGCCGCAGCCTTGCATGCGGTGCGGGCAGGCGGGTGGCGAGTCGAGCTATCTGGTGGTCTAGCTGCTTGAAGTGCGAGCGCGAGGAGACGGCGGCCGTGATTGTGGCGACGTCGGCGGTCCTGTGTATAGTGTGGGAGAGGAAGGGGAAGTAGGATGAGGATGTGAGGGGGGGGGCACAGCTTGGGAGCTTGGGTTGGGCAAAAGGGGCGAGGAGCCAGCGGAGTGGTGATGGAGGCAGTGGCCCACTCCTCAGCCCCCAGCCCCCCCGCAACCTAATCCTCAGCTCCCGAGGCATTTCGGCGGGGGACATCACTTTCCGGCAATCACAGTACCGGTACGTTCCTACTCGCGGCCAGTTTCCTTAACACCCAACCCCCCACCTGAACGCCTCGAACAGCGCGTCCGCCGCAAACGCCTCCTCGCTGCTCGCGAACGCCTCCACCGCCATGGCATCCTGGAAGGTGTGCCAGGCTCGCTCCGCGTCACCCGCCCACAACCACACCACCACGGCACCTGGGAGGGGGGAGGGAGAGGGGAGGCAGGGAGGGCGAGGGCGAGGAGAGGGGTGGGGGTTCGGGGTAAGGGGTCTGGAAGCCATGACATGTCGACATGACATGACATGGAGGTCTCCCAGGCATCCCAGCAGGGAGGCAGAGGCACCACAGCGCATGATGCGCTACCCGCGTCAACGTGAAACGGCTGCCGTACCGGGCCGCACACCCCACACAGCCCCCCGTCCAAAACTGGGGTTCTGCGGCTCTCGCCCTTGGCACGGCACAACACACATGCCGCATGCAGGAATGCTAATGACTCCACCCCACCCCACCACAAGTTACCCCAACCCAACCCCGCACCGCACCCCACCTACTCTCTCCCCCTGCAGCCCTGCCCCCCGCACCCACCCAGGTACGCCTTGCACTGCGAGTGGCGAATGCCGACCTTCTCACACACCGCCCCGAACCGCATCAGCACCCCCACCGCCTCCTCCCACCGCCCCTGCTTCACCAGGAAGGCAGCGGCGGCGCGGAAGGCGTCCGTCGCGTAGGCCTCCCGCTCCCCGCTCTCGTACACGTCCAGTGCGTCAAAGTGCAGGCGCAGGGCGTCGCCGGGTGCGGACTCCTCCAGGGAGCGAGCGGCGCGGGCTAAGACCTCACCCGCTAAGTGGGTTGAGGGAGGGAGGGAGGAAGGGAAGGAGGAGGGAGGAAGGGGGGTTGGAGTGGGTAGGCGAGGTGTCAGTGCGGGGTGCCGCGCTCCTGCCCAACCTTCCACCGGTGCCCCTCTCTTCCCTCTGCCCTCTGCGCATGTAAAGTGTAACCCCAACCCCCACCTCCCTCCCTTTCTCCCTCCCTCGCCCCCCCTCACCCGCCGTGGCCTTGCCCGCCTCCAAGTACTGATCCGCCGCCATCTTGAAGTAGCGAGCCGTGTCACACAGCCCCTCGCCGCCAACCACACCTCCACCGCCGCCTCTATCACCCCTCGCTGCTACTGCTGCTCTCCCCACTGCTTTCGCTACTGCCGCTGCCCCGCTGCTGCCGCCGCCCTTCTTCTTCTTCTTGCCCTTGCCGTCACCTCCTCCCTCCCCGCCTTCCTCCGCGCCTTCGCCCGTGACGTCATCATCGCCATCATCAGCGATGTCAGCTCCTCGGGCGCCGCCTCGCTGTCGGGACAGCTCGGCAATCACCTCGTAGTGCTTGGCAGCATGCCAGGGTGACTGCAGCCGCTCTTGCGCGTGTGCGGCGCGCTCGTAGCATTCAATAGCTTTGACCAGGTTGCCGCATTGCTGATGTTAGGCGGGAAGGGATGCGGGAGGGTGTCGTTTTGTGGAGGGTTGGGGTGGGGATGGGTGGAGTGTGTGAAGGTTTGGGAATGGATGGGCGCGGGGACGGGAAGCGCTATGGTTGAAAGAAGCGAGAAGTGGCTTGGTAGGAGGGGTGTAGGAAAGAGAGGCCAGAAGTCGAGGTTCTCGCAATTGGGTTGTGGTGTGGGTTACGGATGTAAGGATGGGACTACCGGTAATGCCAGCATTGGCCCAGCATATACAAGGTAAGGCTTGAGCCCGTCACAACGCGACGCATACCTTGTACAGCAGAGCAGCTCTATCCAACAACGGTGCTGCGGATTCCCAGTCTGGCTTAAACCGCAGCTCCAGCAACGATGGCGCGGTCAAGCCCTTGGCCTTCTTCAGGAGCTCTTTTGCCTCTTTCTCCATCGAAGCCAGCTTATCCTTGCTAAACGATAAGCTCATTTTTCTATGATTCTGGAAAAGAGCGACAGGGGCGACCTTCCGCCTTCAGGCGCCCCTTGCTAAGGACTTCTGCTATATTCTACTGGCCATACTTCGATACAGGGGAAAGCACTGGCTGGTAATTAGATACCGGTAAGGTGTACCCTGGACACCGTTGACAGTCGTGCACAAACGCCTCTGCAATGCAATTACAAACAAACATCTAACTAGTCTATTACAATTCTATACGTTTTGCTCCGGCAAAAACTGGACCGCATCGTCAGTCGAGCGATTGGATTTTGCGGTTGACGCTGCGCAAGACTGCTGCTGCCTCGGGCGACATGAGCACGGGCAGCTAGCATGACATGAGTTGTGCAGCACAATTGTTTGTCATGGCCTTACTGGGTGGTTCACTTGCAGCTAGCCTGTACTACATGTCCCTTGGGTCTGGCGCCTAACGACTGCAATGGAGGGGATCAGCTTGCAAGCACATATTGCTTTTTAGTACCACGCACGTTGCCCGCCAATGTACAGCACCTCCCGTTACCCTGCGTACGGTGGTCCACTTATCCCCCGGTGCCGTAGCAGCGTTGCTGCCGCCGGAGCTTGCCATCTGACCTGCACTCCTTTCACAAATGGCTTTATCACGCTTCTACGCCTGAATCTACTGGTCACTTGCGAATAGCTAGCTGATGGCCGGCTAATGCTGTGCGCCATGCATGGCGTTGGGGAGATCTCTTTCCAATCGCCCGCTGCATGTTGGGCTGCCAGCTACCTGTCACCTGACACAACTGGAAGTAGGGGATTTGAGCATTCCCACGGAGACCTCTCAGATCTTATTTTACGTGTTCTATAAATGCAAATCTCCTCCGTAATTACAAATATAGCTGAAAGCCCACAAACCACGCGAGTGTTATCTGTCGATAAACACACCGAAACACCCAACAAGCAACGACACACATGTTATGTTGGTTGTCTAAAACACTGCGCTGCTGATGAGAAGGGTCTCACACGACCATCTTTCGGCCGCCGGGATTTGTGACAAAACAGGTCTACAGGTTTCGCCCCGATCTACTACAGGGTTTGCCTCCGCAGGCGGCTAGCCCTGCCCGAAACCCAGAAGCGCCCGAGTGACTAACCAAGCCTCAACACCCTAACACATCCATGCACACGCACAGCACCGCATTTAACGGGTAGAAGCAAAGGACGAGACAAGCTCCTTGCTTCCACCTCAGGAAAAGCCCGGTTACTATCCCAGTGGGATAACGGAACCATGGGTCTGCAAGTTATCAAAAAGAAACCCGAAGCAACATGCTAAACACAGGCAGGGCGGGTGGCTTTCAGCAGCGCCGAATCCCGAACCAGAAGCCTGTGTACTATTAGTAAAAGCAGGGTTAAGGCTACCGGTACCGGTACCGCCTCCTTTCCCACAAAGCCATGCAACAAACACGTTAGGACACGACCCACTACTCCACAACCAAACGTTAACATGCGCGATTGCACCCAACATGCATGCCACCATCTCCACCACCGCCACTCCAGGTGGACCCACACCTCTTAACCATTTTCTGTTCTGGGTCTCCAATCTAACTCAAGACTATAAGCACTAGGCCAAACCACGACAACAGCACTACGACATAACCATGCAACGCAAACCGTACCATCCAGCAAGCAAGGTGAGAGGCGTCTTACTAAGCTTGTCAGCGATACTGGTACAAGCGGGAAGAGGCATCCAACAGGCCCTACCTCTCCTTTCTACACGGCTGACCATCAACAGTGTCTTATTATACACGCAGCAGCGGCAGAGCTGCTGCCATGAAACCACCATTACCAAGGAAGCACACCCTTTGCTGCCGCAACCTAAAGCCGTTCCACAGCCGTACAGCCCTATCTACAGCCGTACCAGCGGCAGTGATTAGAACTCCATTGAACCGAGGACACCCCCCAGGCCAACAGAACACAAGCAGCCGGTTCCACAGCAAGATAATGCCCAGCCCATAAAACAAGCGTGCCTATTTAATAAGGCAGCAGCAAACCCTCGCCTTGAGTACCCAGGCTTGCTCCTTTCTTGTCTGGGCTCGTCTGGGCTCCCAAACTAACTGCAAGCAGCGCACACACAATAACCATATGCCCAGGAGAGCTGCGCACAAACAGCACCACAGAGACAACACCGGTTGCAGAGCAGAAGCACAACGGCCTGCAGAGGCACAACAGCCTCCCACCAGCCTCCCATCTAGTCCTACCTACGAAAGGCATGTGTTGACAAAAAGAAAGAATCCCAGATTATTACGTCGTCACCCCAAGTCTTTTCCACCCAAGCCTTACCCAAACAGACAAGCAAAAAATGTTGTAGCAAGTGTTTGTAGCAAGTGTAATTAACAAAGCGCCCCCCCATGTGTGTCCAAACAAGCCACGTCTCCCGTCCTCTTCCTAAGCTGTATGTAGCTTCCCTTGCTCGACACTACCAAAAAAATCTGACCCACTTGGCATCTATTGGAGAGCCACGCTTTCCAACCTACCACTAGATCCCACCATAACACTTAGAAAACCATGCTACCACAAACGGCCCCCAAACACCCCTCTCAAACGACCCGCAAGTCCCATGGAGGGTTGTGGTGTGAACAAACGGCGTTTTGCTATGTTTTCTAGCCAGTCCCAAAATCCGGTCTCCAGCCTCTTCCTAAGACTCATCCCATCCGAAATGTCCGAGTCGTTATAGCAGCAGCAGCAGTCCAATGAACAAGACAGGAACAGGTTATACGGCGCTTTCGTTTAGTGGATAGGCGATAAGAAAATCAAAATCCCACCCGCAATGTCCTCAGGAACACGCAGGACACTACCCAGCCCACAGTCCCTCCTCCCATCATGTCAATGTTGCAAAGCAGCTTTAGTAGTGACTTCGATACCACAATGACCTTCGCCCAGACGCCCGGGTTTTCCCGTTCCGACAATAATCGTAACTTAAGCACCCCGATGATGTTGGGAATGGACCTGTCTGTCGGCCCCACTTCATCACCCTACACCCCTGCTAGGACAGTAGTTGAGTGGCGGCAACGACCCGCGGGTCATCCCACACGCAGTGCCAAACGAACTAAGCCCTGCCGCGCCGCTTGCCACCCAATATGCTCACATACCTTGCCACATTGCTAGCTAGAGCTGCGAATTTTACCTCAGAAGAGGAGACAGAAGCAAACAGCCAGCAAAGAACAACAACAACGCAATCACAAAATAACGCCCGCATCTCTCCGCCCCTCCGACTTCCCCTCTGAACTCACCCGAACAAACAAAAACACCACAGCTCCCTTCACGACAGGCCATCTGTATATCCATGTCCCGCTCACACCTGATCCACGCGCCTCTCTTTTTTCTTCTTTTTAGCGTTTATATGTATGTAATCGACGTATGTACGTTTTTAGTTAAGAGTCACGGACAAAGAGACTACATGGCCCTTCCCATGGTTCCTCTCTCGCAAGTCAAAATCCCCACAGGCAAAACCCCGATTGCCTAACGACTTAACCGCCAACAGAAAAGCCACAATGCACTTCGTACCAATGCCACCAACCACAACCAGCTAACAACCTTATGGATCTAGCATGGATTTTCATTTGACAGGGCTTGCTTGGGGCAAATGCACCAAACAAGGAAAGATTTGAGACAACCTCCTTTCGTCCTATGTGAAACAGAAGGAACTGACACCCCCAGTCAAGACCCCCACGTGTTTGAACGCGACAAAAACACATCGTCATTGCAGAGATTGCAAACAAACCAGTAAGACCCGTACTCGTATTTTGCGGTACTAAACAATGTTGCCGTACAGAAATAGCAGGGACACTCCAAACAAGCAAACGCATGGCAATACGGCAGCAAGCCACCATCCTTCCACTCAAAGCCTAGTGGGGAGCCAACAAAGACCAAAAGACCGTTTTGAAAAGGAACAACGACCCAACAACCTAACGTCAATATAATGCTTTTCTTTCAACGTCCCCCCCCCGGTCATATAGCCCCGCCCTTTTTACGCCGAGACCCCTATGTATATGCGACACAACCTCCGTTCCTCATACCTTTGTACTTCTCCTCGTCCTCCTCGCGTTCCCCGCCAGACGGCACAACAGCACATATACCCGCCCCAAACCTCGCCCAACCAATCACCAATACACCCAAACCTCGCGCACGCTCTCTCCTATCACGCTATCACCTGACCCCCTAGCCAAAGCGTCACCCTCCCGCATCCCTGCCTCCTCCCTGCTTACATTCCACCCCTCTTCCCTCCCGCTAATCCTCCTCCTCTTCCTTCCTCTTCCTCCTCTCTCCTCTTCCTTCCTCCTCTTCTTTCTTCCTCTTCCTTTCTGAGCCACCGTCTGTTTGCGAGCCAGCCAGACCAACCACCGCTGCCCCGCACCTTGCATGACGACTGCCGGAGCACTGCCCTCGTCGTCGTCAGCAACCCTCACCCTGCCTCACGCGTTGACGTACTTGGGTTTTGTGGTGAATATAGACACGATGCAACTCTTGGGGTTGTCCACGTTCTTGAAGGAGTGGTAGGCCAGCTCCGACAGCCGCTCCAGGGCGGTGGCGTTGGGCATCTTTTTGAGCATGTTGATGATACCCTGGGGTGGGGGGCGGGGCGGGGCTTCTCTCTCCGCTGACCCAAGTCAATTACAGCCAATACACATCACTCGCCATCAAACCTCATCAGCTCAAAACCCACCACCACCCCGATACCTCTAGGCCCCCCCGCCCTCCGCCCCACTCCTCATCTGGTCAGTTAGTGGATTCCTCTTTACCCCTCCCCCCCCCCACCTGGTCAAAGTGGTGCCACTGCAGAAAGCCGTGTCGCGCAATGAGGTCGCGCAGCTCCGCGTAGATGCGGCTGTGAAGCGTGGAGCGCGCGTAGTCCTCGGGCGCCGTCACCTGGCCTGTGGGGTGGCGGCGGAGGGGGGGCGGCGGAATGGCGGGGAGGGGAGGGCAGAGCTGTGAGAGTGGGGAGCATGGAGTGCAGTCCGTGGTTGGGGTAATGATTCCGTCAGGGCATGGGAGGGGAGGTTCGTCAAGGGCTCGGCAGCTTTCCAGGAACACCCTCTCCCTCCCATGACACCGTTGCCAACCCGCAGCCCGCCCAGCCAGCCCTTCCCCCCTGCCTGCTGATGCCTTATCACACGGTCAGTTAGTTGTTTCCTCTTTACCCTCCCTGCGTACCGCTGGCCCGCTGCTTGAGCTCGTCCAATCGGGTGGATACGGACACGTCCAGGTAGCCGGGCCCGTTGGCAAGACGACCCGCCTGGGGGGGAGCACGGAGCAAGTGTGGATTAAGAAAACTGGCCCCAGGTCGGAACGCACTGTGATTGACGAAAAGGAAACGGGATGGGGAGCGGGGTGAGCCGGGAGCGCCGCGGCAGAGTGTTTTGGCGGTAGGTTACAATGAATTGGGCAGGCAAGCGTTTGTATAACGGCCTAACGGCTCACCCTCTAACGGCTCACCCCCAGCCCCTCCCTCCCCTCCGCTCCTACCCCACCCAGCTCCTCACCTTGCCCTTCAACACCTCCTCAATTCGGTCCAACATGGCCAGACACTCCGCCGCCCCGAACTTGTCCACCAGCACCGTCATCTTGCTGAGCACCTTCTCGTCAAAGTCCTTGAGCTGCAGGCGGTGGGCCGGAGAGGGGCGGGGTGAGCGCGGGGAGGGGTCCAATACATGACTGTGATCGAGGTGGATACAAAGCGTGCACAAGGCTGCAATACGAAACAACGCGGAGAATCCTAAGCTCTTTCTCCAGCCCATTCCTCCACCCTCCCCCTCTTCGTCCTCACCAGCACCACATGGTTCTCCCGCGTCAGGTGGTAGATGCGCGACTGCACGGAGGGCGGCAGGCAGCGGAACCGACCCGGCATGTCAGCGGGGGCGCGGATCGCAGAAACCGGGGGGGATGTAGGGGCCGCTGCTTGCATGGCTGTTGCCGCACCACCGGGGGATGCGACCACGCCGCTGAAGCTGATGCCGGGGGCGCTGCTGCCGCCAGAGCCGGCCATGCCGGGGCTGGTGGTGGCGGGCGAGCGGGCTCCTCGGCCGCCGGCGGGGGAGGCGGGCGGGGCGGGCTTGGAGGCGACCTGAAGGGAGGCGGGAAGGGGGTAGGAAGGGATGGAAACCAGTGGATATCATTGGGATTCCAGGTTGAGTGGAGGACAGAGCAAAGAGGCTTTGGTGTCGGTGGATGGCTGGCCGCCAAGATGAGAGAGGACGAGGCAAGCGGCGGCCTAAGAAGGTACGAGGCCGCGTGCCACAAGCGGCGGTCCTTGCCAGCGCAGTCACTCCACACCACATGCCAGCGCTTTCCTGTTGGTTCCTTTGCAAAAAAAGGACATGCCCCCGTTCTTACAGGGGGGCCCACAATGCAGCGCATAACACCGACCCACGGGTCCCCCCCACCCGGCCGATCCACACCAACCCACGGATCCCTCCCGACCTCACCTGCTGCAGCTTGGCTGCCATGGACATACCCACGCCCGGCCCCGTGCCACCGGCGCCATCACCAACACCAGCGCCCGGGCCCTTTCCTGCCGTCGCACCCGCGGCGGATGTGCCGCCGAGGGACGCAATCGAAGAACAGGGACCCGAGGCATCCGACGCCGGCGGCGAAGGATGGCCTGCCCCCATCGGCGGCGGCGATGGAGACGGCGCGCCGCCTCCGCTTCCGCGACGCAGCACAGCGGACCCCGACGCAGGCCCCATCAATACCATGCCACCGCCGCCGCCGCTGCCTCCGCCGGGCAGCCCAGCGGAGAAACTGCTCGAGCGGCTGCTGTCGGGAGCCGCCGAGCCGACGCTGGCGGCGCCGCCGCCGCTGCGACCCGCCGTACTCCGGCCGCCGGCGGGGCTAGGTCCACCGCCGTTACCTCCCGCCGCCCCCGCCGCTGATGACGGCGACACGCCGCCACTGGGTCGGCCGATGACGCCGACGCCTGGTTGCATGGGGCTTCCCAAGCCGGGTCCTAATCCTGTCGCCTGACCTCCACCTCCCATCAACGCAGCCTCCCGCGGACCAACCGCAAAGCCGCTACCATGCGCGGGTGCAGCTCCGTACATGTCATACTGCCCAGCACTAGTTTCCATACCGGGAACACGTCGCAGTGTGCCGCCTGGAGACGGAGAGACCCGACCGTTAAAGCCATGATGTTGCATTTCAGGCGACGCATCGCCGTACATCAGGTGTTGTTGCATGTCGTACATTGAACGCGGCGGCTCTCCAGCTGACGCCGGCTGCTGAGGGTAGGTGTACGGCAGTCCACTGCCGCCCCCGGCGACGGGCCGACCGTCGATCGAGGCGCGGGGTCCATCGGGAGGTGCTGCGTAGCTGGTGCGGGTAAGCGGCGTCGCTGTTGAGGACAGGTAACCGCCGCCGTTATCGTACGACAACTGCTGTTGCTGCGGCTGCTGCTGCATGTACGGCAGCTGTTGCTGCTGCTGTTGGGGCAGCGATGGATATGCTCCGTTGCCGTTTGCTACTGCTGCCGATGCCATGAACTGCTGTTGCTGCTGCTGCTGTTGGTAGTGTTGCTGTTGCTGCTGTTGCTGCTGCTGCCGCTGCTGCCGCTGCAACAAGCCCGCATGACCTCCGCCGCTACTTCCATGACCTGGGCTGGGACCCGGTGCGCCACCAAACAACGGTACAGGCGTCCCTGCCGCTACCATACCCCCGCCAAGCTCCCCCCCAACACCTCCGCCGCCTCCATCTCCACCTAACAAGAACTGGTGCTGCTGTTGGTGCAGCTGTTGCTGCTGCAGCTGACCGGAGAGTTGACCTGACAGATGTTGTTGTTGCTGATGCTGTGACGGTTGGTGCAGGGGGGAATGGTGATGTCCTCCCGCGCCACCCCGCAAGGGCTCTGTACCGGGCAGCGACACGGGCGGCGTCGCCAACCCTGGGTCGAGCGACGAGCCGGGCCGAACCGACAGCGACGGAAGCGAATGGCCGCCGTACAACATGACGCCCGACGAGGGATGCGGCGAGGAAGTCAATGACGGCAGCTGGGACTGGGACTGACCCATGGGTCCGATCTGTCCGAGCGACAAATGCGCCAACTGGCGACTGACGCCGCCGCCGCCGCCGCCCGAAGACTGCGCCGCCGGCGAAGGGGAGGAGGAGGCGCTGGTTGGGGTTGCACCCGTCCTACCGCCGCCGGTCGCACCGGCCACGCCGGCTAGATGCGAGCCCAATAGGAACGCCGCGTCGGAGGGCGTCGTGACGCCATTCGACGTGGGCGCAGAGGTGGCGGAACCCAAATCGCCGGCGGCGGCAGCGGCTCCGAGACCCAATCCCAACCCCGAACCGAGGCACCCGAGGCCGAAGCTGCCGCCGCCGTTGCGAGTGTCGGCGGCGGCGGCGCCGCCGGGGCTGAGGCCGAGGAACAGCGACTGATCGGCGAGTGCGCTCGCGTCGCCGCCGCCGTAGCTGCCGCGTAGCGGTGACGACTGCGCCGCGTGTATGGCACGACGAGTGGGGGTGGCGGCGTCGTCGTCGACGTTAGCGAATGAAAAGCGCGAGTGGTCGTGCGGCAGGAAGGAGGGAGGTCCGCCGCCGCCGGCGGCGGAGGCCGAAGCTGAGCTGGGGGCGGGGGGCTGAGTGGAGAAGGGCGAGGTCGCGGTGCTCAGGAGGAGTGAGGAGGCGGCAGCAGAGGCGGCGTCCTGAGGCGGGCCCTGGTCGGGTCGCAGCGGCTGGCCGGTGCCTGGTGCGAATCCGAGCGCGAGGATGTCGTTGTCGTGAACTATGTGGTGCTGCGTGCTTGGTGAGAGCGAGCTGGAGCCAAGGCCGGAAGCTGGTTGGGGTGCCGGCCAAGAGGTTGCAGATGGCATGGCGCCCGGTCGCGCGCCAAGCAACTTGCAAGCCTCGGGCAGCAAACGCTTCGTCATGCCTTGCTTAAAGGCATCGCTCAACAGTGACACAATGTCGTTTACGATTGGTTCTAGGCGGAGCAAGCTGGAAAGGTCGCTCCCAGGAGAGATGCCCTCGAGGACTCCGTAGATTTCCGCCTGCGTTTTGGAGCTCAACAAAGTTAAAGCATATAGCATGCTATGTGACTTAATATGCAGCCAGAGGCATTACAACGGATAGACACTGCTTGCTGGGGGGGCTTGTGGTCCTAACGGTGCTAGAGCCGAGAGACACCGACAACTTGTTCGCACCTTCGCGGTTGTCGACAAGCGCTCCGCAACATCTTGTACCCGCTGCGGTAAGCTTTGAGCTTGTCGAAGCCTTGTAGGCTCCATCGGCGGGAAGACCTGCGCGTGAGAGGATGAGGCTGCCGGATCTCCCTTTGCCTACCAACAAAACACCAGACCAACCCCCAGCAAACGCATCAATGCATATAAATTGTGGCTATATGTAGGCGCATTGGCTCCCAGCCTCCTTATCATCGCTCTGAGCCGACAAAGAAGCTGAGGGGCCGGAAGCAGCTCCTCTCACCTGCTCGGCCAGGCCGCGCCACCACCAGCCAAGATCTTGGCCGAGCCGAAAGCTTTCGAAATAAACAGGCAATGGGAGTGAAAGTTCCTAACGGGCTTCTAGGTGACCCGAACTTCTACGCGGCTCTCACCAAGTTCCGACGCTACAATAACCACAATTATACCAGCATGAAAACTAGGATGGTTACTGGTAGTGAAAAAAGCAACTATCCAGAGTACTAGTCCGACGGGAAGTAATGCTTCCGCCGGAAGAAGCCGCGTCAGATATTCGTACGGCGGGAAACCGCGGGGCTGCACGTCATCGCAATCGGCCAGCATGCATTGTATTTTGCCCTTCTGGAACGCTTCTCTCTTGTTTAAACCAAAAACATACACAAAACTATGGGAAGCTGTGGTTCTCAGGACTGCATGGTTGCTGCAAGCGTCTTCTTGGCCGTTGAATTGTTGCATTACCTACGTTTCTGTCAGGAGTCGCGTCGCCGTTAGCAAGCATTAATGGTCTTAATTGTTTCACGGAACGTTTACTTTCACATGACAAGTCCTAGGTGCGGGAGCTGAAGCGGTGGTGACATAAGGTTTGTCTGCATATCTAATGTGAATATACCGGAATCCTTTAAGGGTTAGCTAACAGGCAGTCTGCTGGACGGCGGATGCGGGTAGCGGCCATGGCAGGGTCCAGAAGCTTTGTCAGCACGCACATACAACCTTAGCAATATGCCACCGCTCGGGCTGGGGTGTGCGTATGCGGAACATATGCTACTCGAGACGGATCACCCTGACAGGATCAGGGCATTGCAGCGTGGACACTGGCAGGTGTTGCCCCTCAAGCATACACGTGCTGCTCTTGGCTAGGGGATGCGTTGCCAGCTCGCCGTATCGGTCAAGGAATGTCACCGGTGCTGCATGCACGTGCTGTGGGAATCTCCTTTTACTGGGCTGGCTGGATTGGAATGGCTACCGTAGCGGGGCCAACAGGTTCGCCAGCTGTTGTGCCATTCCTTCCTAGCGGGGCAGCTACGCCAGCCACATAACCCACCTGCCCAACCACCCATTACCCAACCGACTGCCCCGAGTCACCTTTCGCATGACCCCGTGCCGCATGGGCCGCTGCCTCCCTTTGCTGCCCCTTCCTTCTTGTCCACTGGCCATCTCTCAGCGAAGTGCCGTTCCGTTCCTGCCAGTCGTCGGCGGTGACCCCTGGGTCGGTTTCTCGTACTGCATCCCCTTTCCAAGATACACCAACCACCCACACCATTGAGAACCCGCCATGTTCAGCTGCGGTAAAGCCGCTTGCCTCCTTACACTCACATGTTGCTGCCCACTACGGTCTTCTACGCTTCCTCCATCCTCCTGCCTTCCTCCATCCTCCTGCCAACCCTGCTGCTTGACCTCCTGATACAGGCCACTCATGCGTCTAACCGGCAACTGCAAGCGCTTGCGGGTGGTTTTGGGTCTGGAGACGCAAAGGGGAAACGAAAGGGGAAACGCAAAGGGCGGGTTGAAGACGTGGAAAATTGTATCTTGATGCGGAGACCAGCTAGGGATCGGAACTTCGGGAGGACATGCAAGTTAAGATGAGGGGGGTGCTCAGCAGGAGGTGGGAAGTGTGGGTGATCCTGGCGCCCCGGACGATACTTTGCCAGCACACGGAACTCTGCGAGGTAGCATACCCTTATGCGACTCGGTCCAAGTGTCATGACGGTGACGGGCACTCCTCTGGACACTACACCCGGTGCGATGGTTGCAACTCTGTCGGGCACGGAGCTAGCAGGCAAATGTTTTTAGCTGCAACTGATTTTACAGCAGCTGTCAGTATAAAATGCCGGAACGGAATGGGCCCATGAGCCGCGGCTGCAACAGGTGGGACAGAAACTGCACACAGCTGTACGGTAGTGCAGGTTTTGGTACATGGGAAGCCACTTAACAGGCTAGCATAGAGACACTGTTGCGCTATGTTATAAACGGGTTCATCGTTTTACAACTAGAGGTTCTACCTTTTTTCGTCTTTCAGCGTTTGCCATTCGGTAGAGCTATATTTGGACCCTACAAAGCTGGAAGTGTACATACCTCTCCTGTTTACGTAGAGGTCAGTGTGAAATTGGAAGAAGTGACATGGTGGCAAGGAGCGTGAGTGCGATGCCTGGGAAATGTATTTTACCCACATCCCTTCATCAACGGCCGCGGACGTTGGCAATACTCTAGGAGTTTTCTATTACACCTGTTTCATGTTAAGCTGAAATTCATTTGGGCTTTGCCTTCTGGCTGCCTTTCATCCGCTCCTCAGGCCCTGGTAATCCCTCCTTCTGATTTGCTCAGCTTTCCTCCAGGACCTTGTTGAACGTGTTAACTTGTGTCGCCATAATCATTAACGGAGGCAGCGGCGCCGGGTCGCTGCTGAGGGTATTCCTTTCAGACTTCATGTCCTGGGCGTGATAATACAAAAATGGTAAGCCAAAGAATGGTTCAGAGGTACCAAATATGCAATGCAATTGACTGGCGCCCAAGAAGAAAGCATTTGCTTCGTCTGCTGGGTCGCGACGCTTCGCTTCGCCTCGCAACCCAACCAACCATCCTCCACGACCTGCTTCCGCTTCCCACGCCCTGCCTCCACACGTTTGTCCCCTTCTTGTCCGTCCTCCTTTTAGGTTGGAGGGTGGCTCGCCAGATTCTTTGTTCCGAACTTGTTCCAGCCACCTGCTGCCGAAGCGGAGCAGGAGGTGGATGAGGATACACGGATGGGAGAGGCGCTGCAAGCGGAAGAGGAAGTAAGCGCGTTACGCACCCGTGTGGAAGAGGTGAGAGGATATGAAGAAGGGAAGGGAATGGAAGTTAAGGGATTAGTGGAGGAAAGCAACGCTAGGTATCTACCTCCTTAATCTCTCCGCTCATCACCCCCACATACACTCCATCACCACCTCCTCAGCTTGCGCGTCAAAATGAACTCCAGCGCCAACGAGAAGAGGAGCTCTGGCGGAGGGAACAACAACTGGAACAGCAACTGCTGAACTTACAGCAGCAACAACAAGCGACGGCAGCAACAGCAGCAGCGGCGGCAGCGGCATCACCACAACGTCCAAAGTACCGAGCCCGGGCTGCCCCCGGGCCTGTTGCTGCTGCTGCTGCTGCCGGCCTCGGTAGCGGTGGTCGCGGTGGTGTTGGGGGGTCAGCAGCTGCAGCTGCAGGGGGGGCAGCAAGAGGCAAAGGAGGCCGTGTGGCTGCGGGGTCCAAGCGGACTCGTGAGGAGGCGGGCCTGGATGGGGGCGGGGAGGAGGAGGACGGGGACGTTGTCATGCTGGAGCAGGAGGAGGAGGGACTGCAGGCGGAGCAGCAGGCGGCGGTGAGGCGGCGGCAGGAGGAACGACAGCAGCAGCAGCAGCAGGTGGTGGAGGAACAGCAGCAGCAGCAGGTAGAGGAGGGGCAGCGGACGCCGTTTAGCATTGAGCGGCAAGTCTTTTCAACTCGAGCTCGCACTGGGACCGTAACTCCAATTGCTACTGGTGCTACTGGTGGTGCTACCGGTGGTGCTGCTCCCTTTGCTACTACTACGCCTGTGACGTCTCCAGCTGTCGCAGCGGCTGCTGCTGCTGCTACTGCCCCTGTCACTACCTCGCCAGTTGTGGCTGCTTCTGGGGGCGGCCATCTCGGAGTCGGTGGCACGGCTGCTGGTGGTGCAAGAGCAGCAGCAGGACCCGCGTCTCCTCCTTCTTCTAATCGACAGCAGCAGCGGACGACCATGCAAGCGGCAGCTGTTCTCGTCACTGAGACGCCCGGCCGGACAACGCCGCCGCCGCCGCGGTCGTCAGCAAAGGGCCCCGCAACCCGCCCTAATGCTGCCTCCCCACGGCAGCAGCAGCAGGAGCCTCCTCCTCCTCGCCCCCAGCCCCAACATCAGCAACACCAGCAGCAGACGCAGCAGCAGGCGCAATCGCCGCAACCTCCGCAGTCCCAGTCCCAGCGAGCGCCCTTTAGTACAGAGCGGGAGGTGTTCTCCACGACCCGCTTCCCGAGGTCCCAGGTAGCAGTGAATGCACCGGCCGCCACGGTTAACACCCCTGTCACCACTGCCAGAGAAGCGGGAGCTGCTGCGAACGCCGCTGTTGCGGTGACGACGGCAGGAGCGGCGATGACGTCCGCAGCGGCGGCAGCGGCAGTGGCGAGGACAGCGGCCACGGCTGCTGCTGCTGCTGCTGCTGCGGCGGCGGCGACGGCGGAGGGAGCAGTGAGAGCTCCCTTCAGTCGGGAGACTGAGGTGGTGGTGCTGGGACGGAGGTCCCCGGCAACGCCCCTTACCGGTACGTTGACTGGAGGTGAACCACATGGTGTGTTCCTCTCGCGTTGCTGCACATACGTTCCATTAAGCTATTGTAGTTCACCGCTGCGTGCTCTGCCATCCGATCGTCCTGTCTTGCCCCTCTGCAGGCGTTTCCAGCAACAACATCAACGACAGCCACAACGGCAGCGGGGTGGCTCGGAGGCCGGTGTTCACCGGGGCTCCGGCTGCTGCTTCTCCTTGTGCTGCTGCTGGCGCCGACCCTGGCACCGGTTCCGCCTCGGCTGCTGCTGTTGCTGCTGCCGCGGCTGGTACCAGTGCCGTGCTCTCCCCCTCCCCCGCCCGCATGCGCTCCCCGGGGACCCCAGCCAAGGAGCTTGAGGCCATGAAGGTGCGTGTGTTTTAAGGAAACTGTCCGCCCGGTGTGCGTTATAATGAAAACTGTATCCGTGCTGGAGCGGGAGAGAGCGTTGCTGGTTGGGTTTGGGGCTGGGAAGTCTAAGAGTTCTCCTTACCCATCCTTTTTCGCTTTGTCTCTTCCCACCCTTCCCGTCCCCTCCCCGCCGGTCCGCCCGACTACCTGGCCCCCTCTCCCGGCCCCCGCTTCAGGTTTCTGAGCTGAAGCAATGGTTGATCAGCCGGGGTATGGGCCCGCAGCTGCTACAGCTGCGTAGCTCGCCCGCCAAGAGGGAGCTGCTGCGGCTAGCAAGGGAGGCGGAGTGAGGGGGAAGGGAACGAGGAAGAGAAGGAGGGAGGGAAGGAGGGAGGCGGTGGATTGATCCCATGGATGGGAGGTGTGGTTGTGGGCAGGCGTGCATGCATGCATGGCTGTGCAGGGCTGTAGCGTGTGCTTGTAGCATTCTTGGTTCACCTGTCAAGCAAGCTGTGCAGGGACGGACAGATAACTTGCTTGGACTGAGTTTGTACCGCGGGGTTCGGGGTTGAGAGCGGGGGCACGTGCGAGGGTGCCGTGCCGGGCCGCCTGGTGTTAGGGGAAGACCGTTACCTATTGTACTTTGTACCGCCTTTCGGGCTTACTTGATGTGTAGCTGTCTTGGAGGGGGCGAGGGCTGCCTTTCGACTGTGCTCGCTTGTGCGATAACCGTTTACAGAGTGGGTTGTAGGATGTGCCGTACAGCAATGTACGGCAAGACACCTTGTGGACCATCCTGTTGGAATTATGCTTAATTCAACAGCTTGTAGGTTATCCCTGTCATTAATACCGCTACGGTTACCGTCTGCTATACGCTGTTGGACACCAGAGGCTGAGACCGAGAGGCTGGCAGACGTGATTCCCGTGTGGCATGCTGTACGAGGCGCTCGGGGTGTGGGTCATTGGAGGCATCGGTTTGTGGGGGCGCGTGGTTCTTGTGGGGCTTGTGCTTAGCGTGGGTTTAAACTCTCACGGTCTTTAAAAGCAGCGATGTAATCTTGCGCTGGAAAGGTGCACGCATTTGGTGTCGACGTTGGCGTTCCCGAAGTAGCCCTAGGGCTAGGATTAGGAGGGTTAGGATTTCACTTGGACGGCTAGAAGTCACACGGGGTATCAGGAGCATAAGCGCTGTGTAACGTGACATAGACGTATAAAACGTTTTTTCTTTGCATACTACGCGAGTTCTCGGTACTACCGCACAGCATCTCGCATCGTGCAGCCAACACATAGGCGACCATGTCGGCATTGTGCCCTTCTATAGCGAACTAGCAGGAGCCTTGTAAATACAGGGCATTTCTGGTGAGGCTGTTGCTCGATGCACCGGTTTAACCGCCAATTAGCCGACTACTTGTACGGACATGACTATGACTTACAACGGGCAGCAACGCAACTGGCCTTCCAGCTTATAATACTGCACGTTATGATCGCACGGAATTCCTTTACTTAGGAGAGTATTAAAGCAAGTACGTTACTCACTGCTTTTGTTAGAACGTTGCATTCGCTACGGTAAAGGGCATATTACGCTTGCCTTGGGACCTGTCAGCATATAACTACCTCCAGTCTGCGCTGTGCAAGTTTTGTATTGGTGGCAGCTCCCTAAAGATAATGGCTCGCCAACTTGTACATGTCAATGAGGATACCAAGGAGCTTGAGTTCTCGGCTGCCGCGCTGGACAAATTGAGGTACGCAAGCAACTTTGGGATTACACCACCAGTTCTCCTTTAACAGCATACAATCGTCCCAGGTCCGAGCATTGCCCCCATGTCCATTTTAAGCCGGGGGAGCTTATAGCCGCGCCTGTGCCCAAATGGTTGCAGGCGTCTCAATGGCAATGTGCATTTCGTGGCCATCTGCGGAGGATCAGTGCAGGGCAAGAGCTCCCTGCTAAACTTTCTGAACGCGGCCTTATCAGGCCAGGGCGCACCCGCAGCGGGTAGCGGGGGCTTTCCAGTGGGCTGCAATCACAGGTCTTGTACGGAAGGTGCGTTGGTACCCTTGTTTTGGCACAACAACAGCCTCGAGGTGCCCGGGTGATGAGGACCGCCTGCCTTGGTCTGGATAGGAACACCACACACGACACGTGGTGGGCAGCACATATTGATGATTTTTGGTAATAACAAGGAACAAGGAAGGACATCTCTTCCAATTCTTTCCCTTCCTGTCTTCCTAACGGCCATGCTTTCCTCTCTCTTCCGCGTTGCCTTGCCTATACCTGCCTTCCATTCCTGACACATCAGGCATCTGGATGTCATCGGAACCAGTACCAGTCCAACTCGACACCGGCGAGGTCGCAAACCTGGTAAGTCGGGTGTCAACGTTTTGGGGGTCAACGTCCCAGGTTGTCCTGGCATGTGGCATGTAGCATGAAACATGGAACAGCCGCCCCAGGGTTCGTGCCAATTCAGATGAGCCTGTTGGTGCTACCAGTTGCATTTGGAAGGTGGTCTCCTTAGTCCTTACCATTCACCCTTTCCGCCCCCCACCCCCTTTGACCCTCTGTGGTTTCCCCACCAGGTGTTTCTCGACTTGGAGGGAGTCAATTCCGCAACGGACGCAGCACGATGCTACAGCAACCACGTAAGAAAGGGCAGTGGCATTGGTGCAAGCAAGGAACACGATGTACGGGATGTGCAGCAATGACCGTTACAATGCATTTTCTGCGTTTGGCAGGAATTGGCCGCAGTAGGGGGTGTAAGTCGTGGTAGTAGCAAATAGCATGCTACCTTGCTTGGCGAATGAACCCTCCCCTCCAACTGACCCCACCCTAACGGACGACACCTCTCCTCCCCATACTCGCCGCTCCCCGCTCCTTTGCCCCTCCCCTCTTTCCCGCATGTTGCAACAACATACAGCTGTTCGCCTTGGCTTCCTCGCTGTCTTCTGTCGTGGTTTACAACCATATGGGGCCCATTGACGAAGTCCAGGTGAGTGGGGAGTAAGTAGGGCGTTAGAGGGCGGAGATGTGGGGAGCGGAGCAGTGGTTTATTAGGGATGAAAGCTTGGGAGAGGGATGGAAGGTTAACGAGGTCAGGGTAGGGAGGTCAGGGCTGTGTCCTGTGCGCCTAGATTACGTGTTGTGCGGGACGGGTCGGATGATAGGTTCCCGAACTCTTAGGGATGCGCCTTTATGCGCCCTTGGTTTCAACGGAACTGCGATGATAATGTGTCCCGCATGACTCGCCAAGGGATAACCCGCATGACTAGCCAACCCTTAGTCCTCCGCGCCCTGTTCCTTCCCAACCCTACTCCTCCGCGCCTCACCCTAAATCCCGCCTCCCCCCCCCCTGCCCCTTCACGTGCCTGCAGATTGCACAGCTGGGGCAGGCTTGCAAGTTCGCCCGGCAGCTTCACGAGGAAAGCGGCGCAGCAGCAGGTAAGGAAGGAGGGAGGGGCTCGGAGGAGGGAAGACCCCGCTGCTTCTCTCCCGCACCGCGCCGCCTGTATCTCGTTTACCGGTATGTGTCCCGCATGTGTGCATGCATCCACTCTTACCCGCTCTGCTGATGCCCCAAGGACCCCAGGACTCGTTTTTCCCCCACCGCCGACCTCCCACCTGCCGCGCAGGCCCCTCCTCTGCCGCCTTCGCCGCCTCCGCTCTGCAGCCCGGTGTCCCCCTCCGCCGGCCGGGGTTGGTGTACATCCTGCGGGACTGGGGGGGCTTCAAGCTGGCGGACAATCTGGTACGGTGGCCGTAAAGGGTGAAGGGAATGTCGTGGGGCAATGTGTGAGGGTTCATGAAAGAGGCTCCACAGCAGTGCGCGTGTAGCCATGCAGGCCTCCACACCCTTGCCCCTTGCATCTCTTACTGACGAATGTGCGGGATCAGGGCGTCTCTTACGCATTCCATTACGCGTATATGCCAATAGTGTTTTGCCAGTTGCGCGTACGACACTTGTGTTTCTCTTCAATCGTCGCCACTCCTTTCCATTCAGCGGAATGCATCTGAATTTGCGCCGTACGCTTCCCCCCAACAGACGCCCCGGGGGTACCTAGAGGAAGCCCTCGAGGAGGGTCCTCCCCAGCCTTCAGGAGGCCCCTCCGGGTCAGCAGTAGCAGCAGCAGCGGCGGCTGGGGTAGCGCCGGCCGGAACGTATACTGAACGAGGCGGGCAGGCGGCGGCGGCAGCAGCGGCAGCAGCGGCAGCAGCAGCCCCGTATGGAGGAGGAGCTTCTGCGGCTGGCACCCCCGGGAACCAGGTGAGGTTGGGAGCGGATGGAGGAGAGTATTGGTGCTTGTAGATTGTGGATGGGATGGGAACTAGGGCATAATTAGGGGGCTTGAAAGGCCATACTACAAGGGATGGTGCGGCAACGGGACAATGCACTTGCTTGTGGGTTTATTCTTCTGCGCGTGTGCTTTCCGCTTTTTGGACCGCTCTCTTTCCGCAATGACGTGTCCCATCCTGGACCCATGGGTCCATGCCCTGTCGAATGCGTCCGCAGCTCCGCCACGAGATCAAGGCGGCCTTCCCAGACCGAGACTGCATCACACTGGTCGGTGAATGGCCGTGCGCAGGGGGATGTGGGTCGAAGGGATCGTGTGTTGGGCTAGTCCCGCTCCTCCTGAACAGCTGCTGCATGTAAACCCGCTTCACCAACTCCAATTCCCACCAACAAACCCACTTCCCGCATGACAGGTGCGACCGCAATGCGACGAGGCTCGCCTGGCGGCCCTAGTGCAGCTGCAGCCGGAAGAAGTTAGGCCAGAATTCTTAATGGTGAGGAGCGGGGGTGGTCATGAGGGTGTATCAGTGGAGGCTATAGCGTTGGTGGTCCCCATGCAAGGCAAGGGAGAGGCTGGATGCAGTGGGGTGTGCGAAGCAGATTGTGGTCTCCTTGCCTCCTTAAGCACTCAACTCATCTCCGCCTTGCGTTGCTCTGCATCTCTCCATCCTTCTAACCCGCATTTCTCCTTTCCATCCGCTAAAACTTCTCCCTAATCCCATCCTCACCAATGTTCCGCCTACGTCTCGGACATCCCATCAGGGGGTCCAAGAACTCGCGTGTGCGTTGGTCCAAGCCTGCGTCGGCCGTCCCGGCTGCAGCGGCGGGCAGGCTGCGGATAGGGTGGTTCAGTTTTGCACAACCGTCAATACGACGGAGAAGGCGTGGATGCGACTAGGTGACAAGGCGGCGTCAAGGGCACGGAAGGTAAGAGCCGGGAGGGCTGGGCGGCGGGCGGGTGCAAGCTGCAAGGGTGGGTATGTTGATGGGGAGGGGCTGAATGGGAAGCGGGTTTTGTGTCTAGCACGGTTTAGAGCACTGACTGGTGAATGAGGGCTATTTGTTCTTCATGGAGCCGACAATTCCGAACAAGGCTGCGTTTGCGGCGTTGGGCAGATGCTTTCCTACACGCTGCTCCATTGCCGCTTCTGCCCAAGAGTCTAGAACTCTGCTTGGATGCAACTGTCCACAACGGCACCGGTACGACCCTACAACTCCTTGAAGCGTATATAGTGCCCTTAAAACCATAACTTAACTCTCGGAACTTACATACCGGTACATCCGCTGTCCACTATGTCCTGCAGGAGCCTCCCGTGGAGGTTATAGTTATTGACGATGACGATGACGAGGAAGCGGAGGAGGTGGAGGATGGACACCAGCCGGCGGCCGCTGCTGCTGCGGCGGCGGCGGCGGCTCCAGCGCCGGAAATACAACCGTTTCCAGGCCCGACAGCACCGGCTCTAGCAGTACCGCTGCAGGAGTCCAGGACTGAGACACGAACTACCACCACGACCAACAACAACACGGCATCGGAAGCGCAACAGCAGTCGGTGTCGGTTGGGGTGGCGATCTCGAGCGTTTCCTCGTACAAATCCGCTTTAGAGGAGCAGGATTGGGAGCGGCAGCGGCGGGAAGAATGGGAGCGGCAGCGGCGGCGGCAGCAGCAAGACGAAGACGCGGCATCCTGGGAAGTACGGCCGACGTCGGAACTGGAGGTGGCGGAAGAGGACGCGGCGGCGAAGGAGCGCGTGCTGAGGGCCCTGCTGCAGATGAAGGCGGACGCGACGGCGCATCGGGATAGGGCGGTAAAGGCGGTGGTGGCGGCGGCAAACAACGCGGCTAGGACAGACGCGCAGGCGGCATATAAAAGGTTAGTACGGAAGTTTACATAGGTGGATGTCAGAAGTGTTTAAATTTCGGTGTGTTTGGCATGGAGCTTGGATTACATCGTTGTTGTACCTGGAGTGCTCCATCCTTCCTCTGTCGCTAACCCCATATGCCACACTGCCCAACACGCTTTAAAACCCCAACCCCCACTTTCCAGATGGCATGACCGCTTGGTCGACGTCAACAAGCAAGAGGTGGTGGCGGGGGAGCAGCTGCAGGCAGCGAAGCAGCGACTGCAGCACCTGCTGCTGCTGCAACAGCAACAGGAGGGGCAGCAGTCGCAGGGGCAGCAGCAGCAGCAGGAGGTGGGAGGGCGACAGGTGCTCGGGATGTCATCTGGGCGCAGAACAGCGAGCGGAACAACGACCGCTAGCACGGGTCGCAAGCGGGTGAACTGGACGCAGCGGGATCCCGGAGGAGGGGCGGCGGTGGAGGCAGCGGGGCAGCCGCGACAGCAGCAGCAGCGGCAGGGGGCTCCTTTAAGCAGCAACACCACCGCTGTGGCGGCGGCTGCTCGGGAGTCTAAGAGGCACCGCGCGGAGGGGACCTCTGGTGGAGCAGCAGCAGCAGGGGCAGGGGCTGGGGCAGCAGCCGCGGCGGCGGCAGGGGGGTTAACGCAGGCATCGGAGAGGGGGCAGAGAGGGCGCTGGTCTGAGGGCATCTTGCCGGCAGCGATTCAATGGTTGGGGGTTTGGCGCGGCGGTTCTTGGTAGCGGGAGGTGTAAGGGGGCTGCTGGGAGGATTGCAGCTGGGAGGATATACATGATGGCAGCATTTCATGTGGCTGGCAACCTTAGTGTGGTCACTGTCAGCTCTATCATTGCGATGCATTACTTGCTTACTGCACTCCCCTTTATCCATGGAAGCATACACGTCAGTTGTACTATACTCTCGGAGTGGTGGAAGGCGTGAAGCATGGTAGCGTGGGCTTCCGTGTAGTGTGTGTGTTTGGACTATGAGACCCCTGGGTCGACTGCACGCTAGTTGATAGTGTGCCGACTTGTCTACGGTTAGGCCCCACGGATGGCGTGCATGCTATGCAGTGAGGTGCATTCATGGCATCGGAGTTACGGTTACGGTAGTTGGCGGCTGACGTAGACGAGAATGAACAACGGGTCGGACATCTTCCTCGCAGGCTCGCACGCGGCACGAGCTACCGTGGTTTTCGTGGTATAAGTGGGTAGCCCAACTTCAGCACGTGCGGGTTGCCCTGCCATCTTTCGCTGTAACGCATAAGCTGAGTATCTTCGGTGGACCAACACTCGCTCCCCATGTCAGGCCGCACTGTTAGGTCAGCGACCACCATTGGCCCTGACACCCATCCCCTCGACAAGAACATCTCTATCTTCTTGCAGGTACCCTAAGCGTCGTCGGACGCAATGCTGGGAATCAAATGGTCGGGCTGGCCTCGCGTATATACCGAGGGTTCGGTAGGAGATAGCATGTCAGGAGACAGCATGTCGGGCGACAGCTGTCATGACAGCATCATCATGTGTGGCTTGCAGGATGCGGGCGGGATGACAAAGCAGCAAAGCTTACAAGGATGAGGGCAACAATTACGAAGCCCAGTCCAGACACAACAACCCGGGCCAAGATAGGGCAAAAGGTGGAGGTGGCCCAGGAAGGGGGCAGCCAGGTCAATTGGGTCCAAGAGAGAGCCAGTCAACATGTTGTACGGTAATACCATGCGGCTCCTTAAAGGCCCATGCACAGAGGCGCACAGAGGCGCACCCAGACGGGGTGCAGTTCAGCGGAGTAGCGGTGCACGGCGCACGGTGGTGGTGGGGAGGGCCGTCCGGAGGTGCCCTCAGTCCCCCCGCATGGCAGCATGGGGAGGGGCGCGTGGCCGCCCCCACCGGCAGACATGCATACCGTGCTGCAAATGCGGAGGCATGATACATGATACATGAGACATGTATCGGAGCTGTGCGCCTCCCTCCTCATGGCTCACCCCTTGCCCCTCGCTCTTGCCCGCTGCTTACGTATTATTCGTGCCCGCAGTACCCAAGGTTGGTTACGTGTTTCATATGGCATGCCTCTATACCCGCGATTGCAGCCTGTCCCTGAGTGGCAACTTGCCCAATGCACGAAGCAGCCACAGGTCCTACGGCTTGAGCACGTGGCTCTTTGCTGCTGTGCGTTGGAATTAAGGTGGAGAAGACGCTTTTTATTGTTGTTGCGGGCGGCAACAGTACGAACGGGGAATGTCAACTTGGGAAAGCAAATCAGCTGTGTATGTACTGCACGGTTTTGGCGCGAGGTGGTCACAGAGTACTGTTGCTGAGAATCCAGAGGGTGAGGCTAAACGCTCAAGATGTATCAGGAACAAGTGATTGGCAATTAGCAAGAACCGGGTAAGGCAACGTACGCTTGGCTGCACCTTCGACCCTTGGCGAAGGTATTGGCGAAGGAAAGGGCGCGTCCGGTGCCTAGCCAAGCCGATACCGGCTTTTAGCCACGCTTGATACTCGGAATCGAACCGTTGATTGAGAGGCAACGCAATGCTGGAAAGACGCAAGAACTCATTCGCCCAAACGGAACGTCCAAACTCGTCCAGCGCCGAAGCAAGGAAGTGGGACAGACACGACAGTGCCCAATCTGCAACTTTTGTCCGGTAGGAGCAGACACTTTACCATCGAGAAACGTAGAAGAAGCATTTGTAAATAACGCGTCAGGTGTCACCGGTTACGTCCCGTATACTTCCTGTATTAGCCAAGCTTAGCGGCCTAGCCACTTTTTTCTCATCAATCCAGAGAGAAGCACACGGCTTACGTTGCTTATGTTCCCCATTACAGTACATTTGTAAACATACATATGTACATACATCTTTAGATAACATCGTCCATATCTGTCGTACATCTGATTTGCGACTGTCCAGGAAAGCCAAGGTTGATTCCTACACCGTCCAGTCTTAACGTGGCAACGCAACACACCGCTTAACATCTTTCCCCAACAAGTCAAGACCAACAGACCTTTCCACTTAACGCTACCACTAGGCGCGAAACCCGGCTATCATGTCTTACGACCACAGTGCCCGTCTAGATTACGTGCTTCCAACAGGAGAGCAGCCAAGATGCTTAGTCCAAACACCACGGACGCCACCACCGTTTGAGCCCTCGATGGATCTGCCAAGTGTCCCGGCAAGGCCTGCCTTTAAGACCTTGACTCCGCAGCTAACTGGAGTTGCAAGAAGTCTCTTTGGGGCGCCTACTCGACAGGAGATAGAGTCATACTTCCAAAAGGCGGAAGAAAGCTTGATGCGACGCTCAGGCTTTGTGCTCCCGGAGCATTGACGAAGGGCGGTCAACGGGACTAGAATGCCAACACCGCCGCCTTCTATCTATATCTGTGAATTAAACAGAAGCAGCTTCATGTGTTGTTTTGGTCGGGCGCCGCTTGCGCCCCGTCTCGGTACGCCAGGACAGCAGGCCTCGTCTGTGCCGCATAGGCGCGTCCTACCGACTCTATAACAGTGCTATACGGAGCATTTTCTAGCAGGTTGTCTTAGCATGGATGGGTTTGTTCTGCGTAAATTCCGGAGTTGCTTCTATTCCACGCCTGGCACTCCTGTGGATATGTTATGCAAGTGGCTCCTGAGGCTCAGCTGCTCGGTTGTTGGGTCTAACGGTACATGTATGGGCTTTCAGCAGCTCGAACTGCAAACGTTGCCAAGCGAGGATTGCAGTGCCAGGATTACAGCACCGAGCGGGCCTTCGTGCGGGTGAGAATTTATTGGAGATGACGTTGGTAACGGAGGAGTGAGTCCTTTAAGTAGGGCCGCGTGCAACTGGCGTCTGGGTAATTGCGCGTGAAACGGCATCAGTTGGAGTTTGACTCTTAACGCGCTACCGCATACGCCGCCCAACTCCATTGGTCCGCTCTACACCTCTGGGTTGCGTTTCGGAACATACGGTAGCTGGTACCTTACTGTCGTCTTGAACTGAGCTGGCACTCCTGAGGTGGTCTTCCATTCTTGGTCGTGCATTGGACGTGTGGTGGTCTGGTTCTTCACCATGCTGTGCGTCCTAACACGCTAAAGAGCGCTTACTTACGTAAGTTACAGAACCCGATTTGAGGAATAGCGGGGCCTAGGTGCGTCGTATGGGGGGTTGTGGCGCTTTGGGTTTTCCCGACTGCTACTTCTGGGGGAAACACATGTGTTGGCATGTTTGTTTGTCATGCGCTTTGGCGCCTGGTGGCTAGCCTGCTGGCTGGTTTGCAAGGACAAAGTAGTTTTGCGTTCGTTGTCATGGCTTGTATGTGGGATATGTGGAAGATGTGGTGTTGCGGTTGTGATGATTGTGTGACTGCGATAGCGTTTAGAGGCAACGTTGACACGGACTTGGCCACTGTGACACGGTAGGCTTTGTACGCTACACAATGTGAACACAAACGTGCGTTAGTTATCGGGCTTGCAGCTGCGGTTCGTTGTTTGCGATCCACTTACGCATGTCTGCTCCAACAACGCTCGTGCCATCCTCGCTCCTCTGCGCTCGTGTCTAATCGCACCTCGCTTCTCGCTTGTATGCTGTTAACTGTTTGTTGGTGGGTAGGAAAGGGAGAGGGGAGGGAGCGGGAGTACTGATACGTTGGGAGCCGCGGTGTGGCGTCCCTCTCGGGCCCCCTCTATGTTGGTTTCGTTGGTGTTTGAAAAATGGCGTTTCTGTTTCGCTGTTAGGACCGAGGAAAACGAGGCACGACCCCGTGCCATCGCCTTGCGGTGCCATTCTGCCCATGGCGCATGTTGGGTGTTGTTGCTCCATCGTTGACCTCACATGCCCCCGTGTGTCGCACCTTTCAGCGCCGCTCATGTCCTGGCGCTCGTGCTTTACCATCCCGCCGACTAGTGAGGTACTCACACGTTAGGGGGCCTGAAGTTTCACGTTACCGTGCATCCTGCTTTACCCCTGTCCCACCGTCTGTAGGACATGCACGTCCGTACACGTGCCGGTTATGGTGGGTTAGGTCGCCGCGGTAGGGCGCTTTGTTGAGTTCTGTTGTTTGAGCAGTGGCTGTGAAGACGATATGACGGCGACGAGCTGATGCTGATGATGCTGATTTGCATATTTTGGAAACAAAGTAGAAAAGGGCATACGTCGAGGAAAGTTTTTGGCTGCACGCATGCGACTCTATGATGGTATAACTACTCTATCATTTGCTGTGTGTCATGCTTTAGCTTGAAAGGAGGGCTGGCTGCATGTTTGGGAGCTGTGAGCTACATGCTGTCAGATATGACGTCTCGTTTCGAGTCTTTTTGACCATAAGCAGACGCTTTTGCACTTAGCATGCCTGCAGATCTCGTCTCTCGGCTGCACTTGTCGATGCTTTGAGAGGTGGTTCGCGCATTTGTCTGCGGCGAGTAGGGAAGTAGAAGAGGGCCGGGAGAAGGGATGGGCCTTTTTGGAATGGTGCAAGCTAAAGAGCGAAGAGCGTGGTAGGCCGAGAGGATAGGGGAGAGGGGCAACGGAGAGAGGAAGAGGGATGGGAGAAAGGTGGCGGGAAAGGGCTTCGGAACTGGGAAGGAGGAAGTTGCAATGTTGACATCATCATCGGCATGCCATATGAGTCGCTT